CCCCCCCTTCCACCCTTCCCCCTTTATTCCACTTTTTGTCTTCTCGCACTTTTTACCACTCTTTTCCTTTCTTTCTTCCCATTAAAAGTATGAATTATGACCCAATTAGTAGGGGTTTAATTTTCCTTCATCTTCATTTTTCATAAAACATATTTATTTAAAAAATGTTATGTCTAAAAAATGTATTTGTAAGAATAATTATTTCTTGATTTCTGGACAGTTTTCACAAAAACTCCATTTTTGTCTCAAAGTCTGGAAAAATCCATCATGAACCTATTCGAGAATAGATTACTTGCAGCCACTGAAAAGAATACTAGAGAAAAATTTTTAAATATTCTTTTCTGTAGAATCCAATAAACTTTTTTATCTATTATTGTCACTATTGAATATTTTTTCTTAATATTAATTGTGGTTTCCTCTCATTTCTCCTAGATTTGCTCGTATATCATTTTAGTTTTTTTGTCAAATAATTTAGTTTTTTACCCAAATTTGTAAAAAAAAAATTCTTTTTAAAAGTTCTAATTTTTCCTCAATATATTCATTATTTTTAATTAAGGATGGTAGATTGTGGGTCCCTATTCCAGGGTATATGTACCCTAAGGTCCCTAAGGAACATCAGTATAGTTGAAGCACACATCAAGGAACCTGTTGTGGCTAACAACGCTACTGCGAGTACGGTCGCCTTCATTGCCCCTGGACCCCCAAACCCACCCATTACACAGGTATGTTTATTGTTCACCCGGGGTATAATCATATTTTATCGACCTCAGACCCCCAACCCAACCATAACACAGGGATGCTTATTGTTTACCCGGGGTATAATAATATTTTATCGACTTCGGACCCCCAAACCCACCCATTATACAGGTATATTTATTGTTCACCCGGGCTATAATAATATTTTATCGACCTCAGACCCCCAACCCAACCATAACACAGGGATGCTTATTGTTTACCCGGGGTATAATAATATTTAATCGACCTCAGACCCCCAAACCCACCCATAACACAGGTATATTTATTGTTCACCCGGGCTATAATAATATTTTATCGACCTGAGACCCCCAAACCCACCCATAACACAGGTATGTTTATTGTTCTCCCGGGGTATAATAATATTTTATCGACCTGAGACCCCCAAACCAACCATAACACTGGGATGCTTATTGTTTACCCGGGGTATAACATTATTTTATCGACATGAGACCACCAAACCCAACCATAACGCAGGGATGGTTTTTTGGGGGGTAATGATTTTGTCGTTAGGTTTTTATGTGTGTGTATGCTTTTCCTATCGTTCAGTTTTCTGTGTGCTTTTTTTATTCAATAAATTCGAAATGAGAAGTGATTAATTCTCATGAATTCAATTTATTTCCCTGTTTCTCATGTTTTTTGTTATTTTTATAACTAAATAGAACAATATATCCTAAACAGGATTAAAATGGATTCTACGAGACAGCGGTAACAACGGTTTAACCGGGGGGGGGNGGGGGTGGATTCAAAAGAAAACATACACCCCTGAACTATGTCTGCTTGATTTGTACATAAACAATAAAAGTCGTCTTTATTCAAAAGGTTTAACTGAAATATCTCAAATGTTAAGGAATTAAAACTGTTGTGCTGTGAATCTTGGGATTAAGCATTGATCTCTATATAATACACTATACAAACCTTCGGAATTATATAATTCCTCTGAGATATGCCAGTGCTTAGGATCCATTTAATTTTGATGCGGATCCATACTGGAAAACAATGGATCCGGATCCAAATCCGAATTCAGGTCATGACTATTTCTTTAAGAGTTACTGAAATTGTTTAACAAAGCAGAATTGTGAAATTATTTTTCTTCTTTTTTTTTCGCTTTTTTTGTGTTAAAACTTGATGAACCATTCAGAGATCAGGAAATTTTTAGTATCTCTCTTTTTTCAACAGTTCAGTGGTTTGTTGAAGTTTTTAGTTGATATTTCGCGCCTTGGATCCGGATCCAGGAAGCCAAACTCTTGCAAATCCAACGGATCCGGATCCTAAACATTGGATAATGGATACCCTTAGGCGTTCATGCCATGTAGTTTCAAAAATGATCTAAGGATCAAGCATTTTATCAAACTGAAAAGTGTTTACATTGGATATCGAGGACATCTTTAAGATTAACAATACTTTGCACAGAAGTTCCAATCTCGGGACATATTTTTAGAGTGAACTGTTATTATTTATTAAATTTTAGACTTTTGCATGTAAAGACTGTAATTAAATCTAGTAATCATAATCCGTCTAACTTAAAAGACATGTCTTTTGTCTAATGTCTATCTGTGTCTTCCACTAAATTCTCGATTTTCTCTTGAAATATCTATTTTGAGGCTGACTGCACTTTAGTCTCCATATGGGTTTAGATCGTGTCTACTGCACATCTGGTGTAATGTTCGGTTAGGTTCCTTTAGTTCCGGTTTAAGGTTAAGTTAGGTTCTTTAAGTTATGGTTAAAGGTACAGTTAGGTTCCTCAAGTTCAGGTTTTAAGATCGGTTAGGTTTCTTTAGTTCCATTTTAAAGTTTGGATAGGTTCCTTTAGTTACGGTTTAAGGTTCGGTTAGGTTCCTTAAGTTCCCGTTTAAGGTTCGGTTAGGTTCCTCTAGTTCCAGATTAAGAACCTTAGGTTTCTTTAGTTCCAGTTTAAGGTTAGGTTAAGCCAATTTAGTTACGGTTTAAGGTTCGGTTAGGTTCCTATAGTTACGGTTCAACGTTCGGTTAGGTTTCTTTAGGCTTTAGTTACGATTTAAGGTTTGGTTAGGTTCCTTTAGTTCCGGGTTAAGGTTCGGTTAGGTTCCTCTAGTTATGGTTAAAGGTTCGGCTGGGTTCCTCTAGTTATAGTTAAAGGTTCGGCTAGGTTCTTTTAGTTATGGTTAAAGGTACAGTTAGGGTCCTCAAGTTCAGGTTTTAAGTTCGGTTAGGTTTTTTTAGTTCCAGTTTAAGGTTTGGATAGGTTCCTTTAGTTCCAGTTTAAGGTTTGGATAGGTTTCTTTAGTTCCAGTTTAAGGTTTGGATAGGTTCCTTTAGTTCCAGTTTAAGGTTTGGATAGGTTCCTTTAGTTCAGGTTTAAGGTTCGGTTAGGTTTCTTTAGTTCCAGTTTAAGGTTGGGTTAGGTTTCTTTAGTTCCCGTTTAAGGTTCGGTTAGGTTCCTCTAGTTCCAGTTTAAGGACCTTAGGTTTCTTTAGTTCCAGTTTAAGGTTAGGTTAAGCCAATTTAGTTACGGTTTAAGGTTCGGTTAGGTTCCTATATTTACGGTTTAAGTTTCAGTTAGGTTCTTTAGTTATGGTTAAATGTACAGTCAGGTTCCTCAAGTTCCTGTTAAAGGTTCGGTTAGGTTCCTTTAGATATGGTTAAATGTACAGTTAGGTTCCTCTAGTTCCTGTTTAGGTTCCTCTAGTTATAGTTAAATGTACAGTTAGGTTCCTCTAGTTATGGTTAAATGTACTGTTAGGTTCCTCTAGTTATGGTTAAATGTACAGTTAGGTTCCTCTAGTTATGGTTAAATGTACTGTTAAGTTCCTCTAGTTCCTGTTAAAGGTTCGGTTAGGTTCCTCTAGTTATTGTTAAATGTACAGTTAGGTTCCTCTAGTTCCGAACTGTTAAAAATAATCATAATTTTCTTTAATATTATAAAATTCTTGTTTTTATTTTGTTTCTCAACAAACTTCATTCACCAAACAAATATATAAATACTATATATATAATATAATCTCAATTTTCTTGGGTGTAAAAATATTTGCCTCTCCAGAAAACTTAAAAAACAAAAACTTTTTTTCTTGAATACAGTTTTTTTAGTTTCTAAATTTATTTATATTTTTCTACGAAGTTTTGATACAGATTTTAAAGTTTAATTACAATTATACACTTTTCTTTTTCGACTGTTAGTGATTAACCAAAATGTGTGTTTATTTAGAGGGAGGGGGGGGGGGGGGGATAAATTTAGAAGATTTTAGTGATGAAAATGAAGAATTGATTGGCAAACATTTTTATTTATGAAACCCCTAATCTTAAAAACATTAAGTTTTGAGGCTATGAAATGATAACTCGTTTTTAACCAATATTTTCCCACTTCCCTCCCACGGCTCTCACAAGATAAGAATTTCTTTTTAATCTAACAACCGTCCTCATTTATCCCTTTTATAGTAGATTAATCAAGAGAAAACCAGTTCCGTGGGAAAATTCTGGTTTATATCTTGAGTAATACATAAGTCTGGTCCTTAATCCTGATAATAAACCCTAATCCTGATTCGAATCTTAAACCTGTTTTTAATCCTGATCTATAATCCTGATCTTAATCCTGATCTTAATCCAGATCTTAATCCAGATCTCAATCCTTATCTCAATCCTTATCTTCATTCTAATTCCTAAGTCCAATTCTCGACCTAATCCTAATCCCTTAACCCTGATCCAGATCCCTGATCCTGATCTTAATTCTATTTCTATTCACTGATCCTCAATCCTCACTCCTGATCCATGATTTGGATCCTTGAATTCCCTAATATTTAATAATCTAGAGTTTTATTCAAACTATAAAAAATATTTGAAGAATCTGAGAAATATAAAAACAGGTTTCCTATCTTCTAGAAAAGAAGGAATTAAAACTGTTGTGCTGTGAATCTTGGGATTAAGTTATCAATATTTTTCTGGGGGCTAAGAAAGGTAAACAAAGTTTTGTTTACTTGTTTACGTTAAACTTTTGATATTTATCTTTATATTTGCATTCATGCATTTTATATTTATGCATCCGCTGCAGACATTCAAGAAACTAGAATGTATATATTTATTTCTAATTTACCCCTAAACTCCATTTTTATTTTTCACCGAGGAGTTTTTTATCCGAACTTTAGTTTTTTATCCGAACTTTACTTAAGTGTTTTGTAAACAAAACTTATCATTATTCTCTTGTGTCTTGTGTATCGCGGGGTCTTATAAAGGAAAAAACTCGTTCTAAAAGTACCTCTCAGAGGGGGAATTATATTTTCAAGATGCTTTTTTATTTTGTTTTTGTTTTCCAAAATTAGAAAAATTTTCTAAATAGATATCGCTGTAATGAAATAAACTTGAAAGTGGGAAAAATTCGTTTAAACATAAAATAAGTTCTACAGTATAATCTTGATGCTCTCTACTAAAAATATAAGGAACCCCCCCCCCCCTCCACTGTCAATACTTCCCCCTGCATTGCAGCAGTTGTATACCCTGCAGCTATTATTTCTCTTCTAATACACAAGATTGATATCTGCCTGCCCAGCCAGAAAAGAATATATACAGTTGTTAGGAAAAAATAGATATAATATAAAATGTTGAGAGTATGAAAATTTAATTTGTTTTTTGTTGACGCGAATCCGGATCATGGCACGAATAAATTTGGACCGGACCCAGGGAAACTTTTTACAAAGATTAGGATTTGCAACATTGCGAAACTGACCAAATTGGATTAAATTAGATTAAGAAGAAAGGCTACGGGGGTTGGTAGAATTGTATCCCTCTTTTTTCTTATAGTTTTAGTATTTGTTCGGATGTTTATTATTTGGTCGAGTGTTTACTGTGTCAAGTGTGTTTTGTATATTACATTTTCTTTTTTTGATTCTCATGTTGTATTAAGTGACCCTCCATGTCCGATTCACAGCAGTACCTATTAAACCTTTATCTGATCAATAATGTGGAAGATATCTTCAAATGTTCTTGCCTGAAAAAGATAAAAGTCTAATTTTCAGCAGAGACGTCACAATTAAGAATAATGAACTCATTCTTGATTAGTCGAAAGGGTACAGTTGTGAATCGGATATGGCACTCTATAAAAGGAGGGTCACTAAAAATTATACCTACAGCTCTGTAAAGAGTTTTTTTTTTCAATGTTTTCTCTTGTTCAGTGTTAGAACAATTAACATTGCTTGTTGAATTTTAATCTTTACACGTGCATTTGAACTAGATCCTTTTTATGTCTTTTAATTGAAAAATTTCTTTTCAATAAGATTTCTTTTATATCCTTTTTATTAATTGTTTCGATCAGTCTCCTTTGTTTTCTTTCATTGCAATATTTTAACCCTATTTCTACCAATTCAATAAAACATAATAGTTCTGGGGGAGGGGGGTACCAATCATGTGTATTATTATGATTAATAATTTTATTCAAAAAGATTCAATAAAACAGTCTTTACAAAGTAACAAAATAAGCATCGTTTAAAATTAATAATTAGCATTCTATTTTAAGCCATTTTTAACTAAATATTTAACATTTTAGAATAATTCAAAATACATATTACAAAATTAATTATAATATTTCAATATGTTTTCATCCCCTTGTCAATCACGTTTTTTAAATTTTGGGGTAGGAGGGGGGTTGGGTGGTAATGTTCATAATTTTCATAGTTATGAATATTGAATATTCATAACATGGATATGCAAGTTAATGTCCACTCATCAACTCGGGGGAGGGGACGTACGAGAGCATTTATGTAGGGGGAGGGGGGCACATTGTGCGCAAATAAAAATGTTGTGCCCCCCCCCCTTAAAACCCCATTTTTGATGAAGTATTTATACCTTTTTTTAACTAAACTATTCGATCATAAACACACTTCCATATTATAAGTGTTGGTAAATTTTTTATGTGTGCCCGCCCTCGTACGCCCCTGGGGGGGGTATTTAAACACAATGCAGTATACACAGCATAAACCTCACAATATTCCATCTGGTCATAATGTCATGTACGATAGTGGAACGTACACTGTCAACCTGGGAAAATTTACCCCTCAGTGACGTCATATTGTTTAGGTCATGTACGTTGGTGTAACGTATACTGGGAATGGACCGTATAGGAGCGAGGTCCCAGCGGTCAGCTCAAGATCTTTAGACACTAATTCTCTGTTCCAGGTAGAACTTTTATTAATGGACTATTCCTATTATTATTCGTAATTTTTGTCTGTAATATATAAATTTTAAATTTTTTATTGGTCTATGTTAAGCTCCCAAAGTTGTATCTCAAAAAATTCCAACGCTTTTCAGAACACAGAGCAATAGAAGTTACTAAAAAGGATCGTAATATGAATATGGAGTGAACAAAATTACGTAAATTACACCCAAATTACATGTAAATTACAAGTAAATTACACGTAAATTACACGTAAATGACACGTAAATTACACGTAAAATTGGAAACTTACATATTTAAAATCTTAACTCTTCTTAAATCTTGTAACCGCCACTGCTTGAGCGTAAAACCAGAACTAGATAAGCTAATTTGTCACAAAGTTGTACCAGTAATGTTGCATTTGAAATTTAAACTAATTTCTCAAGAATATTATTATGTTAGATTGCACAAACTGCAGTAACTACCGGGACCCGTATGTTCGTCAACTCCCTGGCCCGGGAGCGGTATCCCATCAACTACATCTACGGGTTCTCTAGCGAGGGGTTCTCCTACTTCCTCACGACACAGATGCGCCACACCTCCCCCTCCCCCTACCACAGCAAGGTTGTGAGGGTGTGTCATGACGATCAGGACTATTATTCCTATACAGAGGTCCCCCTGCAGTGCATGTCGGAGACAGGAACGGACTATTCACTCGTCCAGGCAGCCTTTGTCGGCAAGGTAAGACGAAGTTTGCATCTGTAAAGGACAACTTTAAAAGACTGTAGACCGTGTTTTATTAGAGTGGGAAGTCCGATTCACAACGGTTCCTTTAATATCTTTGTATGAAAGAATAATATGATATCCATGTATCCGGATGAAAGAAATTGTCAAAATTATAATTTTAAAACTGCTCAAACGCCGATTTCATCCAAATTATTTTTAAAATAAATGCATGTACCCCTATTTCATTGAGGTTCAAATGAAATAACAAGAATACAAAAGTTTTATTTGTAAATACTGAAATTTTTATTCAAATTGATTCAATGAAAAGGGGGGTTGGGTTGGGTGAGTGGCGGGGCTGAGAAGTGGAATGGTTTGTTTAAAGCATGGAAGGGGTAGGAGGGGGGTGGGGGTAATGAAGAAGATTGTATTACCCTTCCCCCCCCCCACCACCACCACCATTGCAGCATCGTTATCTTTGAAGTACAGTTTGATATCCTCGGTGCATAATATAAACGATAAATGTTCCCCATTTTGATCATTATAATAAATTTTTACCGTCTGCATTCCAAAGGGGCGGAGGAGAGGGGGGGGGGTGTTTAGTTACAGGTTTTAGCTGTTGAAAAAAGCAATATTTTTATCTAAATGCCCTTAGTTTGCAAATGTTATAACTACATTATATTCTCGCAGAGCTGAAACCAGCCCAACGTTAAAATTTGTAATCTGAAACTTATCTTAATTTACGCACCCAGATATATGCATAGTTACTGAAAACTTATCTTAATTAAATTTACACACCCAGATATATGCATAGTTACTGAAACTAATCTTAATTTACGCACCCAGATATATGCATAGTTACTGAAACTAATCTTAATTTACACACCCAGATATATGCATAGTTACTGAAAACTTATCTTAATTTACACACACAGATATATGCATAGTTACTGAAACTAATCTTAATTTACACACCCAGATATATGCATAGTTACTGAAACTAATCTTAATTTACACACCTAGATATATGCATAGTTACTGAAACTAATCTTAATTCACGCACCCAGATATATGCATAGTTACTGAAACTTATCTTAATTTACGCACCCAGATATATGCATAGTTACTGAAACTAATCTTAATTTACGCACCCAGATATATGCATAGTTACTGAAAACTTATCTTAATTTACGCACCCAGATATATACATATTTACTGAAACTAATCTTAATTTTAACACCCAGATATATGCATAGTTACTGAAACTTATCTTTATTTACGCACCCAGATGTATGCATAGTTACTGAAAACTTATCTTAATTTACGCACCCAGATATGTGCATAGTTACTGAAACTTATCTTAATTTACACGACCAGATGTATGCATAGTTACTGAAAACTTATCTTAATTTACGCACCCAGATATATGCAAAGTTACTGAAAACTTATCTTAATTTACACGCCCAGATAAATGCATAGTTACTGAAACTTATCTTAATTTACGCACCCAGATATATGCATAGTTACTGAAAACTTATCTTAATTTACACGCCCAGATATATGCAAAGTTATTGAAAACTTATCTTAATTTACGAGGGGACCGAAAACTTGCCTAAACCAAAATTTTCTTGTCTTGATATCTTTGCAACCTGATAATTTGAAACCCTTAATATTTATATAAACTTGAAGTAAGTGAATTTGTGAAAATTCAAGGGATTACTTCAAATCTTTAGGTTGCAAAGATCTATCATATTCTATCCCATTTTTTCAATCCTATCCTAACCTATCCTATCCTATCCTACTCTACTTTTAATTATTTTATATTCTATCCATTCTATTCTATACCATCCTATTCTATACCATCATATTCTATACCATCCTATTCTATCCCATCCTATTCTATCCTATCCAACCTATCCCTGCCTATCCTATTCCTGTCTTTTCTATCCTATTTTATCCTATTGTTCTAATGTGATGTATCCTGAATATATATGTATTGAATATGCTTTTATATCTGTTTCTCTATTCAACTGTGAAATTTAACAGTTCCATTATATATATATATAATATATGCTTGATATACAAAATCTAAATATTGTTAGATATATATTTTCATATATTTACAAAAATACATATAGTGAAAACAAAGGTGGGGGTCAGTGGCGATGATATAATTTAAAATTCAATTTAAAATTCAAAATTTATTTTAAATTTCACTTTCTTCCAGACTATACAAAATTTTCTAAATTGCGAAATTTTAAAGGAGCTGAAATATACAAATCTTAAAATAAAACTTGTTTCATTTTCATTTTGACGTTTAATATAAATACTTTTTATTCATTCTTGAAAAATCCGTCGCCAATATTCAGTACATTGTTTGTCAAAAATCCAGTGTACTCTTCTGTTATGAGCATACATTCTGAATGCGCTCTGTACATAGATTTATAAACATCAAATGCATTTCTATAAATGTGGTTAAATAATCAAAAATAACTGACAAATTAGACAGTTTAGCACTGCATGCAATGCCTGCAACTTGTTGCGAATTCTCTTAACATTTATTTTTATGTTTCTTCAAATTGTTAAAATGATTGAAATTTATCTATATAAGTCATAAAAGATTCCCCCTGTACTATGCTATGCATTCTCCTTTAATCCAAGATGGCGCCCCCTGCTGTACTCTTTAATCCAAACTTTAATCTTTGTCCTAATCCTTTAATTATGCATAATCCAAAGTTTAAATTACATTTCATACATTTTTAATTTCTTGTTGTAATTTTTTAAGAAGAATGAATTAAAATTATAAATTTGCCGACTGTAATTTTATAAGAAATAAAAAAAGAAAAAAAATTCTTAAGAAGTATGTACTTCAGATTTCTTCAGAATTCGGCCATATTGAATTTTTAAGAACTGGTTATTAAACATGAGAATGCATTTTATATGTATTTTCTAACATATATTTTCTAACATATATTTTCTGACGTGTATTATCTGACATGTATTATCTAACATGTATTATCTAGCATGTATTATCTAGCATGTATTTTCTAACATGTATTTTCTAACATGTATTATCTAACATATATTTTCTAACATATATTTTCTAACATATATTTTCTAACATGTATTTTGTAACTTGTATTTTCTAACATGTATTTTCTGACATGTATTATCTAACATTATCATATATTTTCTAACATGTATTCTCTAACATGTATTTTCTAACATGTATTCTCTAACATGTATTTTCTAACATGTATTTTCTAACATGTACTTTCTTACATGTATTTTCTAACATGTATTTTCTAACATGTATTATTTTACATATATTATCTAACATATATTTTCTAATATGTATTTTCTAACATGTATTATCTAACATATATTTTCTAACATGTATTATCTAACATATATTTTCTAACATATATTTTCTAACATGAACTGTCTAACATGTATTTTCTAACATATATTATCTAACATATATTTTCTAACTTGTATTATTTAACGTATATTATCTAACATATATTTTCTAACATGTATTTTCTAACATGTATTTTCTAACATATATATTTTGTAACATGTATTTTCTAACATATATTTTCTAACTTATATTTTCTAACATGTATTATCTAACATATATTTTCTAACATATATTTTCTAACATGAACTGTCTAACATGTATTTTCTAACATATATTATCTAACATATATTTTCTAACTTGTATTATTTAACGTATATTATCTAACATATATTTTCTAACATGTATTTTCTAACATGTATTTTCTAACATATATTTTCTAACATATATTTTCTAACATGTATTTTCTAACATGTATTTTCTAACATGCATTATCTAACAATTGCGAAATTTTGTTTTCGTAAAATATCGACCTTAACGCAAATTGCAAAACAAGCAAAATTAGCATAACGAGAAATGCATTAATTTCTGCAACATTAAAACTTTGCCCAATTTAAACATACACAAGTGCATTTATGTATTTATATATATTTGCTGGTAAAATATATTATGATTCTTTTTGCACGTGCAGAATTTACCATGTATTTAACACATGCACAACATTTAGGCACTGAACACGTACTGAACATTTATTTTATTTAATGTTATTCATTGCACAGGTTTTCCAAGGAGAAAATTATTAACAACTTTGCGAATTTTCTTCAATCTATTGATTTTTTTATCATCGTCTTCTTATGTTAAAATATCCAGAGGTAAAAAATTAAGCTTTAATTCTCAATTTTAAAAGATGTAATAGTGGATGTAGATCAAGAGTTGGAGATTAGCGATATCTCATTCAAAAGTTTCGAGCTCAGGGCACGGGCATACACTCATTGATAAACAACATCTTAAATTAGAAAAAGTTGGAAGACGACATTTTTCTGTTTGCAGGTTATCAGTCACTGTGTAAAGTTGATTGTAGATTTTTTAGATTTTAAACTCGTCATTTAACTTCGTATTCTGAAGTTACACAATTGATAAAAAAATCTATCGAACTTAAAAATCAATTTTTATGTTTGTTTAAAGGGGAAAGCATAGTTGCAATAACAAAGTAGGGGAATATAGATTTTACTTTGTTTAAAAGGAATGAATACGAAATTAAGAATATTTTTTTATCACAATTTCCTCTGTTTAATAAGGAAATGCCCCCCCCCCATTCGTTCCGTTTTTTTATTCAATATTAGTACACATTTAGATCTTTTATCCATCATTTAAAGAAAACAAATTTAATTAGTCATTAATATGAAAACAAAATTATCTTATATTATATTAATAAATTATTATGCCAAGAACATGATGTTAGCAGTAGAAAAGTAAAATTAATAAAAAATATTTTTAATTCTTTTTAATCATTCTATATTTTATACATATAGCTTGGTCATAAATTAATTAGGATTATCTTTACAATATAGTTGTATCATTATTAATGCGGGTATTGATCGAAAATATTCGTTTTGAAGTCTTAAATANAGAATAAGAAACAGTAGCTGCGTATAGCACCTACCTTAACACCTTCATCACACATATTGGGGGAAATCCCGAGAGAATTCTTGCAAATTTGAATATTGAATATTGATCAGAATATGTTGAGTCAGACTCCTTAATTTAGAAGAAAATAAAGTTTTTATTTCAATGTTTGATTAAACTTAAATTTCATCGTCCCTTTATATTTGCGACCTAATGGCGTAAATCTTTCAAACTTGGATCGAAAGAACCTTTTTTTTATTTATTCAAATATGTAGAGTAAAGTGCATTTACATAATAATACATTTATAATTATAATATTTCTAACTGTTGATATATTTTTTAAACGAACCAATTTGGAAAGCTTGTAAATCAGTTATTGATCCCATGCTAAAAGGGAAGGAGAGGGGGGGGGGGGGTAATTCCCCCTCCCTGGCCTCATCAATCTCTGATGAATCTATTTTCTTTTTATAAAAAATTCCCCACCCAGTTTAATCTTGAGATTCCCCCTGTACTATGCTATGCATTCTCCTTTAATCCAAGATGGCGCCCCCTGCTGTACTCTTTAATCCAAACTTTAATCTTTGTCCTAATCTTTTCAGTATTTAATATTCAATTCTCTTAAATACAGTAAACTAGGAAATTTAGTATTCACGAGTATTCAACCCCCCACTCCCCTCTTCCACCCCTTCCTCCCTTAATCCATACACCTCCCCCACACTACTCTTAACATATACTTTTTCGGGTCAGGTTAGGTTAAGAAAGATGGAAAGTCAAGGTTGCCAAAAAAAAATTAAAGAGCGACAGGATTTTAATCTTGTGGTACATAAACGAATTTCCGACTTCTCTTTTGACATATTTTTTTGGGTAGTCTTCCCCTTTATTCCTCTCTATTTCTTGGTATTTCTATTTATTATACAATATTTGATTTCCGATCATAACTCGTGAACCCCAATTTGCCTCAAATTTGTATTGAGGAACTCGGCAGAACAACGGGAATGTTCTTTTCTTGCAGCTTGAAAAGTTCAAGTTGAGTAGGTTTCCTAGCGAAGTAGTTATTTTTTTTCTAACATTTTTTTTTGGTTTCATTTTGAAATTTTATTCCAATTTGGATCCGTCGTTGTTTGTTAAAAAATTATGTAAAAAGAGAAAATCGAAAATATTTCTAATTTATCTGATATTTTTAGTAACTCCTGTGTGAAATATAGCGAAACTTATTGCCCATGGGGATTTAAGGGGGAGTAGGGAGAAATATGAAATGTCCTCCATTTTTACATACTTATTGTGAAAATTTACAATTACATTACGTATGTAAATTGTATATCTTTGAGTGTGAATAAATCTGTATAATAAAACAAGACATTCGTATATATATATATATATATATGTTGCCGTTAGCCGACCAAACGGCTGGACCGATTAGGCTGACATTTTTTGTTGACACTCTTGGGTGGCCGGGGGGTGTTATAGGCTAAAAAAAATTCTCAATTTAAAAAAAAATAATTTTCTTCCCCACGGGCACTTCAGCTATATCTAATCTAATCTAATAATTTATTTTTCCGTTGAAAATATGTCAGGTTGTGCATAAAAATTACATATTTATTAATTTATTAATTAACAACGGAAGGAGAGCAGCCATAGCAGAGCTGTTTTCAGGTTGGTCTCCTGGCAGTTTACCGTGGTATCCATTAGAACTGAATTGATGTGATACGTCGTGGGACTGGATTCTATTAATTGATAATCTATTTGCACTCGACAGTCTTTTTAAACTGAAAATAGTATTAATCCTGGAAATCTAGTATTTTGTCAAAAATAAAGTTAGATTTCTAGGATTTCAGACGGGAAAAAAGAAAAAGTATGAAAATTAGTTTTGATGATATGTTATATATCATTTAAAAACTTAATATAATTTAAAACTAATTAAAAGTATTATTATCATATATTCATCATTTATATTTGTCTAAAGCTAAATTACATTAAACAATATAAAAGTTTACAAACTAATACTCTTTTCTCTGGATATCGCATTTTATAATTGACAGGGTTTGCCAAAAACAGGTGCAATACAAGACTTTTAGCATGAGTATAGTTTAGTTATTCAGAGGTGGTGTTCAGAAATGGAGTTTTTTGGTCCAAGTCTCGTGTTTTTCGTTTTCTAATAATGTGGTATGATGGCAGTACTGCAAGGCTTTATAGATTTAAAAACTTAATTTAATTTAAAATTAATTAAAAGTATTATCTATATTGTAACATATTATTACATATTTATCTATTTTCAGCCTGGGTCTGATCTGGCTGCAGAGCTGGGGGTAACTGCCCAGGATGATGTTCTCTTTGCTGTCTTCAGTACTCCGGACTCTAGCGAAGGAATAAAAGCTTTAAGATCATCAATTCCTAATATCCCCCCACTCCCCATTCTGGAATATTACTCATTTTTCATGACTATGTTCAAAGTCAGGGGACGCTTGGGCACAAATCCCCTGAGCGTTGTGCCCCTGCATGGTCCCCTTTGGGCACAAATCCCCTGAGCGTTGTGCCCCTGCATGGTCCCCTTTGGTCACAAATCCCATGAGTGTTGTGCCCCTGCATGGTCCCCTTTGGTCACAAATCCCCTGAGCGTTGTGCCCCTGCATGGTTCCCTTTGGTCACAAATCTCCTGAGCGTTGTGCCCCTGCATGGTTCCCTTTGGTCACAAATCCTCTGAGCGTTGTGCCCCTGCATGGTTCCCTTTGGTCACAAATCCTCTGAGTGTTGTGCCCCTGCATGGTCCCCTTTGGTCACAAATCCCCTGAGTGTTGTGCCCCTGCATGGTTCCCTTTGGTCACAAATCCCCTGAGCGTTGTGCCCCTGCATGGTTCCCTTTGGTCACATATCTCCTGAGCGTTGTGCCCCTGCATGGTCCCTTTTGGTCACAAATCCCCTGAGTGTTTTGCCCTTGCATGGTCCCCTTTGGTCACAAATCCCCTGACCGTTGTGCCCCCGCATGGTTCCCTTTGGCCTGTAATTGCTAAAGCTTTGGTTTAGGAGATATAACGAGTAAACCCAGCAGGAAAAGTGCATTGTGTGTCTACAATGCGTCAAGGGTTCATAATATGTTAATAAAATGGTTGAATGTATGTGACCTGTAGATTGTAGAATATGGTTATTTAGTTGAGCATTTTCTGTGTTAATCTTATATCTTAGCTTTATATGCAAGTCCCCTACTGCGGCCTCAATGTGCGTCCTCAAAATTGGTCTTTATATTACGTCCTAAAGTGCGTCTGCAATAAAAACAGAAAAATTGGCGGTTCAAAATTTTTATTTTTTAATAATTACGAAGCGAAAATGTTTGTATATTTGGTTTGAATCAGGAGATACTCGTATGTTTCGTATTTTATATTTGGTTTGAATCTGGAGATACTCGTATGTCTCGTATTTTATATTTGGTTTGGATCAGGAGAAAATTTATGGAAAATATCCAGAGATGTTTTAAAGGAGACGGAGCCCGTGGACTAGATTTCATATCACCAAGGTAAAATATTTATCTTTTTCGTCCCTCCGACCCGGGGGGGGGGGGATTTATTTATTATTATGCTAAAAATAACACATTTTTCACTTTTAAAAAGTTTTTCTAGGTTTAAATGGAAATGTTTATTTTTTAAGTGACCCTTCATTCAAGAAATTTTCATAAGTTCACAATGTTAATGTAACAATCAGTAAAATATTGATTCTATTAATTTTTTCCTTTTTAGTCTTTGCTGTATAAATCCGCAGTTAACTTTAACGTGTTGCAAAACTGCATTTTAATACTTACATATAAAAAGCTACTGCCTTGAGATTTGCTCAGACAAAGGTTTAAAGGGAGAGACCGGCATTACATTGTAGTTGAGCTGACAGTGCAGTAAATTGTAAAGAAAAAGTAAAGGATTCATTTGATACCAATGAGACATTTCTACGGTGTACAATTTTTAAATAATATTGTAATATTTCATAAGTTTCAGTCAGCAGAAGAAATGTTTTTTAAAATTATTTATCAACCCAAACAAAACATGCCAAAAAAAATATTTTATAGACTAATTTGCTGTTCAGGAACATATTTCTTAAAGAAAATTATCGATGAAAGCCATAGTAGAACCGTAGAATCGATTATTTCATCATCATCAATCATCATTACCTTTGCTGTTTCTATAATTTTATTCGCAGATTTCTACCAAATGTCGTCTTCACAATAAAAATAAAGCAAACCTCCAACAAGCAAATTTTTTTGTGAATTGACTTAGGAATAGCTCACTAGGTTTAAATAGAAATTCAATATCTTTGATTAATCGCGATAATCTTTCTAAAAATATTTGGAACAACATCTTTACCAGTTGCATCGTTATTATTCAAGATTTATACATTACTAGCAGTTTCCTAACCTTTCTTCTTAATTCGCCTTTCTAGCATTTCCTAACCCGTCTTTCTAGCATTTTCTCCCTGTCTTTCTAGCAATTTCCTGACCCGTCTTCCAGCATTTTCTAATCCTTCTTTTTAGCATTTTCTCCATGTCTTTCTAGCATTTTCTAATCCGTCTTTCTAGAATTTTCTAATCCGTCTTTCTAGCATGTTCTAATCCGTCTTTCTAGCATTTTCTTATCAGTCTTTCTGGCATTTTCTAATCCGTCTTTCTAGCATTTTATAATCCGTCTTTCTAGCATTTTCTAATCCGTCTTTCCAGCATTTTCCTAACCCGTCTTTTAGCATTTTCTAATCCGTCTTTCCAGCATTTCCTAATCCATCTTTCCAGCATTTTCTAATCCATCTTTCTAGCATTTTCCCAACCTCTCTTTCCAGCATTTTCCTAACCCGTCTTTCTAGCATTTCCTAACCTCTCTTTCCATCATTTTCCTAACCCGTCTTTCTAGCATTTCCTAACCTCTCTTTCCATCATTTTCTTAACCCGTCTTTCTAGCATTTCTTAACTCGTCTTTCTAGCATTTTCCTAACCCTCTCTAGCCTTTTCTAATCCGTCTTAGCATTTTCCTAACCCCTCTTTCCAGCATTTTCCTAACGCTTCGCGTTGCTTTACGGTTTACTCTTCTTTCTATTATTTTCCTAGTCCATTTTTACAACAGTTTCCTAACCCTTCTTTCCAGCATTTTCATAATCAGTTTCTAATCCTTGTCTTATTATTTTCTAACTTTTTTCTAGAATTTTCCTAATCCTGCCTCGCTATATCTTAACATTTTGTTATTTTTACAGCTATCTAACTCCGAATTTAATGAATTTGAGCCGCGTCTCAAATCAGCTAAAAATCGGTTTAATTGAGCGCCGACTTAAATCTTGTAATATTAAATACGTATTTTAGTGGAAACAACGATATTTGAGCCGCGGCTCATATTCTTTAAATTCGACCTCTGGTCCATTTAGATATTGACTCATCTTACAATATACAGACCCCGCCTTTCTCTGTCTAGTTATCTTTTCTTTTATCTCAATTTAATATCCCTCATCCTCCCTTCTCCCATAGATTTAATACCCTTCCTTCTCTCATAGATTTGATACCCTTCCTTCTCCCATAGATTTAATATCCTCCCTTCTCCCATAGATTTAATATCCTCCCCTCTCCCATAGATTTAATATCCTCCCTTCTCCCATAAATTTAATATGCTCCCTTCTCCCATAAATTTAATATGCTCAATTCTCCCATGGATTTAATATCCTCCCTTCTCCCATAAATTTAATATGCTCAATTCTCCCATGGATTTAATATCCTCCCTTCTCCCATAAATTTAATATGCTCAATTCTCCCATAGATTTAATATCCTCCCTTCTCCCATAGATTTAATATCCTCCCTTCTCCCATAAATTTAATATGCTCAATTCTCCCATAGATTTAATATCCTCCCTTCTCCCATAAATTTAACATGCTCAATTCTCCCATGGATTTAATATCCTCCCTTCTCCCATAGATTTAATATCCTACCATCTCCCATAGATTTAATATCCTATTAAATTCTCTATTACAATTACCTAATTCAATTATACATTAGGGAACGTAATTTACATGGAATTTTATACAACAGTGTACTGTACAGTGTACATATGTAGTTGTGTAGATTTTAGGTCTTGTTTTATCTAAACTGTACAAATCTAAAAATACTGAAGAAAACTGTTGTGTGATTCGAAAGAAACTTTTTTTTAAGAAAAGAAATCTGGATTTTTTTAGTTAATGTTCCCTCCCCCATATATTGTAACTCAGGTTGAGTAAAATGATAATAAAGCTTTGGGGTCATAAAACTATTGAAGCATTCATATATTCATCCTTTCATACGCAATGTTTGCGTCAATAATAGTGATTGATGAACTCCGAACCCTAGTTGACCAAAGGTTAAAACTTTTGAATGGGATTTACGCAGCAAAATCTTCTTAACTCCAGGTGAACACCGTAAACTGTTGATTTAAAGGGTTTAAGTCAAATTCTGGGGATTTACGGTAAATCCACTTCTCACAACTTAAGCTGAACGACTAGGGGAAATCCGAAATAGACTTAGAATTCATAACTTTCGACCTCACAACTCCACAATCAGAACGTATATGCAATTCCAGCATCGATCCATATTGGGTAATTGGACATAATGGTTTTAATTAGTTTTGATTATTTTATTAAATTGTATAAACGTTCTAAGCGTGTGAGTTATCATAACGTGTTTACAGCAGTTTCAGCAGTTCAGGCCAATATGAAACTTGCTGAAGCCGACGTTATTCATGCATGCTCTATATAATATATTCTCCTGCTTAATATAACTTGGAACTTGAGAAAAGCAGAATTCCAACTTTTTATTTTAAATTCAACTTGAAGGTTTCCAACTGTAATCTTTAATAATTTAAAGCACTGAAAACTATGTTTTGCTCTTAAACTTGATAAGATAGAGAGAGAGAGACTTGTTAGTTTAAGAGGGGTGGAGCAGCGTCACAAAAACCTCCTTATAAGGGCTGAGTTGAGAGGGGGGGGGGGCATAAAAAGTGTAACAAGAAAAGTTGTATAAATCGCACAACAGGTGTCAGTTGTAAACCACCATCTTTAAAACTAAAATGGCGGGAAGCGCAAAAAGTGACGCTCTAAGTTTGATGCAGGATACGCTTATTTGCGTAACTCTTATTGTTCTGTGGTAAAGCTTGATGGTTAATCTGCGTACGTGATTGTAAGGTTTGCGTATGAGATTGCGTATCTATAGTGTAGGGCGGAGCACGTTTCTCATCATTGAGAGAAACTAAATGATCGTAAAAAGATGGAGAATTTACCGATCCTATATATAGTTAGCCCGCCCTTTCCATTCGATACGCCACGCCCACAAAGCTTTGTTTGTTGACACATCTTGAGCTAACGACTGGTTTAATCACCGATTCAAATATATAGGGATGTGAGACATCTGTACGGATTATATAAATGTTTTTTTTGCAATTTAATAATTTCCTGCAACTCTTATTTGGTTCTTTCCTAATTACCAATCATTTTGGCCCAGGACTGATTTTCACCTTGAAATTGTCATATTAAAAGAGGTATAGGTTGTCTTTGCAGTCTCATCCTTAGCGAAAAAATATTATGAAATCCGCAAACTTTTTGTTTGATTTTGTTTTTATACTTTACAAAGAGAAGATGTCTGGAGATAAAGTCACAATTAGAAGTTGAAATAGAAGATGGTCGCGAAGCGCCCTAAAAGTCTAGTATATTAATATTGTCTTTGAAGAAAAACAGTCAGTTTGGTATGTATTCATTTACTGTGGGGGGGGGGGGGGGATATTATTTCGAATTTTCCCCTCTTTACATTTTTCTATCCATCCTCCTTCCTTAGTTTCCCACGCCTGTATTATCATATAATACGGAACAGTATTGAATTTATGAATAATAACATTTTAACAAGTAGAATATTAATAAGCTAGCTATCATGCATACATTATACTGATAATTTCATTAAACATAATTGAATATATTTTGTAAGACTATTTGACTATTCGTTGATTATATTGATAATGATGATACTGATATTGCAGGAGAGCAGTTCTGCGGGTTGGACGTGAATACTCCCTTGGGAGGAGAACTACCAATCTCTCAGTCTCCAGTTCTTACTTTCGATGTAAGCTTTCTCTGTCAAGCTTTCTCCGCCAAGCCATCCCTTTAATATTTTCCCATCCCTTTATCAAGCTTTCTTTGTTAAGCTTTTCTGACAAAAGTTTTTCCTTTCTAAATCTCTGTCATGCTTTTCCTTTCTAACTCTCTGTCATGGTTTTCCTTTCTAACTCTTTGTCATGCTTTACCTTTCTAACTGTCTTGTCAAACTTTTCCTTTCTAACTGTCTGTCAAGCTTTTCCTTTCTAACTGTCTGTCAAGCTTTTCCTTTCTAACTCTCTTTCATGCTTTTCCTTTCTAACTGTCTTGTCATGCTTTTTCTTTCTAACTCTCTTTCATGCTTTTCCTTTCTAACTCTCTTTCATGCTTTCCCTTTCTAACTCTCTAACTAGCTTTTCCTTTTTAACTCTTTGTCAAGCTTTACTCCTCACCATTTTTTTTATCATTCTTTACTTTCATCTTTTTTTCTTGCCAAGCTTTTGTTTCTTCTAGACTGTATTTTAAGATTTTTCTATTTATTATTGAAATAACCTCTCTATAAATTAAAAAAATCGACTATTGTTATGATCTACTGAATCTTACTACTAAATTTCATTTTTTTGCAATTTGTATGATATTTATTTTTGCCTAGTTCAATGTCAGTATCTGTCGGGATGTCATTTCTTGTTTCTTGGTTTTGTCATTAAATTCTTGATTCAGTTTCTGCTGGTCTCCCCTTGGCCTTCTCCTTTCCCCCTTAACACCCCCCCCCCTCGAACTCCACCCCCCCTTCTTTTTCCTTTGTCCTTTTTATTTTTCCCTGACTGGCATTATAATTCATTTTCCTGTTTTTATTGGTTCCAACTTCCCAAGCTTTGTTTAGATTTATAAGTTTATAGACTGGGTTAGAAACACTTATTCTTGGTATTTAATCAGAATTCGTATTTTACTTATTTATGCATTTGATGCCTGCCCAATACTTATTAAATGCAGTTTTAAGAATGGGATGAAAAAATTAAGTTTAAGACTTAAATTGAGTTTAATCTTTGTTTAAATATTTAATGATTTTTATATCTCAACTCCCGGCGCATTTTCTGCATTGACCTCCGTTCACCTTCCCGTTAAAATATAACATTTTCACTTCATTTTTCAAGTATTTGCACACTGCCGTGCAATTTAAACTTTTCTCCCATTTGCTCAGAATTTAGAATAGTTTTCTGTTTTTCTTCGATTCTCGGTTTACTTTTCTGTCTTGAAACATTTATTGGAGTTAGTGGACCAGTAGATATAAATCCACTGACCGAGATATTACCTTTATTTTACTAGGCGCATTTAACAGCTGTAACAGCGACCTCTACTGGAGACTTTACAGTGGCGTTTATCGGAACTAGCGAGGGTAACCTCAAGAAGGCCGTAGTGGAGTCTGCCAACAGTGGAATAGAGTACTCAGACGTACCTATTGCTCCAGGTACAATTTTGAAATCCTCTTAAAAATACAAATATAAGAAAACAGACCCTTCAAATATGTCCAACTCTGTTTTAGTTTTCAATTTCTTTCCGCACAGGGTACAAATGTTTAAAACTTTACTTTTGGTTTTGGCAGGAGTGAGTTGGATTCACAGTTTCTTTGTTTAAGACTGGTTGAGGGGGAGGGGAGACGGACTTATTGAATTATTGTTTCCCTTTCTTGATTTCGGTAGGGTCGGCTTTCAACTACTTGTATTTTGTAATAGAAGGGGAGACAGAGAGTATCAGACAGGTTTGGCCTTCTGATATAAAGGGGGCAGTCTTGCGAATTTTATTGGATTTTATCTGGTATTATGGAAATTGGTTGGGATATATAGGATTGTATCTGGATTAAAGGGAAGCAGTTATGTGGATTATATAGGATTGTATCTAGAATAAAGGGAAGCAGTTGGGTGGATTATATAGGATTGTATCTAGAATAAAAGGAAGCAGTTAGGTGGATTTGTATCTAGAATAAAAGGAAGCAGTTAGGTGGATTATATAGGATTGTATCTAGAATAAAGGGAAGCAGTTAGGTGGATTATATATGATTGTATCTAGAATAAAGGGAAGCAGTTAGGTGGATTATATAGGATTGTATACAGAAAATAGAGGGAAGCCGTTAGGCGGATTATATAGGATTGTATTTAGTAAAAATGGAAGCCGTTAGGTGGATTATATAGGATTGTATTTTGTATAATTCGAAGCAGTTAGGTTATATGTATGGTTATAGTATAATGTAATGCATATAGTTGATTGAATGGGATTATGGGATTGTATCTAGTCTTAGCGTCAAGGAAGGGAAGCTGGGATTATATCTACTATAAAGGAGAGCATTTATGTGGATTGGATAGGATTGTATCTAGTGTATCGTGAAAGGTACTGGAGTGGAGCTGTATCCTGTATTTTGTATTAAATGAGGGTTGTACCGAAAGGATTTATTTCATCTCTCTCTAGAATGGAAAAATGTGAAAACATCACAGGATTAGATGATATATAATACACATATCTTCTCCACAATATTTGTACATTGCTCCCTCCACATCTCAAATATATTATTCAGCAATGGCGTAAACGGAATGAAGACGTTATTTTATTATTAAGTATGTACGATTCACAACGTTATTATTTGTCTGATCTAAGATGACGGAGATACCCTTATTTTGCTACAGGGTATACAAAGCACACTTCACTCAATTTTCAGTTGGATAAAAAAGCTTATTTCCATCGTTGATGATCAGGCCACAGCTTAAAGGGTACCAATGTGAATCGGGTGGTGGTGGTAAGGGCAGTGAAAGATGTTTTTACTTGTTTAGGAACCGATCAGTTCTTTTATTTTCAGGCCCCTAACCAGTATTCCCCAAGGGGGCTAGGGGGGTGCAAAGAGAGGGGTTATAGTAGGGGCCCATGATCACCTAGTGAAACGTAATGAAGGAAGTGGGGAGTTGCAAGGGGGGGGGGCAGAAAAGTTTCACAATTTTGGTATAAAAACCAGTAATTTTAGCTTGAATTTTATTTTATTTAGTTTATTTACTGATATGTGATTTAAGCCTTAACTTAATGTTACAGTGATTATTTGATTTTCCCTGAATTTAATGTTTTTTATGGCACAAGGAAAATTTACATAATTTAGTTTGCTCAAATTTTACAATTTTAGAAGATAGAAAATGTTGATAATTGTGGTATTTCTAATATATTTTGATATTACTATTCACGTTCATTGATTTTGAATTGTCTAGACACAAAATTAAAACTTAGGCAATATTTCTGCAAAATTTAAAGAATTTAATTGTTGATACATACTGGAACATATTTTTAACATTTCATTTATGACATATATAGGACAAATATTTTTAAAGAAGATTTAATTTGGTTTGTATGAGGGAACAGCTTCAGTAAAGAATTGTTCAGATATAGTATATGCGCTATACAATATACGGAATGATAACAAATTTTGATAACTTTGAATGCTAATATCTTTATTTTTCAAAAATCATCATTTCACCCTCCTTTTAGGAGAAATGGTGGTGCACCTGACCCCTCACCCTCCCCCCCTGAGTACAGGCCTGATTATTTTGATCCGATGTTTTCGTCTAAAATGCATGAACATTTAACAATGCTCCAATTGAATATTGATTAAATGATAATTTTTCTTCAGGAACTGCTGTAAGGTCTGAACTCCTATTTGACTTGAAGCGGGACCACGTGTACGTTATGACTGACCGGAAGCTAAGTAAAGTTCGTGTACAGGACTGCCAGCAGTACACAGACTGCAACCAGTGTCTGGGGGCAAAGGTAAACAAACTTTTAGTTCTGTTGAACAATTTGGTCGAGATGTATGAATTAAAAACAATGGTGTCAATCAAATTTGAATAACAAATTGTGAAAAAAAAGATTTTAAGGGGAAGTATTGGTAACCCTGAAATTTTACTTTCTTTCCCCTTCAGTGTATAGGGTTTCAAAGAACGGATTTAAGATGTGTTAACGGATTTGTTGTTTTAAGTTTGCAGCTTATCCTTGGTTCAATGTCGTCAACTTTTATCTTCATCTTTTAAAATAATTTTGATATTTTTAAATATTTTTTCTTTCTGACTTTATTTGATATCTATGTCTGTGATCTCTGCATTGAAATGAGCTTTATTATATCTAGACATGAAATTTTGATTAATTTTAACAATTACATGAATTAATCACGACTTATATCGAAGAGGTTTTATGAGATAAAATAATGAAATCCAGGTCGAATAGATTAAAAACCCGGCAGGAATCCTGACATTCAGGGAGGGATACTTCTTGTCTTCTCAGATCGTAACTTCTGGGTGTAAATTGTTAATCTTGCTCTCGATATTCATTGTGGGTACTTATTATCAATAATTAATCCCGCTATTGAAGTTATCCTTGCAGGGTATAACAATCACACGTTATCAAAGAGGAATTGAATAGATCTGTATAGATCAACGCGTGATCCTGAGATTCATAACATTAAAAGTTCTTACTTTTAAGCATACATATAAATTGATCAACTCTGATTTAAACATTTTGGTCCTTTTCCCAAGATGCTACTTTCTGTCACAATTTGAAACTAGTTATTTGATGCTATGTGTGTGAAATGCGTAAAAGCTGACGCCTCTTTCCTTGTGTTTCCCTCATCATTGAAATATGCATGTTTTGCAACTATGCAGTACTTATTAATGATATTCAGATATGATTTTTTTAAGAAAAGAAATCTGGATTTTTTTAGTTAATGTTACTCCCATGTTACCTATGGGTTCCTTTAATAATGTCAGCCCATTCGGTTCAGCCGTTTTGCCCACTAAAGCTAACATATAAATATATATGAGCGAAGAGCCTTATTATATAGGTCAAGTCTTCAGATATAATGAAGCCCATTTAAAAGTATTGTTTTTTTTTTCTTTCCTTGAAAATACAGAAACTATTAAAAGCTAACAATTCTTATAGACACACTTTCTCTGTATATAGATATAGGAACAGTTCAACAATTTATTTAGTTTTTAGCCGTGAGGCTGTCTGCAATAGTTTCTTAGTTTGGTATACAGATTAGTTGCCAGATATCTGGTATACAGATTAGTTGCCAGATAACTGGTATACATATAGTTACCAGATAACTGGTATACAGATAGTTGCCAGATAACTGATATACAGATAGTTACCAGATATCTGGTATACAGATAGTTGCCAGATAACTGGTATACAGATAGTTACCAGATAACTGGTATACAGATAGTTGCCAGATAACTGGTATACAGATAGTTGCCAGATAACTTCGTTTCTCTCAAGTTCCAGTATTTAAAATTTCATTAGTTTTATTTTAAAGACAGTTAAATTAAGTTTTATAATTTATTGCTCATTTTTTAAAGCAAAAAATTCTTCTTTTGTATGTGTGAGCAATTATGACTTGTTATTAGTATCACACAACCTCAAATTAAATAATTTTTCTACTTGATAGTTTATTCCTAAATATATTTACGAGATAGAAAAAAATCAACTTTAACGAATGGTTTTTGGAGTTAAAATGAAAAGGTGTAACAATATGGAGAATTTTCTACTTTTTTCCTCTACTGCTGGATATGAAAGATATAAAACTAAAAATACATTCTTCAAGCAAATGCTAAGTTTGAAATATTGGGAGCAATACATGACCCTTTTTATAATACATATTTGATGTTTAGGATCCATATTGCGGGTGGTGTAGTCTTGAGAACAAGTGCAGTCTGCGCGGGGACTGCAGGGATGCCGCGTTGGATCCTTTATATTGGATTTCATACAAGTCTGGAAGGTAAATCGTCTTCATTTGTATCATTTTTTTCTTCACATCATGGTCTGTTCGTCTCAATCCTCCAACTGAACTTCCCCACCATAATCTTGGTCTTAAACTTAAATTTAAATCATAATTATTATCTTTTCTTGATCTTGCTATTTATCTTCTGATCTTGATCTTGATCTTCTTATCATAACCTTCTTTTCATCATCTTCTCATTTTGATCTTTTCATCTTAATCTTTTTATCTTCTTCTTTTAATCTTTTTTTCTCTGATCTTGATCTTTTATTTTCATCCTCTTAACATGATTTTCTTGTCTTGATTATCTCATTTTCATCTTCATCTTCTCATCTTATCTTCTCATCTTCATCTTCTCATCTTCATCTTCTCATCTTATCCTCTCAACTTCAATTAATCATCTTCTCATCTTATCTTCTCAACTTCATCTTCTCATCTTCATCTTCTCATCTTCATCTTCTTATCTTCTTAACTTCATCTTATCATCTTCGTATTATCTTTTAATTTTAATTTGTTTGAATATATTCATTGTTGATCAAATAGCTTGCAGAAAGTAATTTTTTATTGTTGTTTAAGATGTACCACAATAACTTCTTTTTGTTTAAGATATACCACAATAACTTCTTTTTGTTTAAGATATACCAAAATAACTTCTTTTTGTTTAAGATATACCACAATAACTTCTGTTTGTTTAAGATGTACCACAGCAACTTCTTTTTGTTAAGATGTACCACAATAACTTCTTTTTGTTTAATATATACCACAATAACTTCTTTTTGTTTAAGATGTACCACAATAACTTCTTTTTGGTTAAAATGTACCACAATAATATCTTTTTGGTTAAGATGTACCACAATAACTTCTTTTTGGTATGTACCACAATAACTTCTTTTTGGTTAAAATGTACCACAATAACTTCTTTTTGTTGAAGATGTAGATGTGCCACAATAACTTCTTTTTGTTTAAGATGTACCACAATAATTTCTTTTTTGTTGAAGTTGTACCACAATAAATTTTTTGTTTAAGATGTACCACAATAATTTCTTTTTTGTTGAAGATTTACCACAATAATCTCTTTTTTGTTAAGATGTACCACAATAATTTCTTTTTTGTTGAAGATGTACCACAATAATTTCTTTTTTGTTAAGATGTACCACAATAACGTCTGTTACTCCCTTTGAACTACAGAGAACAACCGCTAGGTATGTATCTAAATAAATTTTAACAAGATTCAACATTTTGGGAAAAATGTTTATTCATCTGATTTTCAAAATATCAAATAAAATAATGCAAATTTGAAATAGTTAAAATTAACTTATATGGAGGTTTCGTTTTTAAGTAACAGAGTAAAAATGTGTTAGTTGTGTTAGTTAATGGTTGCATGAATTATTTATTATATGAGTAATATTTTCCAACATTATTTGAATAATAATCCCATTATTCAACCCCTCCCCCCCTTGTTTCTTCATCGTAATAGATAGAAATATCCAAAAATTATGTGATATAGGATTCCTTTTTCTTGATTGTTTTGCTTTCAGCTTAAAGCTTTAGCGTTTTTCAAAATTCATTAATAAATTGTGCCATTCTTATTTAGTCAAATGTTAAATTAGTACTGGATAAAATCGAAAATGTTACGATTATTTTTATAATTTTAAATAAAAGTATGTCCGATCATAGCTCATGAACCTCTGGACTGATTTGCCTCAAATTTTGACTGAAAAATGTTCTTAGCTTTCTTCCCCCCCCCCTTCATTCATTCCTTTTTTTGCAATATGTACTTATATTATGCAAAGTTATTTATATAACAAATTAAAATATAGTTAGAAGCCATATCTATTGATGGCCATATCACAACGTTTCCCTTTTACCTTTGAATGAAATATCCTTTTTTTCTAGTTGAAAATTTGATTTATTTGTGGTTGGGTCCTTGATAAACGTTTCTTGCGTATCCTACAGAAACAATGGCGCAAATTGTTAAATAACCTTACTTTTTTATATGATAACTAATTATTTTCAAGAGTTATTTCTATTTCGATAGTCCCTTTAAAGGGACTTTAAGCGTAATTTTAATACAAAGATTTGAATGCCCGATTTAGGAAGGTACCCTGGTCGAGTATAAATGAGATATTCATGTTTTTGTTCACATAAAAAGTTTATTTTCATTTGCAGTTTCTCTGCGAAATTGACTTGTGTATTTCTTGCTTATAGGAAGCAATGGAGTTAATATAAGAATTTAACAATTATTCAAGTAAAAAAAACAACGGCGGGGCGGTTTCTTCCACTCCAGCTCCAGCCCAGCTCCAACTCCAGCTCCAACTCCAACTCCAACTTTAGCTCTATCTCTAGCCCCCAGTGACAGACTATAAATTATCATGGCATATTATCCTAATGTCACTGTTACGTAATTATTTTCAGCAGTTTATATTTTCCAGTAAAATAAAAGGGGAAATTTGTTTAGGGTGGTAGTAAATAATGAATAAAATTCAGTTATGGGAGACAAAAAATATCACTGAAAAGCGATTATATCATTTGTTTTGGTTTTATTAAAATCATCTTCCACTGTATTACAAGCATTTGCTAAAATACAAAACTGCTTTTTCTTCTTCAATTTTGTTATTTGCAATTTTAATTCAAAACAAAATCTGAAGGGGGTGTGGGGGGGGTCTGAGGCCGGATTTAATGAGCTTGGATAAGTTTACAATGGCCTGGAGGGTGAAATAAGGAAATTAATTAGTAATCAGCTAATTAGGTGGATTCATATGCTTGGATCATTCACATCTTTTATACTCTAATTGATCATAAATGTCGACCTTGCAAAAGTTAACTAACTGCCCTGGGACAAAGTAAAAAAGTTTTTATATAATCAATTCACTAGGAATACAAAAATGAATACAGAATATACAGAATAGATTATAAATAATATTATTGATTTTAACGTATTTTGACCAACATTACCGACCTATAATTCCCCCAACAGAGAGAGATTATGTTACTTAACGTCCCTTGGGACAGTTATATAAAATGACCATCCGCTATACGAAGTTTTTAGTAAAAAATCGTACATTTTCATCTCAAAAAATTTGTACAATTACTTATTCGGGAAATTGAAAATTTTTCTTAACCACGGGTTAAATTAAGTTCTGTGAGCATAGTTCTAAGTTTATTTGACCCTCTTTGAAAATAGAGCCATGCCCGATTTACCCTTGAAATTAAAGGTTTCAAGGCTCTGACAAAAAATGTGGAAGAGAAGTTCGTTCTTCTGACGCGAAGTTTTTTAATTCTGCAAATTTCTCTATTGTTTCAAATTTTAAAAAAAAATGCGCAAGTCACTTTTGATTTGATTTGGTCTAAGACAAAGCTTTTAGGAATGGAGGATTACTTTTACGGTCGTCTTTAGAACTGAGAATACTGAATTTAAAAAATGGTTTTGTGGTTGTAACATTGGTTTTTACTTTTTAAGATGGTTTCTCACATCAATGTAATCAAATGTATATATATATATATTTCAGAACCCTGCAGCTTGTAATAGAAAACCTACCCAACCTACCTGGTGAATTCTTCTGTGCTTTCAACGCTGAAGGGAAGAGTCTGACCACCAAGGCGAATAGAACAACCAATGGGGTCAGCTGTACAACACCCAGGTAGATCTTAGACATTTGTAAATTTATGCAGTCACAAAAAGTTGTGAAGAAATTTGTACGCGCTTATAATGTACAGCTATTAACACAATTATAAAAAGAGTTGCACATTTATCATGTACAGACAGCTCTATATTTACCATGTACAGACAGCTGTATATTTATCATGTACAGACAGCTGTATATTTATCATGTACAGACAGCTGTATATTTATCATGTACAGACAGCTGTATATTTATTTGTTGTGACAGTTGTTCATTTATTTTGTGGCTATTTGTACACATATTATGTTCAAACAATTTTACACTGTTCATGTTTAAGACAGTCTTACATTTAACGCGTACATCAATGAAGTACTTGTCTAGCTTTTATGTACAATTGTACTTTTTTCTTGACAGACTTATTTTGTACATTGCTTTTATAGTAAATTTAAAAGACGAGTTGAGTATTGTAAATGACGAGTCCTTTGTTTATGTAGTATTCAGAGTCAACAATTTGCGCTCTCCCTGTATTTAATTTAAATTTTAAAAAATTCTGAAAAAAGAACTGAAATATGATTTCATGTTTGGGTTTAAATGCACTTAGTGAAACTTTATACCTACACTCTAAGCCTGTAGAATGCAAAAGCATTAATGCAAAGTATTTTTAGTTTTTTTTTAATTCACATTTCCTTTCAGCTAACGTTAGACTTAAAAGGGCTGAGACCGAAATTTAAAGTTTACACATGCCATGCTCTGCTTAAGTTGGTCTGAACTTCCTATTAGCCTCATAAACTCTCGACTCTAATCTATCATCTCAGATCTTCATCTCAAGTAAACCAGTGCTCTGGATGTAGGATACACGGTTCAAGCTAAATAGATTGACCGGAATCATTTATTCAATACAAGGAAACATATATACAAATCAAACTTTCAAAATAGCATATCGAATCCAAATTTTGCATATAAAAACATATTTAATCATAAAATAAAATAAATATCAAAAGTTCGTTATTTTACAACAATTTACAAACAAATTCAATCATCAGTTTAAACTATAAAAAATACACAAATCGTTAAGGAATACCTTAATATGTCTTAGGCAAAGTCACAGCACATCAATAATCAACGTTTATTTAACTAGAAAATTGTACAGACAGTATGGGTTTTAAGACTAAGTTTACAATTTATAACCAGTTTCGTTTGTGTGGAACAAACTCAACTATACTCCGTAGGGGCTTCACAGCTTTACTCAAGGGTATTCAGGGGCGAGGGAAAACAGAACGTGACGAAAATTACGCGTAACAACACATTACACAGTTATAATGCCACATTCACAATGGTACCCCTTTACACATTTATCTGAGAAACAGTGAGAAAGATATTATTTTTATTTTATCTTTAAAAATGTCCATTTCCGTCCTTGTTTCTGTTGCATAAGTCGCAAGTCACTTTTACAATAAACCTCAATTCACAAAGATATCAATTTTCAGATTCAAAAATAAGAAAAACTATATTTTTGCTGACGACTTTGTAAAATGTACCGTTATGAATCTTAAGAAAGTGTCAATTCAAATTATTTGTTTAGGAATGACTTGTTGCCCGTAATACCTACCGGAGAGAGCCATTTTACATCACAGTTAGCGGTCAGAGTGGCAGACGGTCCCAACCTGGTCAATACTAACTTTACCTTCTTTGACTGTAATTCATATTCATCATGTACAGCCTGTGTCTCCTCGCCCTTCCCCTGCGACTGGTGTGTCGACGGTATGTACTCTAAGGTTTCATGTACTTAATATATTAGTGTTTGTACATCTATATTGTACAATGTACATACACTGACAAAATGAATTTCTAGACTGGAAGAAAAGATTTATCCCAATCTTAGATGTAGGGGAATAAATTCTGTAGAAAAATATTTCTCTTCCCCCTTTCAAAATTTTCTTTACCCAGAAGTTTTTTTTTGCGGTGTTGGGGGGGAGGGTGAGGTAACTTTTGATTTCCAATTTTTCTTTCTTTTTTCCCCAGATCTTCTCCTGTTTCTTAGAAAATCGCCCCTTTCTTGAAGATAGATAAATTTAACTTGAAAAGTTTTTGTTTAAGTTTCAACTTATATTGAATAATCCGTGTTTTCTTTTCCTAGGGTAGTCCGAATACAAAGAAGAATATTATGAAATGTTTCTAAGGATCATTAATTTGTAAATGATTTTTAACTTTCTAAAGTTAAAAAAAATAAAAACCCAGCCAAGTTTTAAACTTTTAATTTTTTTTACACAAAACATATTTTTATTCTTTATAGTTTTTGACGGACACACTTTTTTCAAAAGGATATTTTGTTACCTTGCCTTTCTAAAATATGAATTTATCTTTTATCTGTGTTCCTGGAAACTTTATCTTTTTAAACTTTCAAAGCTTTTAAAATTCCTTCAGAATTTAATTATAGGGCCATTATACTTTGCTACTTATTACAGCCACGTTTAGGTTGTATTTTTTATGTAATATGAAAGTCCATGGCATTCAGAATTAAAACCAGGAAACTTGATTTTGACTAAAGACCAATTTTCTAAAAATAAAATTTAAATTTTCATTTTGATTTGATTTTAGGGCATCGTTGTACACACGACACTGTGGAGAATTGTAGAAATGATATCTTAGTCACGGGTTTGAAAAGGTATTTTAAAATTAATTTTAATTTAAGAAATGTCAATTTTCAATTACTAGGCTTCTATTTTAATTGTGAACATTTGTACACATTGTAAAACAAAAAAACGAAAATTTCGTGGAATTTATATAAAAAAAATTGTGAATTTTTAAAATATTTTAAAAATCGAATTGTGTTAGTGTTGAAGTTTAAAAAATTCGGTCATCTTTATAAACCTTCTTTGGTGTCACGTGATGTTCCACAAAAAGTTTGGGCCCGATCGGTTCAGCCGTTTTGACGTTTATTGGATACAAAGGGACAGACAAGCAAAGTATATATATATAGACAAGTGCTGAGAATATATTTTTTATACGGGCCATGGATCATGGATTCACATTAAGGAAAATCAGATTCAAAACCGGTTCATGATTCAGCCAACATTTCGGTTCGGAGTAAAGTATGGATTCAATAAGAATATTTTTAGAATTGGGCAAAGTCTGCGAAGTGGTCCTGAATTTTGCCCACGTGTGAACGCAACCTCGCACGGAAGTCCAGAAATCCTCGTTTCTGCCGGACTCCCTAAGAGCGTTAGAGTGAAGGTATTTTTTTGCAGTATTACCGCCATTTTTTTTATCGGTTTTTCCACTGTTTGGAGTTGCTAGCACATATTGAGTTGGTAGCACTGCCGTTTGGAGTTAGCAGCACCGCCATTTTGAATTTTTTGCACCGCCATTTTGAATTGGGATTCTCGCCATTAATCTGTATCACCGTATTGTAAACCAGTTCTACCACCATTTTGAATCTATATTACTGCCATTTTGAATCTGTATTACCGCCATTAATCTGTATTTGTATCATTCTGAATCACNAGTACATTTATATTTATGTACTCATATACAGGTACAGTACATATATATTTATGTACTCATATACAGGTACAGTACATATAAATTCATGTACTCATTTACAGGTACAGTACATTTATATTTATGTACTCATATACAGGTACAGTACATATATACATATATATGTACTCATATACAGGTACAGTACATATATATTCATGTACTCATATGCAGGTACAGTACATATATATTCATGTACTCATATGCAGGTACAGTATATATATATTTATGTACTCATATACAGGTACAGTACATATATATTCATGTACTCATATACAGTTACAGTACATATATACTCATATACAGGTACAGTACATATATATTTATGTACTCATATACAGGTACAGAACATATATATTCATGTACTCATTTGCAGGTACAGTACATATATATTCATGTACTCATATACAGGTACAGTACATATATATTTATGTACTCATATACAGGTTAAGTACATATAGATTCATGTACTCATATACAGGTACATTTACATATATATTCATGTACAGGTACATTTACATATATATTTATGTACTCATATACAGGTACATTTACATATATATTCATGTACTCATATACAGGTACATTTACATATATATTCATGTACTCATTTGCAGGTACATTTACATATATATTCATGTACTCATTTGTAGGTACATCTACATATATATTTATGTACCCATATAAAGGTACAGTACTTAATATTAATGTACTTTTATTAAATACAGTACATTGATATTCATGAATATTAGTCATGTAAAAATAAAGAAATATTAATTTATTTAGATGCCAAGAGATGGCAGGGAATTGTGGAATGTGTCTCAGTTTAGATCCTAAATATCAATGTGGTTGGTGTGAGGTACAATAATTTATTCATTCATTCATTTAATTTTTATACTTTTATAAATTCTATGTTATATTTGACATATATATATATCACATTAAGTTGCTCAATGTGCAATATGCTGCTGTTTTTAATTTCATGTCAGCCCATACACAGTTTATTATCTTTATTATAACCATGTATTCCATTTTATACTTTCTACATTCTTTTGAAGATTTCTGGTGAAGTTCCCTTACCTCCTACTGGGACTGACAACCCTATTTTCTATTCCGTTTGTTGTTAAATTGTTGATTTTAATACATCCTGTTCTTCAACATATTTATCCTTTGTTCTTGAGAAATGTAAATAAAGAGTTTTGTAAGGCCTTCTATTTTTCCATTGTTATACAAGATTGTACATGGGTGTTCGCTTAAAAATCCCCCATATTTGATAATTGAATGGTTTTTTAACCATTCCCGGGCTAGTGCTGTTCACACTTCTGAAAATGAACCATCAGGATTCAGGTTAAAACACTTATTTTTCTTCGGAATATATTAATATGCAGGCTTCTGAGTTATAATCTAAATTTTCAGGAAATGACACCTAGGAAATTTTTATCAAATCCATTTTAGAGAAATTGTAGAAATGAAGTGCATTTTAAAGTCTAATCTCAATCGTAACTGTAGGTTCAAAGATTAATGAAGATTATTCTGTGATTATTTGCGATATTTTTAGAACCGTTGATGACAGGGTCCCCAAATTTTGTGAATTTTCCTTAACAATCCTAAGACATGTTTTAGCAAAAAAATCAAAGCCTTAAGTGAACTGTAAAATTGCCCAATTTCTGCCTAAAACTAAAAAAAAACTTTTGAAAGAAAAACAAGAAAAAATAAAACAAAAAAAACTCTTTCGGACCGCATTTTGTCAGTCAGGCAGTTGACTTAGGGGTTTGATTTTTTGCTACAATAAGTTTCACGACTGTTAAAGAAAAATAATAAAATTTGGAGACCATGTCATATACTGTTAAAAAATATCGTCAAAAACCCAGAAGAAGCAGATTAAAGTCTTGAAAAGAAATTTTTGTTAAATTTAAGACCTGTGAATGCACTTGATTTCTACAATTTCTTAAAAACTGATAAATAAATATAGTCCAAAGAAAAAGTTTAGGTGTTCTGACTTGAAACCTGATGGTCCATTTTCAGCAGTGTGTGTTATAAAGAAAGAGCATCCTGTAAGGATTTTAACTCTGACCTTTGTTTTTATTAAAGACATGTATCTTGATAAAACAGTTTTATAAGCTTTGTTCTCTATAACCCTGCATTCTTTCTCTTCTTTTCTAAGTTATCTTTTTAACCCTATTCCTGCTGGGGGGGGGGGGTCAAATTGACCCCCCCCTTTAGTTTTTTTTTACATAACTCAAAAAATATTGGTCTGAGGCTGTAGAAATTTTCTGTCTTTTCCTACATACCCAAAGCCCTCCCTTTAGGCCTAAAACCGGGCTTTAATACTAACTGCCTGAGTCCTCAGGCACACTGCCTGAATGACTCCTTAAAATGTATAATTTTTCATTACTTTATAACTGGATTTTACGATAAAAAATACAATTTTTGCAAACTTGCAAATTCTTTTTGCAGATTCTAAAAGTAGATCACAAAAGCTTTCCAATGATGTATCATTTGTAATATTTCGACATAAAACTTGGGATTTAGAGGGGGGGGGTCAAATTGACCCCCCCCCCCCAGCATAGGGTTCATCTTGAACAGATTCACTGTTATCTTAATACATTAAACTACCTTTGTAACCCAGATTTTCATCAAAGCTGAACTTTCTCTATACAAGATTCGATCCATTTTGAATTTTAAAGCCAGGCTAAGACCATTCCCGTGGTTCTACCGAGTTCTCTCGGTCAATATTTGAGGAAAATCCGTCAAGGGGTTCCTAAGTTAAGATAGGACATACAAACAGAGATTACTTATTTGTGTGTATAGATAATGATACCATGTTACCCACACAGGATAAGTCTTCAATGACGTCATAAAAATTCTTAAATGCCGCATTTTTTTTAATTCGGCCAATTTCACTAGTTACACTCATTAATAAACAATGTGACAAGAAATAAAGCAAAACAATTGAGGTTCACCACCAATACCAATTTTCTAATACCTATATCTCTAAAAGCAGATGATGTAAACCTTTAATAATTTCAAATTAGGACTGTTTGCTATAACAGAAGTCATAGTTTGAAATATCTAAGGTCTACGACAGTGGGTTGTGAAGATATAGGAATTTAAAAATAAGAGTTTGTGGCAAAGACTCAAATCCTTTGCAGTTGTAGCCAATCTATAAATTAGATACAAGGTTATATGTTTTGATTTCTCTAGCTTAAGTAAGTGTCCTGTCAACAGTCCTCGTGGATTTTTAGAATTTTTTGGTTTTCCCGGATTTTAAACAATCCTTTTTACAGTTTTTATTTCATTGGCACAACAAGTTAAGAGCTTTTTTTGAATTATTTATTTCAAAACAAAAAAATATTTTTGCCAGCGAGTTTGATTTATGGATGATATATTATTCTCCTCGAGTCAGCTTAGGAAACATCTATTGCTTGTTGAAGTATGTAATAAATGTCTGTTACATATTGGTCTAGCTAGATGTATATGTTCTTACAATCTATTTTAATGTCTGCTCTGTACTTTCCAATCTGCAGTATTGCAGTTTTACTAACCAACGGACCCATAAAATTAAGGAATAGTTAGACAATCCGCCTTATGTTAGGATTTTGAATAGGTTAAATAAATTAATAATACTAATTGTACACTTACAGCATACACATTACACTGGCCCATTTCTATTAATATAAGTTCAATGTCAATGCAAATCTATTTGTTTTTTATCTTTAAATACAAATAAGATTTCTTCACTCTCGTTTTTATTAACAACATTTTTAAGCTCTAATATTTAAGAAAATGCAGAGGGAGAATCGACAAATATTCTTTACAACCTTACAAGATCATAAGTAATTGACTAATAACAGTTTTTCACCCTTTAAAGTACTTTAAACCCTTAAATTATCCCTAATTCTGGAAATACAAAACATAACATACTTTAACTGTATTTCATAATGTAGGCGAGTAAGAAGTGTGAAGTTAAAGAGCAGTGCGGAGGCAAGGATAATGTTTCCTGGTTGGACAGAGATCAAACCTGTCCTGATCCTCAAATATTACAATTCAGGTAGATATTTATCCAGATTTCTATTCATAGATTATCCATATTTTTATTCACAGATTATCCATTTTTTTACTTACAGTTTATCCATATTTTTATTTTCAGTTTATCCATATTTTTATTTTCAGATTATTCATATTTTTATTTACAGTTTATCCATATTTTTATTTTCAGTTTATCCATATCTTTATTTTCAGATTATCCATATTTTTATTTACAGTTTATCCATATTTTTATTTACAGATTATCCATATTTTTACCTACAGATTATCCATATTTTTATTTACAGAATATCCATATTTTCACTCTCAGAATATCTTTTTTACAGATTATCCATATTTTCACTTACAGAATATCCAGATTTTTTTTTACAGATTTTCCAGATTTTCATTCATAGATAATCCATAATTTTATTTACAGATTATCCATATTTTTACTTACAGATTATCCATATTTTCTCTCACAGATTATCCATATTTTCATTTACAGATTATCCATATTTTTATTCAGATTATCCATATTTTTATTCACAGATTATCCATATTTTTATTCACAGATTATCCATATTTTTGTCAACAGATTATCCATATTTTTATCCAACCCATATATTTATTCACAGATAATTACATTTACAAATAATTAGACTCATAAAGTTTTTTTCTGAAGTTTAAGTTTGGAGCCCCCCCCCCCCCCTCCCTCCTTTAAGTTTTGAGTCAAGAGCCTCTCCTTAAATTTTCCTAGAGCATGGTTTCGTGGTTTTATATTTTTGAGTTTCGACAGAAAAAGGATTTTGTGCTCCTCAAAATAATAAATTGAGTGTTTTAATCCCTACATCTTTAACCTGACGGTGTAAATCTTCAATATTTCAAACGTAGATTATTTGATATAACAGAATTCATAGTTTGAAATATCTAAGGTCTAGCACATGGGTTGCACAGATATAGGAAGAAAAACTGATGAGTTTAAAAACCTTCTTTTGGTAAAAAAAATATTCATAATTTAGAAAGGAATATATATATAAAACCACGAAACAATGAATTATAAGGAGAATAATGTGGAGGGGTGGGGGGAGGGGCTCAAAGCTCAATTTCTTTGTAATTGTTTGCTATTTTGTTTATTTTTTTTCCATCGTGAAAGAAAAAAAATTTGACGAAATTCTAAGGATTCCGAGCAGAATTATTTTTCAAACTTTGTTTTTTATAGTCCCGAGTATGGACCCTGGGAGGGAGGAACCAATATAACAATTCAAGGAGTTAATCTTGGCAAGAGTTTTGAAGATATTGCCCGCGGTGTGACTGTGGCAGGGATGGCTTGTGATCCCTACCAGGACCTATACGAGAGAACAGAGAAAATTGTTTGCAAGGTAAACATTAAAAACATTTTTTTTAATTGTTTTTTGGTTTTAAAATTGATTTTTTGTTTTTGAAAATTTTATTTTTTTGAAAAGTTTATTTTAGAAGAAAAAAGATTAATGTTACAACTTTGAAATTTGTTAACCCTACAAATTAGCAACCTAATGGTATAAACAAAACAATTTATGATCTTAGTTTGAAATATCAAAAGTTTACGACATCAAGTTTCAGAGGTTAAGAGTCTAGAAAATAAATTATGTCGCGAGTAATCCGTTCATATCTTAACAAATATTCTTTTCAATAATTATTTTGAATGTTTTGTTTCCTAGGTTGATGGGCCAGGAACTAGGGAACCTAAGAGTGGTCCCATTATTATCAAAATCAAGAATTTCCGCGGCGAATCTAAAGAAAATTACAAGTTTATTGACCCAGTTATCACAGACATAGAACCCCGCCACGGACCACAGGCCGGCGGAACTAAGATTAAAATCAAGGGCGAATATTTAAACGCCGGTAGTCATGTTGAGGCGTATATCGGCGATCTTGAATGCCGGATAATCAAGACGAGGCGGAAGGTGGCGTTGTGTGTGACGAGTAAATCGCCACGACTTCAAAAACTCGATGTTAAAATGCATTTCGACCACGGGAAAGCACGAGTGCTCGAGAGGAAAAGATTCGAGTATGTTGCTGATCCTACCATCGAGTTCTCCTTCTCAGGTACACTAATCATAATAGTAATAATAATAATTATGATGATTGTAATAATGATAACAATAGAAATAATAAAAATGATAATATAAATGATAATGAGGGCATAATTATGACAATGATAATCATAAAAATGATAATGATAATGACAATGATAATAATAATGATAATGATAATGATAATGATAATGATAATGATAATGATGATGATGATAATGATAATATGATGATAGTGATAATGATAATTATTATGATTATGATTATGATGATTATGATTATGATATAGATCTAGATTTATTGATATAGATATAATGATAATGATAATAATGATAATGATAATAATGATGATAATAATGATAATAATGATAATGATGATAATAATGATAATAATGATACTAATGATAATGATGATAATGATGATAATGATGATAATAACGATAATAAAGATAATAATGATAATGAGAATGAGAATAATAATGATAACAATGATAATGATGATAATAAAGATAATAATGATTATGATGATAATGCTGATAATAATGATAATAATGATAATAATGATAATAATGATAATAATAATGATAATAATAATGATAATGATAATAATGATAATAATGATAATAATGATAATAATGATAATAATGATAATAATGATAATAATTGTAGTAATTATAATGATAATANTTTTGTACTCTTGTACTTTTGTACTCTTGTACTTTTGTACTCTTGTACTTTTGTACTCTTGTACTTTTGTACTCTTGTACTTTTGTACTCTTGTACTTTTGTACTCTTGTACTTTTGTACTCTTGTACTTTTGTACTCTTGTACTTTTGTACTCTTGTACTTTTGTACTCTTGTACTTTTGTACTCTTGTACTTTTGTACTCTTGTACTTTTGTACTCTTGTACTTTTGTACTCTTGTACTTTTGTACTCTTGTACTTTTGTACTCTTGTACTTTTGTACTCTTGTACTTTTGTACTCTTGTACTTTTGTACTCTTGTACTTTTGTACTCTTGTACTTTTGTACTCTTGTACTTTTGTACTCTTGTACTTTTGTACTCTTGTACTTTTGTACTCTTGTACTTTTGTACTCTTGTACTTTTGTACTCTTGTACTTTTGTACTCTTGTACTTTTGTACTCTTGTACTTTTGTACTCTTGTACTTTTGTACTCTTGTACTTTTGTACTCTTGTACTTTTGTACTCTTGTACTTTTGTACTCTTGTACTTTTGTACTCTTGTACTTTTGTACTCTTGTACTTTTGTACTCTTGTACTTTTGTACTCTTGTACTTTTGTACTCTTGTACTTTTGTACTCTTGTACTTTTGTACTCTTGTACTTTTGTACTCTTGTACTTTTGTACTCTTGTACTTTTGTACTCTTGTACTTTTGTACTCTTGTACTTTTGTACTCTTGTACTTTTGTACTCTTGTACTTTTGTACTCTTGTACTTTTGTACTCTTGTACTTTTGTACTCTTGTACTTTTGTACTCTTGTACTTTTGTACTCTTGTACTTTTGTACTCTTGTACTTTTGTACTCTTGTACTTTTGTACTCTTGTACTTTTGTACTCTTGTACTTTTGTACTCTTGTACTTTTGTACTCTTGTACTTTTTTAATCTTTTATTTTTGTACTCTTGTATTTTTGTACTCACTTCTGTACACTTTATTTCTGATAATTAGGTTGGTTTCATCCTCTTTATATCTGATTTCAAGGTTTTATTCAGATCCTTATTTTGTTCTCTTGTACTCTTTTTACTTTTGCATTTCCGCAGTATTCTGTACAGTGTACAGTGTACTGTGTATTGTGTAGTTAAAGGCACGTGAGTATTTCCACAGTATTCTGTACAGTGTACAGTTTACAGTGTACAGTGTACAGTGTAGTTAAAGGTGTGAGTATTTCCACAGTATTCTGTAAAGTGTACAGTTTACAGTGTACCAGTGTACAGTGTACTGTGTACTGTGTACTGTGTACTGTGTACTGTGTACAGTGTACAGTGTACAGTGTACTGTGTACAGTTTAGTTAAAGGTGTGAGTATATCCACAGTATTCTGTACAGTGTACAGTGTACAGTGTACAGTGTACAGTGTACAGTGTACAGTGTACAGTGTACAGTGTACTGTGAACAGTGAACAGTGTACAGTGTAATTAAAGGTGTGAGTATATCCACAGTATTCTGTAGTACAGTGTACAGTGTACAGTGTACAGTGTACAGTGTACAGTGTACAGTGTACAGTGTACAGTGTATAGTGTATAGTGTATAGTGTACAGTGTAGTTAAAGGTGTGAGTATATCTACAGTATTCTGTACAGTGTACTGTGTACAGTGTAAAGTGTACAGTTTACAGTGTACAGTGTACAGTGTACAGTATACAGTGTAGTTAAAGGTGTGAGTATATCTACAGTATTCTGTACAGTGCACAGTGTACAGTGTACAGTGTACAGTGTACAGTGTACAGTGTACAGTATACTGTGTACAGTGTACAGCGAACAGTGTACAGTGTAGTTGAAGGTGTGAGTATATTTACAGTATTCTGTACAGTGTACAGTGTACAGTGTAGTTAAAGGTGTGAGTATATCTACAGTATTCTGTACAGTGTAAACATCATTTGTATTCTCCGAAGGGAAAATGTTATTGCCGAACTTCCAGTTTATTTTCTTTCTTTCCTTTTAATCATTTTTTCTTTCACACGTTCTAGCAACTGAGATTACTACCGTTTGTTTTAAATCTCTTATCTCTATCTATTTATCTATCTAATATATTTTATATCATTCAGTCGGTTTATGTTTTAAGTTTGCACTCTTTTAGTAACTAATAAATTCATGAAGCAAGAGAGGCAATAGTTTCCAGAAAATCCAAATAGATTATCAAGTACAAGAGGTGGCAACAGAGAAATTGACCAATTATACATGACGTCACAAATGTCAAATATAACAAAGAAAACTAAATTTTCTAACATTAGTTGACATGTTTTCCAAGATTAAATAAAAAAGTGTAAAAACAGAAAATTAGGAACACAAAATTTAATTTCACTAAGATAAGTACTTAATAATCACTATTACTAATAATTTTGTCGGACACATAAACTAAGTTGACACTTGTGACGTACTGAGAGTGTACAAGTTCTAGGTTGCCATCTATTGTACTAGAATCTATTTGAGAACACCTATTTATATATTCTTTATTTTGTCATCCTTCCTTCATTTTATCTCAATTCTTAAGTTATACTTTACCTTTATCTTTCCTAACAGATCTTTTGCCATATCTGTTTCTTTCTACCTTCCTAGTTTAATCTATAACTTTCTATTATTTCTATTCCTTTCCTTTCTAGTTCTACCTGAAAATTACAGTATCCTTTCTAATATTTCCTATTTTCTGTTTTCATTCAGCTACTTCTTTTTCTGTTCCTTCCTTTCTTTCATCTATTCACAATTCTTTTTCTACAGTCCTAATTTACAATTAATCAGACGACTCAATCTAATCTACTTTACAATCTAATTTTACGAATATTATTGATGAAACAATAATCACAAAATAGCCCTAGTCCTGCCATTTACAAATGTGCTCTGTCTTTTTTGAGCATTTAAAATTGCCAAATATATCTTATATATGTAAAGTAGCCTGATTAACTTACAATTAATTCCGGGCCTTTCTGATTATGGCTGTACTAAAAATAATATTTTATCAAATATTCTGGATTTAATTATATTATGTTGTAGGTTGCCTCGAACACCCTGATGTATTGTCAGTCCCCTGCTGTTGATACAATATCTTCTGGAAGCTGGGTAAATAGTAAGAACCCCGACCCACTCCGCCTTGACTACGGGTTCATCATGGATAACGTAGAGAGGGTTCAAAACCTCTCTCAGCACAACAAGGATTCACCTAAGGTAATCTTTATTTACAGATAATGATTGCAATTTGAAATTCATAAGTCTCATGGTTTCTTTGGTAAAGGATTTACTAGGAATTGTAAAATTATATGATAATATATAGTTATGATTTCAGGTTTATATGTTTCCTGATCCTGAATTCTCTCGGTTCCCAGACCCTGACGGGATCAAGATCTATAAGTCAGACTATCTTACTCTGGACGGGACTAATCTGAACAGAGCTGCCAAGGAAACTGATTTCCGAGTACAGATCGGTACAGAGCTGTGTAACGTGACAAGTGTGAGTTTGAACCAGCTGACCTGCAAGCCGCCAGACCACCAACCCCCGGCAATGCTCGGAGAAGGAAAAAGTGATCAGAACCAGCTTCCCAGTGTGGTTGTTATGATTGGAGAGAAGTTACAGTTCACGGTAGGAAAGCTTGATTACAATGAGTTAGAGGCCGCCTTCACTAAACCAATTCTGATTGCTGTCTGTATCAGTGTGATTCTTCTCATTGTCTTCGTCATTTTTATCCTGATCGCATACAGGAGGAAGAGCACTGAGAGTACACGGGAGCTGAAGAACATGCAGGATCAGATGGACTCCTTGGAGCTTAAGGTCGCAAACGAGTGCAAGGAAGCGTTTGCCGAACTGCAGACTGAGATAACGGAGATAGGTTGTGAGGTTCAAACAGCCGGGATACCGTTCCTAGACTATAGAAGCTACTGCATCAAGATTCTTTTCCCTGGCATAGAGGAGCACAGTGTTCTACAGTGGGAGCGACCTGATCTTCTAAGGAAGGAGAAAGGATTGAGAATGTTTGGTGCTCTAGTAATGAACAAAACCTTCCTTCTCCTGTTTATCAGGACCCTGGAGAAGAACCGGTATTTCTCGATGCGGGATAGAGTGAACGTAGCTAGCTTGATCATGGTGACCCTGCAGGGTCGGATGGAGTACTGCACAGATATTCTCAAAACTCTTCTAGCCGACCTTATCGAACGCTGCATGGAAGGTAACTTGAATTACTAATAAATCCTAAATATTTTAATCAAAACTGAAAAATGAAATTCAACTTTGGTTGACGCTTATTATTATTTTATTTGGACAAGAATTCTGATCTAAAAACCTAAATTTCTTTGAAGCACGGAAAGGTTTCAAATCTAATTTGTTGAAGTGAAGAAGAGGTTCTGAACATTGAATTGAATTTGGAAACATTACTGTAGACAGAGCACCGGATACTACAGAACACAAATATAATATAATTTATACAGAGTTACTTCAAACCATAAGTGTTTTGAAGTTTATTGAGTAGAGTGCCAGGTTTACAACGGTACCTTTCTTAGATAACCCACAATCGAAAGTTATCAATTTTCAAAGTTTAAAAACATGGATAACTCATTCATTTTGGATGATACAAAGTTAGTAAAAAGTATCGTTTAGATACAAACATGAAATTTCAAGTAGAGAAGCATTTGAAATAATGTCTAACTGAATACCATCAGCAATCAAATTATTTGTAACTTAGTTTCAATCTCATAAACATAAAAACGCTTTCAAAAAATAGTCAAGAAGTAGGGTAAATCAATAAATAATCAAATAAAAAATTATTCACCTCTCTCGTACCTATTTGTGAGCGCTTTTGTGTCACTGGGGTCTAATATATTCCCCACTTGAATCACAGTGATTTATTAATCGTTTTTAGGAAAATCTCACCCCAAGCTCCTTCTTCGTCGGACGGAGAGCGTTGCTGAGAAGATGTTAAGCGCTTGGTTCACATTTCTGTTGTACAAGTTCCTGCACGAGTGTGCCGGGGAGCCCTTGTACATGCTCTACCAAGCTATTAAACATCAGGTATGTACTGTACTGTAAGTTTTAGGTTTTTGATTTTGTGAGTTGGTGGCTAAAAAAATTTTCAGGCCTGGTTTACTTTAATCATGTGTTTTTTTTCTTCGCAATGCCATTTTTCTAATTCTATTATTTTTTTTAACCCATTTGTAAAATTTCATTTCAACCCATTCTAATAATTTTCTATAGTTACTAGTTATTCTGTTGTTAATTAAATGATATAAATTGCGTCAAAAAATCAAAATTGAAAAACTCAAATTGTTAACATTAGAGCTGCGACTGCGAGGTAAAACTTTTGCAGAAACTTAAAAATAGAATTGTCGTAGGATCTCTTCCCTTCCTTTGTTGTAAACTAACTTTTTAACCTCCCGTATCCCCCCCCCATCGCCTCCCCTAGGGCGTAGTGAAGATTTAGCCTTGAGGGTGAAATTTTGGCCGAATTTTTTTTTTGTGCACTTCCCTAACGGTTGATGCCAACCCCCCTAAAAATCCGTATTGAGAAGAAAAAAATAAGTTTAAAATCTATATTAATCTACCTGACTCCTAGTCATCTGAGCATAATATCAATTAATATAGTAGTAGGAGAGTAAAAAGCATTTAAAAATATTTTTTTAGTATATCCTTTATCATAAATCACATCTATATCAATCATATTATAACTAGATTATACTGGATACGTATTATTTAATGGTGGAAACAACAAATGTGTACAGAAATTGTACAACAAATATTTACAGAAATTGTACAACAAGTATGTACAGAAATTGTACAACAAATATGTACAGATATTGTTCTGTCAAACAAATGTGTTAGGACATTGTACTGTCAACTCCAGAAATGCAGAAATTGTACTGTCTAACAAATATATAGAGAAATTGTACGGTCAAAACTCAAAAAAATATTTTCATAAATTGTACTGTCAAACAAATATGTAGGACATTGAACTGTCAACCCATGAATGCAGAAATTGTACTGTCAAACAAATATGTAGAGAAATTGTACTGTCAAACAAATATATACAGAAATTGTACTATCAAACAAATATGTACAGAAATTGTACTGTCAAACAAATATGTACAGAAATTTTACTGTCAAACAAATATATACAGAAATTGTACTGTCAAACAAATATGTACAGAAATTGTACTGTCAAACAAATATATACAGAAATTGTACTGTCAAACAAATATNNCACCATAAATCATAAATATTTTGAATTCAACATTTAGAGATTCCTCCTTTCAAATATACTTATAGAATACCTAAGGTTGATATCGACTAGATAGATATTGTATTACTGACATTTAATATAGTAGGACGTCATAATTAGAATGCAGAACAGGACGTTTAATATTATAGGACGGTATAGTTAAACTGTAGAACAGGACGATTAACATTATAGGACGGTATAGTTAAACTGTAGAACAGGACGTTTAATATTATAGGACGGTATTTTATTGGACGTTTTATTTAGAATGTAGAACAGGGCAATCAGGACGTTTAATATTGTAGGACGGTATTATAACCCCCGTTTTTCCATTCTTACTATCTTTTTTTCTTTTCTTTGAACTCACTTTGATAAGTTCTTGTTTTATTTTGCATTTTTTATTACTCCCCTATTTTCAGTTTTGATTAAAAATTATAATTCCAAGATTTTTCTATCACATACCGTCTACATTTACAAACTATAAGACATTTCTCCAGACCTGATTTTGCATTTTTCATTTAAGTTTGGGGAGTGAAGAAGGGCACACTGATTTAATTTGTACTCATTTTTTAAACTAGCATTGCAAATATTTCATTTTCTAAAAAAATCTTAAGAAATATCCAACACAGATAAATTATTTACATATATATTTGCTAAGGTCGGTAAAGGACCTGTAGATTATGTTACACACGAGGCAAGATATTCACTCTCAGAGGAGAAACTAATCAGACAACAGGTAATTTATTTATTCACCCTTTTATTCATTTATTCATTCATTCATTCATTCATTTATTTATCCTTTTATTCATTCACATATTCATTCATTCGCTCATTATTCATCCTTTCATTCATTCTTTCATACTACTTTAAATCAATTCATTTTTTGATCCATTCTATTCTTTAATCTATCCTATTCTTTGATTCTTGTATCTTTTTATAATTTTAATTTTTATCTAAAAAAATATCTAAATTGAATATTTTTTTATTTTTACGAAAACACCTCAATGCTTTATTTTAGGTTGACTATCGTGCGATGACGGTATTTGTGTCGATGTCCCCGCAGACTATCTACATGTCAGGGTTGGATCCCCAGGCAGATAATATGGATATTCCTGTCAGGGTTCTAGACTGCGATACCATCACTCAGGTCAAAGGATAGATGTTTAAATATACATTTTTTATTTTTATGAAACCAATGTGGACTTAATCATTCCAGAGCTGAAAACTTTAGAATGGTGGATATCGAGATTAATGCTTGATCCTCTCTTTTTCTTAGTATCGAGACTAACCTAATCTTGTAACTTGTATACTGAAAAGTGTATAAAATCCAACCAATCAGAGTCGCATATATGAAGCTGATAAATTTGAAATTTTGCGCGCCAATTAAGATTAATATATTGAAACGGAAGGGAATATCTAATTTTAAAAAACCTGTTTCTGATTTTTCTTTACTATATCCAAGAAAGAACGGTTTAAGAAGAAAATCAAAAGTGTGTCCATTGGATACTGTGACCGGGATTAAGGATATTGTAGCGACGAAAGGAATAAGACCAAATGAATAAGACCAAATGAATAAGACCAAATAAACTGACTGAATATATATTTATCAAAAACAGTATTTATACTAGATGCAGTATATCATAATCTAAACAATAACATGTGAAGTATGGAATATGCTGTGTACTGCATTCCAGGAATCCAGGGGCGCCACAATATCTCATTTTAAAGTTTTCAGCTCTGGTCACTTGACGTATTATAATGTTAAATCATCTTTAATCTTTATATTATGGCAAGGTTATTTATAGTTTCATTGGTTCCGTCTTTTCCCAAAAAAATTAAGAATATTTCAAGAAAACTTCTTAATTTTAAATGTCAACAAATAAGATATTTCATAAAACTTACACTATTATTTTAGCACGACGTGTTAAAACTCCAAAAATATTTTTATGAAAAGTAAGTTATTGTTGTTATAGTTAAAAAATGTACCAAGTTATAATTAGGGTTTATGATTATCACTTGAATGGTACTAATTTTTCAGAAATTTATAAATTTATTTATTTTTGTTTCAGGTTAAAGATAAAAGTCTGGACACCATATATCGAGCCCTGAGCCAATCTCAGAGACCTAAACATTCAGATTTAGATCTTGGTAAAAATATCTTTTATGAACATTCATAATCGGATAGAGAGTCGGTTTATTTTTTACTGCCTGTTGACCAACATAACTGACATAAGATTTCCCCAACAGAGGGTTGATATTAACTCCCTTGGGAAAGTTATGTAAAGTAACCACCCGCCTCCATAGTTTGTTTTTGTGAATAAACTCGTGTATTTTCATCTTAAAAGGTGATAATATTCGGAACAACTACTTTTTGGTAAATTAAAATTTTTACTTAAAGGGACTGTAAAGGAAAATTGAAAGGGGGTATAGGATGATACCTGAGAATCTCAGGCGTTAAACGATACATATAAGACATCTATCTGATGTTCCTGTCTCGGGAAATTGATATAAAACTAATTATACGAAAATTCATATATTTATATATACAATTTTGTTAGGAAGTAGTAGGTTTCAACAGATCATATTCAGTAAATACGCAACCAATCTGAAAACGATTATATCCCAAGGGTTCCCTGTAAATTAGTTAAAAATAAACATTTTAATTTTTTTAAAATGTCCCTACATAAATGCATATGATCCCTTTATCCCTCAAAAGCTGAAAATCCTTAAATCCCCCGCTATATATATTCCCCAATATACAATGTCCAGAAATTGAGGTTTTGTTAACTAAAATTGAACGTTTTCTAAGTTTTCCAAAATAAAAGGTTGGAATAATATAAAACCATTAATAATATCCTATATTTAAATAATGGATATAGATATATTTTATCCTAACACCATAAATCATAAATATTTTGAATTCAACATTTAGAGATTCCTCCTTTCAAATATACTTATAGAATACCTAAGGTTGATATCGACTAGATAGATATTGTATTACTGACATTTAATATAGTAGGACGTCATAATTAGAATGCAGAACAGGACGTTTAATATTATAGGACGGTATAGTTAAACTGTAGAACAGGGCGTTTAACATTATAGGACGGTATAGTTAAACTGTAGAACAGGACGATTAACATTATAGGACGGTATAGTTAAACTGTAGAACAGGACGTTTAATATTATAGGACGGTATTTTATTGGACGTTTTATTTAGAATGTAGAACAGGGCAATCAGGACGTTTAATATTGTAGGACGGTATTATAGGACGTTATATTTAGAATGGAGAGCAGGACAATCAGGACGGTTTTTTAGGACGTTATATTCATAATGGAGAACAGAACAATCAGGAAGTTTAATATTATAGGACGTTATATTTAGAATGGAGAACAGGACAATCAGGACGATTAATCTTGTATGACGAGGACAGTACAACTAAGACGGAGGGAGATTGGAAGAGGATCAATACACTCAATCATTACAGGTTCACACATTTAGATTTTTTGTAAACAAATATTCAGTTGACAGTACAGTGTACAATTTAGATAGTACACTGTACAGTTTGTTTAGAAAATACTTGTTTTTTTCTGAAATCAATTTTAAGTTTATTTTTTAATATTTTCTTTTGTGTTTTAGAGTACCTGAGGGGGCGCTCTTAACCTTAATCCCTAAACAGTCTTCAATGTACAATATTAGGTAGGTTGGAATTTATTTAAATATGTATTTTTCATTGTTTGTCCGATTGTACCGACAATACGACAACAATCTTTTATAAAGTTTTCGTTTGACTTTTATAATTGTATCTCTCTTGTTTCAGCACGATGTCGGATAAATCTGATCGGAAGCTTTACCACGCTTACGAAACTCTAAATATGTCCAAGATGAGCGGTGGCGGTCATTCTCCGCCGTTATCACGCGCAACATCGCCGCTAAACCATGATTATGAGTCAGGTAAGTCCAGGTCAAAAGGTCACCAGGTCAATAAGTTACTTGGTCATAAGATCGTCAAGTCATCTTTTAAGATATTTATTTTGATATCTGGTCGTCGAATATCTTAATATTTTATAACGCAAATATTATTTTTGAATACGGGCATTTGTTATGAATATTCTATATAACTATAAGCTGTGGAATATTTATTGGTATATATTTATCAACACTAGCTTTCAAGTGTATTTATAGAGAAAAATGGCAGGCTCAGCCAGAAAAAGGGTTGGAAAAAGGACGGGAAGAAACCACTTTTAGAAGGTTATTATATAGAGTATAGACCTTTTAAGGGCAAAGGTTTTGTCTGAGCTGGGAACTTTTGGATGGTGTATATCGGGATTAATGCTTGATCCACTCTTTTACTTAATCTCCAGATTAAAAAATGCTTGTTCTCCTATCGTGATTAATCTCCAGATTAATTAACCGATTGGGACTAAGGATATCCTAATCTAAAGTTTTCAGCTCTGATTGATTTGAAACTTGTCCATGGTTCAGTTCTTATGTCCAAGAATGATACGGGGAAATCTTTTAGATAAGAGCTTTGCTTTTATTTGGAATTCTGAAAATGCACATAATTCAGTAGGATATTGTACAATTGTACATGTACACTGTACAGTGTACAGAACGGTTGAAAGGCCGGTTGGTTTTTACAAAAAAAAATTAAAAGCCCATACTTTTTTCTATTCTTTAAGTCTGCATTAAATGGCCCCGTTTCAATCAAATTGTCGTCGCCATGTTTCATAAATGCCGTCGCCATTTTTGAAAAAATTAATACTGAAAAAATATTGCTTTTTAGGAATAAAAATGTGGCATCTTGTGCGCCATGATTCCGACAACACGAAGGATGAGAGGAGTAACAAGATGGTATCGGAGATATATCTGACCCGTCTTCTCGCTACCAAGGGAACCATGCAGAAGTTTGTAGATGATCTTTTCGAGACAATATTCAGCACAGCACACAGGGGCTCCGCTCTACCACTAGCTATAAAGGTGACTAAAATAATTTTTTTTTGAAAATAGACAACTTTTTTTAATCTGAATTTTGTTATTTTCAGTATCTGTTTGATTTTCTGGACGACCAAGCACTTCAGCACGGTATAACTGAACCGGAAGTAGTGCACACGTGGAAATCAAACTCACTTCCGCTCAGGTTTGGTGGATTTTTAACCTCAATATTTTGACAGTTCTTTCTGGGTTAAATTATAATTTTAAACATTTGAATTTCGAAAGTTCTTCTGTGCCGATGCATTTACTTAAAATATTTATTGCACTGTAAGCTTTTGCAAGCTTTCATTCTCCATTTATTTGATTCTCTAAAATTATTGCTGAAACCAAACTAATAATAAGAATCTCGGAATAACTATCTGTTAAGTGTCTGACATCTGACATATTTCTCTGTTTTTAATGTTTAATCTCTTTTTTTATTAAAATACTAAGTTAAAGGTTGAATCTATGATATGTTTAAACGAATGAACACCGGATCTTTATAAAACCTTGTCCTCCCCCAAAAAGTCGAAAAAATGTGATCACATTTTTTAAATATTTGTTATTTATTAAGGTTCTGGGTGAATTTGATTAAGAATCCTGATTTTGTGTTTGATCTCGGTAAATCTAATATTGTGGACTCATGCCTCAGTGTAGTTGCACAAACCTTCATGGATGCTTGCAGTACATCAGATCATCAGCTGGGTAGGTCAACCTGATGTCCTTCTAGTCCTTTTAGTCCAATTCATTCAGTTTTCCCTAGTTCTTCTAGTCCTTTTAGTCCTTTTAGTTCTGGTTCTTATAGTTAGTTCTTATTGTCCTTCTAGTTCTTAGTCTTTTTAGTCCTTCTAGTACTTCTACTCCTTATAGTCCTTGCAGTGCTTAGTCCTTCTATTCCTTGTCCGTCTAGTCCTTCTATTCCTTATAGTTCTTTTACTCTTTATAGTCCTTGTCCTTCTAGTCCTTTTTCCTTAGCCCTTCTACTCCTTTAAGTCCTTAAAGTCCTCTAGTCCTCTAGCCCTTCTGCCCTTCCGATTATATAGTGTTATCTTATAGTCTTCAATGTCTTCTTACAGTTGGTTGTTTTAATTAAAGGTTACTATAGGCGTCCGCTCAAGTTACCCTCAAATTTGTAGAACTCTCCAGATCTGTTGGAAACTTACAACCTGTTGTTTATATTTACTTCTAGAAAATAAATATTTGTATTCAAATTTATGAAATCCGCATTGGACATGAAATAATCGGAATTTAGGAGACACACATTTAAAGTCAAATTGTACGCTAGCGCACAGCCCTTTTTTATGTAATTAGAGCTTAAATAGACATAAAGAGTTCACCGCCCTCGATGATAAGTCACAAGTTCAAAGTGTAACGTTGCATGGAGGTTAACTTGAAATTACGCTTACGCTTGTAATATTAAATTCTATCAAAATTTACAGCTTTTACAATTTATTAATTTTTAAATATTTCTAGGGAAAGACAGTCCAAGCAGTAAACTGTTGTATGCTAAAGATATTCCTATTTATAAGGATTGGGTCACAAGATACTACCAGGTATACTAGGCTTAAATTACTTACCTTAACCAAGTCAAGCTTATACTGTAGTTGAGCTGAACTTACTCAACCCTAAACTGTCAAGCTTTGCTTAGTCAAGCTTACACTGTAGTTAAGCTTAGACTGGAGTTGAGTTTAGCTTAGTCAAGCTAAAAATGGAGTTGAGCTTTGCTTAATCAAGCTTGAACTGAAGTTGAGCTTTAACTTAGTTAAGCTTAAACTGGAGTTGAGTTCAGCTTAGTCAAGCTTAAACTGGAGTTGAAAGCTTAGTCAAGCTTCAACTGGAGTTAAGTTTAGCTAAGTCCGTTTAAACTGGAGTTGAGTTTAGCTTAGTCAAGCTTAAATTGGAGTTGAGTTTAGCTTAGTCAAGTTTAAACTGAAGTTGAGTTTAGCTTAGTCAAATTTAAACTGCAGTTAAGCTTAGCTTACTCAAGCTTAAACTGAAGTTGAGTTTAGCCTTGTCAAGCTTAAACTTGAGTTGAGCCTAGCATAGCTTTGCTTAGTTGAGTTTAGCCTAAAACATTTTTAAGAATTTGAATAAATGAATTTGAATAAATGAATTTGAATAAATAAATTTGAATAAATGAATTTGAATAAATGAATTTGAATAAATGAATTTGAATAAATGAATTTGAATAAATGAATTTGAATAAATGAAGGAGCAAAACCTAAACTTAAATTTTAAACTTAATCTGATTTTGATCTGTACTTTGCTAAAATCTCACCTGAACTTTACTTCAACTTTTCTTTTACGGCGAAAATTGTCATCTTAATAAATACTTAAAAATTTGCTGGCGGATGATTGATTGATTGATGTGTGTAGGATATTAAGTGTATGCCCGTGATAAGTGATCAGGACATGAACGCAATGCTGGCAGAGGAGAGTAGACTGCACAGCAACGAGTTTAACCTCAACTCTGCTCTATACGAACTATACTCGTAAGTTTTTTAAATAAGAACAAAAAATGTTTTTTTATTATTTAAATTTCACTTCTTCTATATATACTTTTTTTCCTGTCTGCTTTTTTGTTTGTGTTCTATAACGTCAAAACGGCTGAACCCATCTGACCCAAAATTATTGAGACCCATGGATGCTCAGAATTACACAAATTTGTCTCCAAAAGTTTTTGATTTAGTAAAATTTTGAAATCCACGAAAAAATATTATTAAATCTACGAACTTTTTTGTTACAGTTAAGTTTTTAAATTGTACAACGAGTAGGTGCTCAAAAATAAGAGCCGCAATTAAAAGATTATGGCGAACCGAAGCCTAGAAAAATATTTTTAATCATCATTTAAAAATATTTTTCCAGCCTTTGCGCCATTAATGTTGTGAGATATATTCTACACCCCTGGTGTTAGATAAGAAATATATCTTATCTTGGAGAAACTTTCAGGACCTAGCTAGTAGCAATAATAGGTCTCCTCTAACATTTACTTTATTAGATTCAGAACACTTGTAGGTTTCCAATACAAGATAAAATATTTTATACATTTTTTTATATTTAACATGGACCAGAGCTGACAACACTTGTGTTAAATAGCCTTAATCCCGTTCGTCTAATCTCGATATCCACTGTGAAACTTTTGATTTTCTGCTTAATCCTCCTTTTGGATATCCATGCTGGTTTCCGACTAATCGTTTCTTCTATTAATTGGGTGCAAAATTTCCCGGCTTCTGATTGCTGTTCGGTTTCTACTATCGACACTCTGATTGGCTGAATTTTAGACACTTTCCTGGATCTAAGATAAAGGTTAAATTAGTCTGCAGATTAACTAAAAGAGGAGATCAAGCATTGAATTCGATATCATCAATACAAGGGCTTCCATCTTTAGTTAACTATTCAAGAATTATATATGATTTGATGCCTTGTTGAGTTTTTGAAATTTTTTCTTTTCAGGTACGCTGTTAAGTACAATGAACAGCTGTTGGTGACACTTGAGGAAGATGAGTTCAGCTGTAAGCTCCGACTTGCATATAAGCTGGAACAGGTGCACAATATAATGCAGGATGGACAGTAATTATTCCTGCAATCTTGTGAAACAGCTGCCAGCCGCCATCTTGCAGACATTTCTTTTCCCGCCAAAATGGGAAAAGTAGATTTGCGGATTTTCACCTCCAGCCAATCAAAGATTTCAGTGATTACAAGTGCTAGTATTCCAATTTGTTAAATCGTATTTATATCTGTCGTTAATCTAGCATTTTTCAATGAGGCTTAATTACCAGCTTTACTTTTAAGAATTGACCTAGAGGACTTATTTTTGCCAAATATTGCATATCATTCCCTAAAAAGGGCCAGGCCTTATTAAGGCTGAGTCCTCAATCCAACTGCCTATATATACTCTAAACTGCCTGTGGTGCCAAGGCAACGTTGATAAACAATTAAGCAATACCTAGTGACTTGTTAATCTCGATATAAGCTGGTGAAAGAAATCTAAGAACCGTTTTAGTGACAATTGACAACGTTGTGAAAATTACCGAATACAAGTTGGTTGTCTCGGACCAGGAAAATTCTTGCAGATTTTTTTACTTATTGAAGTTTTTTTTGTATCATTTCAACTAATTTTGTGTTGAAACGGGTAGATGTGTTTGCAGACCATCTTCTGGTCTAGAGTTCCCGTAATATTTGTAGAATCTCGGAAATTGTGAATATTAGGTAGAATTCAACTTGATTCAAATTTTAATTATGAACCAAAGAAAATATTTTTTTCTCATATATTTAGACATGTGGGGAATACTTAGCAGTTTTGTCGAGACGTTTTGAAAACAAAATAAACTGAATTTTTTAAAAACTTTTTCTCAATCTGTTTCGGCGCTCTTTGGTTGTTTCTGAAGTCATATCCTATTAATAGGAAAACCACGGCATTTCTTTTGTATTATTTGTTAATATATAACCTTAAATATTATAACTAATAAATATTGTTCAAATTAAACATTTTCTTAATTATTTTTAGTGGTTAACATACCACGTACTGAGCTGAGCGTTAATTAATGTTTTTATATTTATATAGGGAGAAACCTAATCTTGCAGAAAGATTAAGTTTAAGTTAATTTATTTTTTGAATTCTTATATTCTGTGTATATAATGATTCAGTAGGAGAAAGCTTGAATTTTCACGAACTCCATACAAAGAAATATAAACCTAGATTAAAATAATTAAATAAATGATATTTTCTGAAAAAGAGCAATTTTTAAAATTGTGTTTTACAATACTATGTAAGGGGTGAAACAATCTTTCTTTCTTTGGATTTCAATTCCATGATAACTTTGTAGGACTTTCAACCTCATTGTTAGGAACTCCGCGTTGCGCCTTTTCCCATGTAGGTCGGCCAACTCAAATTAGAATGTTTAAACTAAGCTAAGAACAATAGTTACTTCTACTTATTTAAGAACTTTTAACCAATCTAAGAACATTCTCTTAGTTTACAAATCTAAATTTTAGGAAAATCAAACAAACCGTGATACTCAGTTTATTTTACAGAAGTAGACTTTTTTATCGTTTATTTGCAATAAAAACTTTGACAGCTCAGGAGTCCAGGTTGTGAAGCAAAACTTAAAATCTTCCCTATAAAGATTGTAAAACGAACAGTTATATCAAGTCTTTTACGAGGGGGGAGGGGGCACCGCCCCCTAGTACAGATTTATTATCAATATATTAATTTTTCTCGGTTAATCCAGAGATTATTAGGTTAGAAACGTGAGTATTTGCTAAAGTCTAATAACAAAACACTCTTTACAAATAATTCCTCCATGGAACTGAACCAGGACCAATAATCTCTACTGAATCTAGGTCTAAACTTGTGTCCTTACTAAGAATGAACGTTAACAGGACAGATCGAGTAGTTTAAAAGATGTTAGGTACTTTTCAAGTGGCAACTAGCCAACTCTGCAATTTCCCAAGCGGCAACTTCCCAAGTCTGTCGCTCGGTCCCCTAGCGTGTTCAGCCGCAGCTCTCGGTCCCCTTGCCCATCCTATCGCACATTTGGGAAGCAGCCACTTGGGAATTAAATTTTCAGTTTGGAAGTCGCCCTTGGGAGAATACCTATAAACATCGTTTAAAACATCATCTCTAAGCTGCTGCTGATCATGATGCTCTTATAGGAGAATCCCTATTTTTAATGTTATTATTGTTAACAATCAACCTGCAGGTTGAAATACAATATAACAGGGATCTAGTGGTTTGCAGATTTGGCCTGAATTGGCAGAATCACAATAATTATCTCAGCTTATAGATCATCTGAGCCACAAAAAAAATGTTGACAAACATTCTTCAGATATTCTTAAAAACGGACTTGATCAACTGACATCATTTAATACTATTTCTTGATGAAAAAAATTGATTTTAGTCTTTTTTCAAGAAATTTTATTATCTTTAACCTCCTCTTAACTTGGTCTCTCTTTTGATAAAATTTTTTAGCTCTTTATTACTAAGGAACTTTAATTCATCTTGGAATGTTTTAGGAATAATAAGTACTGCAGTTGTGCCCTTGGTGCACCGTTTATAAAGGATCTCTTCTGATTCTTTCATTCGAAATTTATTTAGTATTTTCTTGGTCCTCTGAGGATGTTGTAGAATGGTGAATTCATTAAACCTTATTGTTTTCTGCTAAAAATAATTTCTGTAAATGAGAATTTGAACATTTAAACTGAATTATTCTATCAATAAGATCAGCTGGCAGCAGGGTATCATGAAGTACAGCATTATAAATGGCTCGTGAGGGCACATTTGAAATTAGAACTTATCGAGGAATGTTTTAATCTCTTCCCGTTATATTTACTATACAGTGATAACCAGAAAATAATGAATTAGGAAGACGACATTATAGTAATGCTTAAGTGTATTTGATGTTGTTACAAAGCAAATAGTTTTGCTTATAACTTATTAAATCACTAAGAAAGTGAACTGGGTCTGTTAACTCTGCACAATTGCTGTATCCCATGCATATTGGACTCTGTAAACTCATGCTGAGTCTAAAAGTCGTCTTCCTAATTCACAGTTTTCTGGTTATCACCGTAGATATACCTCTATTTATATCCGAAAAAACAACTCGATAATTAGTTCGGATACCCTTTAGGTAAGTTTCCATAGCATCATCATATTATCGTACAGGGTGTCCCAATAAACATGGGAATTTAGTGAAGAATTCGATATCGTCTTTTTAGATAATTCTTTGATACCTACTGAGAACGCTGTAATCTGTAAGAGTTCCGTCTGCTATGTTCACATTTTGTTTATGTTTTGACTGCATACGGTTGTACTTAGAAAACAAGAAAATTACAGTATGCAAACGTAGTAAACTTGTCCGTCTTCACTGTTCATCTTGCGGAGACATTATGGGCACATCTTTAGTCTTTTACCCTTTTCATAAAATAAACTCTAGCAGACATAATAATATTATGGCTTTTGAAATTAGGTATTACAATGCTATAATTCATAACAAAGACGATATCGAATTCGTCACTGAATTCCCATGTTTTTTGGGACACCCTGTATTTAGACTTGGAATAATTGCATAAAAATCGTCTTTTTTCATGCTTTGCAGAACACACTTATATGGTTAAACGTTCAGAAAGATTTGTCAATATAACGAAGACGACTTTTTATCCAAGTTTAAAGAGCTTTTCAAATTGACAGCTTATCTTTGTTTCCATGTTTTTGTGTATCTTTGCTGTTTTCAAAAGCTTGATATAAATTAAAATTACAATCGAAAGTTTTCTTCATTGTTTTTATAGAATCGCCTACCCCCGTATGTGAATTAACTCAAATTAACCCTACTCCAGCTATCGTTTTTTGGACATAACTGAAAAAGTATTGGTCTGCTGCTTTAAGTGGTGCTTTATACCTACTCCTCATTCCTGAATGCCCTATTTTTCCTTTACCAGACTAAATCTATATTTAGACCTACTTCCAGTCATTCGATTGTAACTTTTTATAGCTCTTAAGAAAGCCTTTCGAGAAGAAATTTTGCATTCGTTTTTTCACAGACGCCTTTTAAAGATAATTCGCATATTCCCAGTTTTTCTTACATACAATTAAGGTTAAGTACATTTTTTGCAAAAAATTGATTTTGCAATAAATATTTAAATTTAGTGTTTATTTTATTAATTGAAGAACAGTAACTTCAACGTGACACCATTAAGACGAAGATATATAGTGTGCTAGTCTTTTACAAGTATTTATTGTAAAAGCTATAGTAGATATTTATTGCAAGATATATTCGAACAATTTCGCTCATAAAACTTACCCTCCCCCTCCCTCTGCAACTGCAGTACATAAAATATATTATGTACCTCTCCTCGCACTCTCTGTAGTGCGTAAACTTTATCATGTAGCCCTCCCCTTGTCTCAGTTTTGGTACAAACATAGCATGTATCCCTTCTCTTTCTCTGTGAAGTACAGTGGTATCCAATATCTCGCAGTAAAAGAGCACAATTTCTAAAAAGTCCATGAAAAAGCTGAACCTTTAATTTATTGAGACTGTAATTAAATTTCATTTATTTTCTAAGCTTTTTTGGCGGCCTTTCCTCCCTCCCGTCACCAAGTTCAGATTTCAACGATTAATGAAATTTCTGTTCCATACTTTTTGGTTTGACAATACAATGACAAGATCCGTTTCAAGTATATTAAAACTGAGCTGAGCTGAAAACTTTAGAATGGGATATCCTTAATCCCAATCGGTTAATTAATCTGGAGATTAATATCAAGAGGAGCATTATCTATTCTGGAGATTAAGAAAAAGTGTGGATCAAGTATTTATCCCGATATCCACCATTTAGAAGTTACCAACTCAGATTCTTTAGATACAGATAAAGGTTGATGTAATTATCTGCACAAACCATGGATTGATGATTTATCCACGACAAAAAAAAATTATAAAAGGTAAAATATCATTCCGTAGAAATCAATAGATGAAGAATAATTAATTAAGTAAAAAACATTAACTTCATACAAACATAAAACATAGACGGTATTAGTGCTCAAAATTGATTAAAAAAATATATTTTTTGTTGGAACAGATGATATCTTCTGCTACCACAATTCTTCTGCTAATAGGTCAATGTATGATGTTAGGTCGGTTGAACCTTGAATAGTGATATTAAACAGAAAAAATAATTGGTGGGGTAGGTTGATTGAACCGAATAAACAAGTATTAGTTTGGTTGAACAGAATAAACAAGTATTAGTTTGGTTGAACAAAATAAACGAGTGTTAGTTAGGTCGGTTGAGCAGGAGAGTGATTGGACAATGATCTGAACCGAGAACTTGATACCTAAAAAAAAATATTATGAAAATTAAACATTCTTCGTGATATCTGAAATAATTTTCAATCCAGAGAAAAATTTTAATTTGATTTTATGTTTAGCTTTGGAAAAAATATCTATATATTTAAGCTCCTCTATCATACAGGGTGTCCCAAAAAACATGGGAATTCGATATCGTCTTTGTTATGAATTAGCATTGTAATACCTAATTTAAAAAGCCATAATATTATTATGTCTGCTAGAGTTTATTTTATGAAAAGATGTAATGTAATGTAAAGATGTGCCTAGTCCTATAATGTCTCCGCAGTCAAAATATAAACAAAATCTGAACATAGCAGACGAAACTCTTACAGATTACAGCTTTCTCAGTAGATATCACTATACTAAATCGAAGAATTATTTAAAGACGATATCGAATTCGTCATTGAATTCCCATGTTTATTGGAACACCTTGTATATGTATATAAATCTATTTATATAAAGTTGTAATTTCTGTTTGGGTGTTTGTCCGATCATAACTCAGAAACCCCTCGACCAATTGGCCTCAAATTGTGATTGGGGAACTCGGAGAGCCACGGGAATGTTCTTGGCTTGAATTTAAGATTCTAAATTGAGTGGGTTGACTTTTATCCTCTGGTATACCTGTGTATACAGTCTGCTATATTCTCCAGTATCCTGTTGGATACAACCATGTAGTCCAATCTCCACCCAACATTCTTAGAAAAAAACAGTTCTTATTATTTCTATTTCTTATTAAATTAAGATTAATCAATCATGCTTTCCCTTTTACAACCAAAACACCCTCCTCCCCATTTTATGAAAAAAGCTTGGCTTTTACACCAACTGCCTTAGTCATCAGGCATACTGCCTGAAAGCCTTATTTTACCTTTGCCAAACTAAATCTATGTTTAGTCCTACTTTCGCGCCGGCCATTGGATTTCAATGTTTTTAAATATTTTTTTTGGAAGGCCAAAAACAAGTTTATCACAGAATTTTTGCGCTCTTCACTTTGCTCAAGCACCTTTTGAATTTTTTAAACATTTAGCAAATTGATACTTCAATTGAAAGGACCCACAGTGAATATAGAGATCAAACGAAATTAAGTGTCCTACACAAAAACATACCGACATCTGAACTTCTAATGATAGAAAAATAGCAATCCACATTTTAGAAATCCCAAGTGTTGTATGTTCATTGTGTTCACGAAAAACTGCTGCATGATTCAAAAACATTTTAAAAGTCGTCCCTTAATTCCCATTTTTGTTGGGACACCCTGTGGTTTACATCTTTAATAAAGTCAGATGAGGTCAAGTCTGCTAAATAAAAATGTCAAGTATAACCTTGGCTCTACACCCCATCATATATGTCCAAAATGTGTAGGCTTCAGTCTCGTCTGGGTAGAAATGCCTTTAAAAATAAAAATATTAGAAAAATTAGTTTTGCTGGTAAAGAGGGTTCAACTGTTTTTAGCAGTATTTGTGACTTCAATGGTTGTTTCACTTTTTACACTTTATTCTTTGTAAATTGTGCGAATAAACAGTTTGATGTATTTATAATGAATTTTATGTGGGGGCAGTGGGCACATACATGCCAATGCATGTTGTTTGATACATAATAAACAATTGGCAGAATGCTACTGTACTCAGTCTAGACTCTAGATATTGTAAAATAGTGAAACCTAATACAGTGATACCCAAAATATCTGGAATAAGGAGAGGATTTTAAGACTCAAGTTATAATTTTGAATTGAACGTAAAACACAGCAGTACACTGTACATAATGTACATAGACCCATTTCAAGTAATACGTTGAATATTAGCTTTATAACAACATCAAATACACGCAAGCTTGCTTAAATGTCGTCTTATTATTCCAAAGTTGTATTAGTTCCACTGTATTATTTGTCTATATATAATAAAACAAGAAATTCGTATATATATATATATGTTGCCTATAGCCGGCCAAACGGCTAGACCGATTGGGCTGCATTTTTGTGGACACTTATTTCAGAATTTTTTTTTAAAATTTATTTTTCCACGGGCAACGCTGGGCTCTTCAGCTAGTATTTAATAAATCAATTTAAGGGGTTTAAAATCAAAAAAATACTGAAATGAAACAGCTGTAAGAATAGAAACCTGAAAGTGTCAACAAATCCTTTATCGAGGAGAGTTGTGAACCCCTCCCTCTCCTCCTTCGTGAACCCGGCGTTCTTTGTGTTCGTCTTGGGGTTCTAAAAACAGGGGTGAGATTCAAGAATTTTCAACGTTTCAAATTTTAAGGTTTCCAGAATTTAGGGGCTCCAGAGTTTAGGAGCTTTCAGATTTTAGGGTTTCCAGAATTTAGAGGGTTACAAATTGTAGGGTCTTCAAAAGTTTAGGACTTTAAACATTTTAGGGTTTTCAAAGTTTAGAGGGTTACAAATTGTAGGGGCTTCCAAAGTTTAGGGGCTACCGTTTTTTATGGTTTCAAGAGTTTAGAGGTTACAGATTGTTGGGGCTTCCAGAGATTAGGGCCTTAAATTTATGGTTTCAAGAGTTTAGAGAGTTACAGATTTTGGGGGCTTCCAGGGTTTAAGGGTTTTCAGATTTTAGCGTTTCCAAAAGTAGTAGAGTAGTAGAATAGTTGCAGAGGCTTCCAAAATTAAGGGCCTTAAAAATGTTAGGGTTTCCAGGGTTTAGAAGGTTGTAGATTGCAGTGGCCTCAGCTTTTATGGTTTGCAGAATTAAGGTTGTTTTTATTGATTGGTTTTAATACTTTTTGTGTGCGTTAAAATCAAAGCAAATTAATAATATATTTGGTCGCATTCATGTTAAGTGGGGCACACTGTAACTCTAATTATTTCTCTGGTCTCCAACCCCCCTTAAGATCTATTTCAAGATGAGCGACATTTAGATCTCCGCATAGAATAACCGGTTTCTTAGAGTCCAGGTTCTCCAGGTGGTTCAAGAACTTGGTGTTCCAGTCTAGTCGTTTATCAAGGGTAACCAGCTTCCGACCTATACAACACATTGCATTTTTTTCTATAAAATAATTTTTTTACCACCACCTCTCTTGAAAATTATTCACAAACTCCCCGANTCCAGGTTTCAATAATTCGGTGGACAAAAAATTATTTTTGGGAGAATTAAATTAGGGTTTGAAAAAAAACTGGCCATTTCATGTTTAATTTTTCCACAACGCATCAGAATTCATTCTTTAAAAATTAATCCGCTATTATGTGGATTTATTATTTACTTCTTTACACAAGGCTTGAAAGAAAATTAGTCATTCCAGTTGCTTTTTAACTTTAATAATTTATTTTAATTAAATTTTACAATATTTCTAAATTTCAATATGATATCAGATGGAAACATATAGAGACTTCTATATTTCTTGTTTTTCATTCTTTCTTCTTGATCATTCCAGTTGTTTGATATTTATGAATGACTGTCAAACCGAATCAAATCATGAAATGTATGGATTGCTTAAACTTCGACAAACACAGGGGAGGTTCAAGTCCCAAAAGAAATGTGTAGAAATATGATTATATTCATTCTTTTAAAAAGTTAATTTACTTTAAAAATTGTGCACGATGTTAAAATACATCGCTGTGTGAGATTAGAATATTTGCTTTTACAAACTTACTTCTTCATCAAATATCAAAGATCGAAGACGATTTTGATGTTGTAGCTTAATCCCGGTGTTTTTTAGGACACCTGTATTCTAGGGCACTTACCTGAATTAGGAACATAAGCTGTAACCAGGAAGAAATTTTCAAACTCTGCTGTTATGAGTCGACCCTCGGAATCATGATCCTGGGAAGAACAGTAAATTTTAAAGGGATTGTATCCTAGGAAGAACAGTAAATATTAAAGGGATTGTATCCTAGGAAGAACAGTAAATATTAAAGGGATTGTATCCTAGGAAGAACAGTAAATATTAAAGGGATTGTATCCTAGGAAGAACAGTAAATATTAAAGGGATTGTAAACCTAAGTTCAAGTGTTCCTCCACTTAAAGAGGTACACTTAAAATCTTTGTCTATAAACCAAGTATACATTAAATATTCACAACAAAAAATTAAATTAAGACTAATCTAAATATCTATTTGATAGTCGTAAATGTACCGCCATATTATTTGGACTTTTATTGTTCATTATCTAAAAATGCTAGCTTGTGAACCCAGCGTTGCCCAGGATACTCACAGTTACTCCCGCCGTTTACCCGCACTTGGTCGATTTTACCGGGAAATTAATTTTTCGAAACAGAAGTCGACTCACTGAACTTAAAATCTCAAACCAAGCTAAGAACATTCCATTCCCGTCCCGAGTTTCCCAATTAAAATTTGAGACAAATCGATCCAGGGCTTCCTGAGTTATGATTGGACAAACAAACAAACAACTTTATATATACAAATTACAAATACCTCATCAGCAAGGCCGAACTCAACATTCAACGGTTTTTCCTAAAATTTTAAATATATAGTCCTGAAGCCGAATTTGAAGAATTTGAGCTGCGGCTTAAATTTGATTCGCGGCTCAAATATTGTTGGTTCCACTTAAAATTGTACTCAATATTTCAAGATTTATGCCGGCGCTCAATTGAAAACCTGGTTTTGGCGGATTTGAGACGCGGCTCAAATTCATTAGATTCGGACTCTGATCAGACCCCGGAATTAATTTACAGTTAATCAGACAACTTTACAATATAGTTGTACAAATATGATTAATGAAACGATAATCACATAATAGCCCTAGTAAAATGTGGTCTGCCTTTTTTGAGCATTTAAATTTGCCAGAGACATACATATATGTAAAGTCGTCTAATTAACTTTCAATTAATTCCGGGTCTCTCTGATTATGACTGTATGATAAAACTAGTGGGAGAACACAAGATTGAGCAAATAAGTTTTTAGTGAATTATGATTAAAATATTGAAATTCGTAGGAATATTTAATCCTTAAAGTTTGTCCAATGTGCGATGCTAATACTTAGAAACCCAAGTTTTGAGTTGTTTTAAATTATAATAGATTTGAATTTATATTATTGCGTTGAATAGGTTCCAGATTGTGTTCGTTCTGTATGTATAAAATGCCTCTTTTTCGACTACGAAATGTGCACCCTTCAGAAGGTGGGTGGTGAGGTTAGTAAAGGTAGGAGAGTGTTATGAATGCCAGAAACAAGCTTAAAACAATTGATAGATATGAATTTATATTTTTGCGGTAAAAAGGTTTCAGATTATGTTTGGAATCATTTTTTGATCCAGTTTATAATATATAAGGATTTATGGCTTTTCAATGGGTTTCAAAATTTCATATTCTTCCAGTTTGCTTTTATTCAAATTGCAAAAAAAAATTTAACTCGTGGGCACACCTCCCCGGAAGCGATTTTGACCTCGTGGGAGAAAGACATGAACGAAGGAGTCAATACTTTGCAAAGGTTAAAAGAAACAAAAAGTTGAGAACATACATTTTTAAATTTATTAAAATTCTCAGATTTTTAGAAAGTCGTATCGAGTAACTTAAATGTTGAAAAAACGAAGAAAAAAATGGCCCACATTAGTGGGGACTCATTACAATGGATAAATTGATAAATATATAGACATCAAGGACGTATACAGGGGGGGGGAAGGGGGCAGTGACTTACATAACGGTAAAATAAAATGTGGATTTTTTAGAAATAATGTTTTTTCTGCTAATTTTGTTTAAAGGAGAGATAAATTAGTATTGCAAGGTAATTGGACTGTATGTGCCCCCCCCCCCCCAGATTTATTTCTGTATACGCCCTTGACAGGCATAACAGTGGTCACGGTATTCTTATTTGGTGGGGTTTTTATAAAACAATCCTTTTTCTATTCAATCAATTCAAAATAAATTAATAAATTTTTGACAGTTTCAATCTAAGTCCTAGGATAGTACAAAGATGGACTAGGTGGCTATTTTTGACGAAGTCTCAGCCCTGACTTCTACGGAATGATGGTAGATGGATGTTGTTGGATGTTGGAGCTTGTGTTTCTCATGAAATTAGTCAAAATCCAATCACTTAGCGTAAATTTAAAACTGAGTTATTGAAGCGTTTTTTCTAAAGTATCAATTTATAGCTAGTGGACACTTTTATGATTTATCCAAAAATTACATTGACTACATTTATTCTGTAAACAACTGGATTGATTTTAATCATTGTGCGTATACTATATATATATATGTATATATGTTAATTTCACTATATCAAAAAAGAAAAAATTTCATACTTTGTAAAATTGATTCTTAATAATCTTGATTTTTAAACTTTCTATTTTCCCCCCCCCCCCCCCTCCCCTGGAAGATCTTTAAATCTAATTTGACATATATTGCAAGTTCGCTACTGCATAAATTTTTTGGTAAAATTTATCTATGTTACTTTGTTGAAGTTAATTGAGAAAAAGTATCTGCGCGAAGCGACAAATATCAAATTTCTTTTCAGGGATGTTTAATGTTTATGTCCCCAAGATTGTGGGGTGGGGGGGGGGTAATTACCCCCAAGATTCTAGGGGGGGGGGGGAATTACCCCTCAGGATGCTAGGGGGTACTTAACCCATATATACGCCACTGTGAAATTGTACCTTTGATAGAAGAGCTACTCCTGAATACCCGTCCTTCTTTGCGGCCAACCAGTAACTGTGCGGATACTCCTTTAGTTTGAACTCAGCTGGCAGCTTCGACTCGTCAACCTTGAAAAGATAATTTTTTTGTAACTTTTAAATAAAAAACTGATTTTTTAAGAACAGAAAATTGAAGTATGGTTTAATCAGGTTAACCTTAGTTTCTTGCAGACACAGTATATCAGGGGACTCGTACTTTATAAACTCGGCTCCGCCTTTTTTAGCACACGCCCTTAATCCGTCAACATTCCAACTTGAGATCTTCAGATTCCATGCTGAGCCATTCTTAGCTTTGGCATCACTCTGGAAATCGATATTTTTCCAATCCGTTTCCGTTTTGTTCATCTTGCTTTCCGGTTTCTTGCTCGCGGATTCCTTGGCATCAGCTGATTTGACTGCACCAGAAGATGTTCGTTTAGTTCCCGCCATCTTGAATTTGTTCACGTGACACAAATTGTTTAAATTGACTAATCTGTTTAAAAACAGACCAGATTTTAACATAAATCTGAAAAAATGAAAATAAATGTTTTATCTAAAAAATAAAGATTTGGCAATTAAATAGACAGATTTATAATGAATAAGTTTGTATATTTGTAATGTATAATAAATCAAATCTTAAAATCAATACCATGAGAATTTGAGAGAAATAGAAGAATTTTAGTTAAATGTAACAAATGCTACAGATCTGTGAAAAACATTAATCAACATTTTTGTTATCAAAATTGTAAGTCATATCACATTATGTTGAAATACAAGTTTTCCAAGAAGGATCAAAAAGAGATGTGTCAGTGAAGTTTATATAAATATTATAAATTATTTTTTTAATTGATCTGCTGTGTCCCCTTTCTGTAACAGATATCTAAATAGGACCTAAAACAAATAAAAATATATTATCTAATCAAACTCAATTTGTTAAAAATTCAAAATAAACTTACAAGAACTGATTCAACTGCACCCAGCCCAATTTCATCTTTTCTGATTCACACAATAAAAATACTCTCATCTAAAATAAAAATATTGAATTTTCATTTTTTTCTCATTTATTCGTGTTACCTGTTCATAGTCGATAGTAGGGGTATTAGTCCAATTCGTATCCTCACGTATCTCCAGCTCAATCCTTAATTAAACATTTTATCAAATAACAATAACAAATGATAATATAATAATAAGAATAACAATTAAAAATAATAATAAAATCAAAATAATTTCTGATTTTTTTTACAAACTTAAATCTGTTGATCATAGTGACCAGGTTCTTCAAACCGTCCTCCGAGATTTGAGAATTCATCATAGCTGAATACAAACTGCTGAACAAAATATTAAATTTATATGAAAAATGTTTTAATAAAAAATCATCATAAAGTAATCAGAAATCGTACAATTAAAGTGATGCCCAGTGCGCCCCATTTAATTGATAATTTGTAAACATTTCTAAATGAAATTTTAATCCCAACCTAATTTGCAAAAAAAATATATAAGAAAATATTCTAATTTCAAAATTTGCCTTTTGACACTTGTTAAATCACTACACAAAGCCAAAAAACTACCTTAAAAAGTCGTGTCAAAACTTATTGTCTTAAAAAATTTTATGCTAAACTCAGATTCGAAACCCATTTTTTATTTTTGATAAAGGCATGTCTCAAAAGGGGACCTATTTCAAAATTATATTAGATTTTATTTTTCAAAGGAAAAAATCTTTTAGGAGCGACCTGTAAATCAACATGTTTCATATAATTTTCCATGTACACAGTACACAGTACACAGTACCGTAGTACACAGTACACAGTACACAGTAACACCTCTTTTCTACAGTGCGGGGAGAAAAGAAGATGTTTTGCTCTTAATTTACAAATGTTTCAATTCCTAAATCTCTTCTATTAACCATTAATTTGCAGTGGTTGCAAAGCATTTACTTTATGTATAACGACATATGTAAACTGTACAGTTTACCTGATGTGTTGTACATATTGGTAGAAGGCTGGGAAGTACTGTACAGCAGAATCCATTGAGAATGTATAGAGGGGGCTAGTTGTCTCTTGTTTCCACTCAACATCGAGAGCAGAGCATAATCTGAACGATAACAAATTTAGTTTTTGTAGTTTATTAATTTTAAATAACTCTTCATTTATAGAGTGGCATGTCCTGTTCACATCAGTACCTTTACAAGTTTTTTCGGATCATGAATGTCTGGGATATCCATTATCTCGTCATATAAAAAGATTTAAAAAAATGGAGGATATTGACAGAATTAAACACTTTTCAGCTGGAAAAACAACGATATTATGAAAGTCGTCTTTTATATACTTTATTAGATATTAAGATTTTTGCAGTTTATGTCGTTAAAATAATCTTTTTCTGGAAAATATTTTACTTTGAAACCAGTTTTACTACAACATGACTCCCATATAGTATATGTACTATGGTCTTTGGTATCAAACAACTCAACAAATTATGGAAGAAGACATTCTAAACTATTCACCAACTGTAATGATTCGTGGGACACCCTGTATGTTTTGGACAAATGAATGAAAAAGTGGATTAATATCTGTGAACCTACCCCTGAGTTACAACTGAAATAATATGCCAGGTGTGAGTCAAAGCTGTTAGAACATTTGCTACTCCAGATCCTGATCCTGATCCTTGAACACATTCTCCTTCATCCATCTTTATTAAAGGGAGTGTCTGGCTAGACACGGTAGTTGAGCTGAGATCTTTAAAATCCTTCTTGCGCTCGCGCCAAGACAGGTTATGGCACGTCTCAAATGATTTATAAAAAATGTCTCTACAATTATTCACTCTTAGCTCAACTACCATGTCTAGCCAGACACTCCCTTTAAAGAGTTTTCCTCTTTATCTCCACAATTTGATCTTCTACTGGCTCTCTTTGAAGGGGAGATAAACTCTTGATTGTCATGATGGATATAACGATCAGTATCACAGTTATCTATCCTTGAATTGAAATTGAAATGTTTAAGTTTATCCAGACATATCTGAGCTTGCTCCTTCCCAATCTTGTTTCTAGACATCACCAGGTTACACAGAGTTACAGTCCAATTCTCCAAGCTGAGGCTATCTCCAGGATTCCTGGAATAAAGTTTATAAAAAGGACTAACGTGATATCAAGGGACTCAATCTAAAGTTGCGCTTGATTGATTCACAGCGATACCCCTTAAAGGGAGTGACCGGCGATGTATTGTCGTCACACTGAGATTACAGTATTATTGACAAATTTTGTAGGATTCATTTGAGACCTATTAGACGTTTTTTCGGTGAAGGTTTGTTAGCAAGAGCGCAAATTCAATATTTAAAATCCGCATCGATTGTCCATTTTGGAAGGATGATTTTGAGAATTGGTTATATAAAAATTATTCAAGAATGAAATTCATGAATAATGTAACAAAATAACTACAGTAATGATTAAACTAATTAGATGTTTAGGAACATATTTCTCAATAGAAAATTGTTAATAAATCAATTGTTTCTTTTTCATCATTTTATTGATTTTTTATTCATTCTGAATTTGTTGGCAGATTTCTTCAAATTTTTCAAATGTCGTCGTTTCTTTAAAAATTCCAGGAAATATACAGAAAATGGTTTTGAACATTGAGGCATTATAGAAAGCATAGCTAATTAAGATTTTTTATTTTCGATGATAAGAGTCAATTTTTATATTCTCCGCCTGTTCCTAAACCATTAACAACTAATCAATTTATGGTAGAATTTTTGTTACATTTTTCGTTGTCGTCATTGAAAAATTTAAATAAAACCAATTTTCATAGTCATATCTCTAAAATGGAAAATTTAAGAGGATTTTAAAGATTGCATTTGCGGTCTTGCTGAACAAACATTCACCGTAAAAACGTCTCATAGGTCTCAAATGAATCCTAAAAAATTTCTCAATAATATACTGCCTTCTCAGCTCAACTACAATACATTGCCGATATCGTCGATTTTAAATATGGAACAGTTTTCAATTCTAAAGATTTCCTTCAGTGTTTTTGAAGCAGAAATCCGCAAGTCACTTTTAAGAGAAACCACAATTGAAAATAATCAATGAGGTTTGTCTCATCTATTCTTGATAAGACAACTTTTTCTGAGTCAGACAAGCCAGTCATAAATGTAGTCACTTGAAATTACATCTTAAGTACCTTTCAAAAATCTTTAGTGTTCCATGTTATTGTTCACTGGCCAATTTAAAATCATAACTTGTGTCTTCTTACCTGAGATTAATTTCTATGTTGTCAAGAGCTTGTTTAAACTGTTTATTAAAGTTTATAGAGAATACAGCAATATGATGCTTCTTATAACAGCAGGATTTTAAGCTTTTAAAGTTTTTAGAAATTGTTTTTTTACCTAGAGTTTCCTCCTGATTACTGACAATACTTGAATTAGTGGAGTGTGATTGATTAATTGACTTCCTTTGGTTTAATTCTGGGGTTCGGCAAGGAGATGTCTTCTTTCCATAGTTCTGCAGTTTTGATTGAGACTCGATAATGTTGTGATTTTTAATATGAGTGTTTTGATTATGATGATATTTTTCTTGATGGTGTTGAGTGTTTTCATAATGATTATAATGATGGTCATAATGTTGGTTCTGGACTTCTTCATATAGTTGTTCAAGTTCCTCCGAACTATAGACATTGACATCTTCAACTGCAGCTTTAGTTGCTAAGTTTTTGTCATTTGTTACAAGACTCACAGTGTCCCCATACAGATCCTACAAATATAATATTCAAGTCATGTAAATTCTAGTTGTGGCAATATTTCTTCTTTTATTCTGTAAACATGTTTAATTAGTAAAAAAGCCGCGTTGTCATGGTTTAAAAAAACATTCTTTTTAAATTTTTTTCAAGAATAAAGAATCCTTATCCTAGGCGTTGAGTAAACAAGTGAAAAGGGATGTTATCGGAAAATAAATCTACCCAGGTTAAATAGTAAATAAGGAATCAATAATAACAAAATGCTGAATATAAAAAATATTGATTTCTTGCTAAAACTTGATATATTACTGTAAAGAACCCAACCTTTAGATATAAAGTGTAGAGTAGTATTCTATCATCAGGTTCTTGGTCTGAACCAGCTTGCGTGGAAGATTCAGACATCTTCTGGAACAGAATACCAGGTACTCTAGCATGATCCTGGTCCAGGGTTCCTCCTGATAGTGATCTGTTCCTGTTCCTAGCCTGCTCCTGGAGCCATCTGTTCCCAGCTCTGGCTTGAGCTGATACACTAGCATCAGTGCTAGACTAAACATTAAACAAACTATTTTACACAGAGCTGAATTTATATAGTTTCTGATGTACATAAGCAGTACTTGAGTAAACCAATTTTCTGCTGTACACAAGCTGTACCTTGAGTTTATCAAGTTCCTGTTGTACATAAGCTGTACATTGAGTTTATCTAGTTCCTGTTGTACATAAGCTATAGCTTGAGTTTATCAAGTTCCTGCTGTACATAACCTGTACCTTAAGTTTATCTAGTTCCTGCTGTACATAAGCTGTATCTTGAGTTTATCTAGTTCCTGCTGTACATAAGTTGTACCTTGAGTTTATCTAGTTCCTGCTGTACATAAGCTGTACCTTGAGTTTATCTAGTTCCTGCTGTCCATAAGCTGTACCTTGAGTTTATCTAGTTCCTGCTGTACATAAGCTGTATCTTGAGTTTATCTAGTTTCTGCTGTACATAAGCTGTACCTTGAGTTTATCTAGCTCTTGCAGTACAGTCCAGGGTACAGCCAGGATCTCTTCACTCCGAACTATCATTACCAGGTTCAAGGAGTTCAGGTACACGTTGGTGTCTATAACCTGCACAACACTCCCTTTTCTTTAGTTGATAATAAAAAAAACAATAAAAACTCAATAATCTTTAAATTTACTAAATCCAAATATTCCTGATTCTTTTAATTTAAATAATTAAAAAATAAGCCTCAAACTTAATATGAAAACGGCATGAATTAATTAAAAATAAAAGCATAGGATCAGAACATTTTACTCTCACCCTTATATTCTCTGATTTGGAAGACATAGCTGAGTTTCTATCAGCGAATACAGGAATCTATTAAAAAAAGTTTTTGTGATTAAAAAACTGCTATGTTTTACATCTCAGTAGAGATTGATATCTTAGCATGAACTTTATTTCGATGCTATGAGTATTTGCAATTAAAAATATACTTGTTTTGCACTAAAACTAGCTACCTGGTTCGGGATAATGTCAAGATCATTATCTAGGTGCGTTTCCTCCACAAGATCCTCCCAGTCCATTGAAGTTGGAGTACAAGGGGAGAATTCATGTTCAATATATCCTGGAGAAGGTACTGGAGATGGTAGCACTTGAAAAGGCTCAGGTGAATGTAACACTGGAGTAGGTACAGGTGGTGGATATGGTGAAACTGTAGAATGCATTAATGATGGCATTGCTGAAGAAGATAACAAATCTGCGGAAGACGAAACTGATGATGAAACCCTTTTTCCTTGCTTTGGTATTTTATATTTTTGTTTGGTAGATAATGATCTCATGGTGGTAGATGTGTTAAGGATACTTGATACTAAATCTGAATTATTACACTGTTGCTGTTCTTCTTCTAACCGTGTCGAGTTTTGTAGTTGTTTTCTTGACCGGGTAGAGTCTCGTGTCTGTTTTCTTGACCGGGTAGAGTCTCGTGTCTGTTTTCTAGACTGGGTAGAGTCTTGTGTCTGTTTTCTTGACCGGGTAGAGTCTTGTGTCTGTCTTTTTGACCGGGTAGATTTCAGACACTGAAGAGTATTCTTCCAACCTTCTTCAGAACTATCAGAACTATCAATTTTCTTTTGTTGGGTTCCTGGACATTTCTTTTTAACAGGAGATTTAGAGGTAGTTTTCTCTGACTTAGGCTTAGGATTAGCAATATTCAATAGTCTTGTGGTTGGATTAGTATCTATGTCAGGTTTTTTGGAAGATTTAATTTTCTGTTCAAATGTATGGATTTTAGACTTTTTCCTTTTCTTGGGGGAGTTTGCCTCTGTAACGCATTCTAAGCTCCAGACAGATTTTCCAGTAGCTTTATGGAAGAAGTACTTTCTGGAAATATATTGAGTTAAAACCTTCATCCTACAATTATAATTGTCAGAACAGTATGTAAATTAATCAACAGATACATCTTACTGATAAATCAATCCAATAATCAATTAGTTGTTACTGATAAGTCAATCAATTGATTAATTACTTCTATCTGTATTGAATAAATTGTCTAATATTTCTATCTGGTTCAGTTAATCAATATTTCTATCTGTATTGAATAAATTGTCTAATATTTCTATCTATTTCTATCTGTTTAATAAATGATCGACCTGATTGGATCTGATTTAGATAAATGATCGACCTGGTTGGATAAGATTTAGATAAATGATCGACCTGATTGGATCTGATTTAGATAAATGATCGACCTGGTTGGATATGATTTAGATAAATGATCGACCTGATTGGATATGATTTAGATAAATGATCGACCTGGTTGGATATGATTTAGATAAATGATCGATATGGTTAGATCTGATTTAGATAAATGATCGACTTGGTTGGATCTGATTCAGATAAATGATCGACCTGGTTGGATCTGATATAGATAACTGATCGACCTGGTTGGATCTGATATAGATAAATGATCGACCTGGTTGGATCTGATTTAGATAAATGATCGACCTGGTTGGATCTGATTTAGAGAAATAATTGACCTGGTTGGATCTGATTTAGATAAATGATCGACCTGATTGGATCTGATTTAGATAAATGATCGACCTGATAGGATCCGATCTAGATGAATGATCGACCTGATTGGATCTGATTTAGATAATTGATCGACCTAGTTGGATCTGATTTAGAGAAATAATTGACCTGGTTGGATCTGATTTAGATAAATGATCGACCTTGTTGGATCTGATATAGAGAAATGATCGACCTGGTTGGATCTGATTTGGAGAAATGTTCTGACCAACCCTCTGGAAGCTGTATACTTCTCTGAAACGGGCAATCTTTAAAATTAAGAATTTAAAAAATAAGTAATATTCGGTAAAACTATATTTAAATTACGTTTTTTTAGATACAAAAATTAAACTAACATTTCTAGTGGTTTTAAAAAGATTGAAATTTAAATGATCATGAGGTCATTCCACATTCAGTAAATATCCTAACTGACATTCTGTGGACCACCCAAAGAGAAAAGAATATATATTAGAGTGGAATTTACTAATAAAAAGTGTAAAACGGCCATATTGTTGTACTGTTTCCATACTGCAGGTGTACTTCACATATTTATGCTATATAACCTTTTGGGCCCTGGAATATCATTTTATAGTAAATCTAAAATTAATGTTAAAAGAAAACCAAATAATGAAATAGACTGGTTTCATAATTGACCAATGATCATTTCACATAGACTCTAAGCCTTTTACTTTACAGACGATGATTTTCCGTTATAACTATAAATCAAATAATTTTTCTTATTCACCTAATTCATTATAAAGTTTATTTAACAGCTTTAAAAAATACGAAATTGAAATGGATAGTCTAGGGAACATACTGTATTAATGTACTCTACTGCATATAATTTGTGAACATTTACATGATTTGTACACTTTGAACTGAAAAAATTAATACCAAGAGATTCTCTAAATTCCCCTCTTGACCCTATTCCTGCTGGGGGGGGGGTTAATTTGACCCCCCCCACTGTAGTTTTTTTTACATAACTCAAAAAGTATTGGTCTGAGGCTGTTGAAATTTTCTGACTTTTCCTACATACCCAAAGCCCTCCCTTTAGGCCTAAAACCGGGCTTTAATACTAACTGCCTGAGTCCTCAGGCACACTGCCTGAAAGACTGCTTTTGCCTGTAACAAACTAAATCTTTGTTTTGACCCACTTTCACTTGTCAGATTTTGATAAAATTTAGCTTTTTGGAAAGCCTATGACATAAGGAAACGGATTGCACAAGTTTTGCGAAACCAAATTGCAAATTTTTTGCAAACAACCTGTCAAAGGAAATCTGCAAATTTTTAGTTTTTCTTGATTAAAAATCAGGTTATTTAAACTTTTGCAAAAATTTTTGCATATTTGAAATGGCATGGTCAAGGGCTTTTCAAAAATGTATAATTTTTTATTTTTTGGACAAATTTTTTTTTGCAAACATTTTTACTATAAAACTGGATTTTGCGATAAAAAATTCAAATTTCGCAAATTCACAAATTTGCAAATTTTTTTTGCAAATTCTAAAAGTAGAGCACAAGAGCTTTCTAATGATGCATCATTTGTCATATTTGGACATAAAACATGGGATTTAGAGGGGGGGGGTCAAATTGACCCCCTCCCCAGCGTATCCTGGTTTTCAAGTACCCCAGCAGGGATAGGGTTAATATATATTACATTTTCTATGGGACAACCGCCTACTTATAGGTTCGTTAAAAAGTTAAAAACTTTAAACATATCTATTTATAACACTATATCAAATTTTTACGCTGACAGTCTACAGAATATATTTGCAAAAATAAAACGATCCAAAACGAACTTTGTTGTATCGATCACTTTATCGATCACTTCTCCGTTTTTTTTAGGATACAGATAATGCAAAATTTAATGATAACAAACTTTAACATTGTACAGATGTGAATTCTTAGAAATTCAGTTAATTTTTTTTTTTAACAATACAAAGCCATTGACAACACTACACCCACTTGAAATTAAAGTTTTAAAGCCAAGAAAATTAAGAAATGAAAATTAAATTTCCTCAACTTAATTGCTTAATTTTTTTTTAATTCGTTTTTATTCCCACCACATGTATACTAAGCTTCCCAAATTGGCTTCACAAAATTACTTAGCTTCCCATATTGGCTTGTCAAATTTAATGATGATAAAACGCGAGGAAGACCATGCTACTACACCTTTCGTTTGAACTGAACAACCGAATTATGGTTCAGCTTAGAAATATTTTCTTCTTTTTCCTCTTCCTTTTTCCCGCCATTTTTCTCCGAGTTTTTCTGTTCAATCTTGGCGTTGTTTGTATATTCAAAACTATTATCTGAAAATGTAATTTTTTTTATTTGTGTTTCAATATCTATTTATTTCATGTGGACTAAAATATAAACAGGGTTAGTTAGCACCAATTGTAAATACATATAAGTGTTCAGTGATTTAAAAACTATGTGATGTAACTAAGTATAAATTGTGTACTAAATGGCACAACAAAAATTGTACGTAATTAAGCGTTTACATTTGAAAAGTAAGTAATAAGTATATTTTAAAACGTAATTATAAAATCATTTTCAGTCAAAATATTCTAGTTTTAAAATGGCCACGTTTCTTCTTATTTCATATAAATAATGCTGATGTTTTACAATGCAGGAAATTCTGATCACATCAATTCATTTACAATGTCGTAAAATAAGTAAAAAATTGGAATTTTTTTCAGCTAATATTTTTCTAAAAAGTTATTTTTTGTTTAGTTACACTTTAAATGTTTAATGTTATCTAATCTCTATCTGAAAAAGCTTGTTCTTCATAAATGCCAAAAAGTTGAATTATCAAAGCTCGACAAAATCAGCTGGAAAACTTGTACTGTTTGTTTACATAATACCAATTGTACTGCAGAGGCACAAACATCAGGTCGGGTGTACTGTTTACAGTGTACATAATAAACACAGATCCATTGTAAACTCGTAAGTTTTAAACACAAAGTTATAAATTTTTTTTTTATCAATAATATTAATAATTAAAGTATTAATAATTAATCACAATCTCTAAGTTATTTTAGTAGAAAAATGATAAAAACATGCAAAGAATGTGCATTGTACGACAAATGTGCACTTATAAATACAATTTCATTAAATGTTATTAAAATTCATTTTTTTGTCAGATAAAATTAGTTTACATACTATCCACCTAACGTCGGCTTAACTAGCTATTGTAGCTAAATTTCTTAAGTGCAGCTTAACTAATATTTAATTAGTTTAAGCAGTCGACTCCTTATATAAACTTTTCCTCAGCGCTCCAAGCTTGGTTCTAGCCAATTCAACCTGAAAACAGTTAGATATATAAATAATATTGAAAAATCATCTAGTCTGATATAATATGTACTGTCTAGTGTGTAGTGAAGGGGTCCTCAATGTACAGACTTAGGAAATTATCTTGTACAGGAAAAGATGACCCGCTTTAGTAAAATTGCTGACCTCTCTCTCTAGTTTGAGGAGATGAACCTGAGCCTCCATCTCTAGCGTCTTGGTTTGATGAGCAGATAAACTAGAGAAATCAAGAAGCTCAGCCTCTGGAACATAAAAAGATTAATAATGATAACAATAAAGGTAATGACAATGATAATACTAATAATCAAGCCTATGACAATCTGCCATAGGCCCTACTGTACAGTGTACACCCAACAGGTTCCTAGTCCTCTCTGTACCCCTAGTTTGCTGAGATGTTTAAATGGTTGACTGCGAAGCAGTAATGTATAAAGGGTTGCCCCATAATTCCCCTTGAGGCACTATGCTACAAATACTGAAAATCAATAATTTCAATGAAGACCCAACTTTTCTACGAATAAAAAAGAAAAAAGTTACATTGTTAGAATTGGTCAAACTGTGCTAATCTTTGAGCTGTTAACTTCATGTATTTTTAAACAGTTTGATTTAACCAACCTTCCGATTGCGTTGCACAAGATTTAGCAGTAGCCACCACGGTGCCGGTTGCTCGCGTAACAACCTGAATGTTTTATTTTTAAATTTGAAGAAATGATTATTTCTTAAATATTTTTACCTTGCTAGCCTCCCTCAGCTGACCAAAGCTAGTAGACCCCTCCCTTGCCTTAACTCTACTGGCTATGACTAGCTGAGCGGTGCTAGCAGCAATATCCTGACTAGCTGCCATAATTTCTTCAAACCTGAAACAAACGAAAATGATTATTTGTTAACAGACAAAAAAGTTTTGCATTTCCTTTCTCAATTTTTTTACATTAACTATTCAGAGAGGAAGGCAGAAGGCAAATGCCACAACATTTTTCTCTTCCATGCCACATATTAGCTTTTTGTCTTCCAGCAGCCATGAGCCACAACCATAATATCTTCCATGCCACATCATTTGAGTCTTCCGGCAGTTATTACGTTATTAAAAGATTTTATAACATTTAAATATAGAGTGTAAATAAAGCAACTAGATCCTAAATTTTCTCTTATTTTCCAAGGAATATTTATTTTCTGATATTGTATTTTACATTACAATCGAAATTTGAAGAAGAAGAAAAATTCTATTCCGCCATATTGTTTTCTATAACGCGGGAAACTAACCTTCCACTTCCAAGAACAACCTTGTCCGCGGCATCCACCAGAAGTTTTGCGCCCAGCCCGACAGCTTTAGCTGCAGAGATTAAACCTTCCGTCCACCTTGAGTATAATTGAAGTGTATTTTACCAAGAAAAACTGTCAAAATTTATGAATCAAATCAAACTTTAAGTGACGCCATAGGACCACATAAACAATCTTAAAAACATGAGAAATAAACGTATTTTACCTGGAATTCTTCCTGTAGAAATCCTTATCTGACCCTCCCTTTACACTCTCTTCAACTATTTCCTTCTGAAGGATTTTACTCTTCTTCACGAGCTCTCTGAAAAATAAGCAATTAATGATTAAAACAAAATCAAAATTTAATTTTTTCTTCTTTGAAATAGTTTAATGTGTCCATGGTTAATTTTCTTTAGTGAAAGAGGCCTGCAATGTCCTGTAAATCTATTTCTAAATCTCTTTGTCTTAGATTGTGGGCGAACAAGTTTCATTCCAAGGGTCGGACTCGGGAGGAGGGGAGGGGGGAAGTTAACCTGATTGCTTGAACAAGGCTGGTGCAGGAATCAATAATCTTCTCATTAACTTCAAGCTTTTGACCAGAATCATTTGCCCGGCTCGCTGCTAGAAGCTCTTCCATTTTACGCGCAGCCTAGACATAGTAAGGAATTCAATCCTTGTGAATCTTAAATCTATTTACATCCCACTCAGACGGTTCCCCCTTACTATAAAAAGCTCAATTTTGAGTCGTTGGACACAGGCACCCCTTCCTTTGAACCTTTTTATAAGCATTTTTGATGGATTTCCGGCATTTCCGTGGAAGTATACTTAAAACCTTTCAAAGTATTCAAATTCAATTTATACGGCCAGTTGATATCACAATCAACTAGTCCGGTACTAAATACTAATTGAAATATTTAAAAAATTTTAAATATTTAAAAACTTTCATAATTGCGGTCAACTTTTAACTCCGAGACAATCTTGAGCTTGGATTTTTTCTTTAACAAAATACATATTTTCTTGCACAAATTTTCAGAATAGAAAAATTTAAATCGTTTTAACAATCTAATCGGAAAATGTTCCTACCTCGTCTATGGCGGAATCCATGGCAGAAATCTCCTGAGCCACGAGCACAGCTAGATCAGTTTCTTCGCCGATAGCGTTTCCGATCTTGTTGCTCTGCTCTACAAGCATCTCAAGCAGGGACTTCAATAGTTCCAAATTATCCTTAACAAATAAGCAATAATCCTTCGAAAATCAACGACATAAAACTATAAATTCTTCTAAATTCTATGCATTTATGTATATTGGCTAATGAATATCAAGTCTTTTTTGATAGGATCTACCATGACCCCGAAGTCATGATTTAAAATCAAAAATGCACAATTGAAAACAGGAAATTTTTTAAAATAAAAGCCTCGTTGAATTAAAAAAATGTTAAAACTATAATGTATCAACCAAACATAATATAAGAGCGAGAATAACTGTTTTAAGTACCTGTACTACTGCTGGGTTTGAAGATATGTTAAGACCTCCAAAGAACTTAATTCCCTCGCTTCTAGCTCTGTCAGCGGTATCCATCAAACTAAACAGAATTATTTCCACACAGGGTCAGATATTACAACTCAACAATTTACCAAGGTTTACTGGAGAAAAAACAATATTTGTTTTGAATTTGAAAAATTTGTTTTCTTTTTTAATTTAAAATTCTTTGTTTTGAATTTGAAAAAAAATATTTGTTTGTAATTTTAAAACACTGTTTGTACTGTATTTGAAAAACAAACCAGAAAGACGTTTTACGAAATAGAAAGTGGATTTTGGTTCTGTTTTAGAAGATTTGACGATCAGATGCTACCTGGATGAAAGTTCTTAATCAGGACACGTTTTGTTACCTGGATGAAAGATCTGTAACAAGACACGTTTTGTTACCTAGCTGAACGATTTATATCAGGACACGACTTGCTACCTGGATGAAAGTTTTAGAGCAGGACACGTGGATAATAGTTCTAGATTAGGACACGTGTTGTTGCCTAGATGATAGTTCTAGATCAGGACATGTGTTATTGCCTGGATGATAGTTCTACATCAGGACACGTGGTGTTACCTGGATGATAGTTCTAGATCTGGACACGTGTTGTTACCTGGATGATAGTTCTAGATCTAGACACGTGTTGTTGCCTGGATAAAAGTTCTAGATCTGGACACGTGGTGTTACCTGGATGATAGTTCTAGATCTGGACACGTGTAGTTACCTGGATGAAAGTTCTAGATCTGGACACGTGTTGTTGCCTGGATGATAGTTCTAAATCAGGACACGTGGATACAAGTTCTAGACAGGACACGTGTTGTTACCTGGATGAAAGTTCTAGATCAGGACACGTGTTGTTACCTGGATGATAGTTCTAGATCTGGACACGTGTTGTTGCCTGGATAACAGTTCTAGATCTGGACACGTGTTGTTGCCTGGATGATAGTTCTAGATCAGGACACGTGTTGTTACCTGGATGATAGTTCTAGATCTGGACACGTGTTGTTGCCTGGATGATAGTTCTAGATCTGAACACGTGTTATTACCTGGATGATAGTTCTAGATCAGGACACGTGTTGTTACCTGGATGATAGTTCTAGATCAGGACACGTGTTGTTACCTGGATGATATTCTAGATCAGGACACGTGTTGTTACCTGGATGATAGTTCTAGATCAGGACACGTGTTGTTACCTGGATGATAGTTCAAAGTCAGGACACGTGTTTGCAACTCCTCGACTTAAACCCCAGGCTAGACACAGACCATGGCACAATCGATTAATAACACTTATCTAAAACAATCTATCTATAAATCTGACTGATTTTCAACAATTTTCATATGTTCAAATCAAATCAAATCAAATATTTATTGCACGAAGATTAGAATTTATACAATATAAATATCACATAGAAAAGTATAATCCTCGTGTGTTATCAAGTCAGTTATTTTTTTCAGCTCAGTACACATAACTTCACAGCAGCCTTCTCATAAACCTTAAGTTACTTATTTTCAATTATGATTTATCAATAAAAGTGACTTGCGGAGTTCTGGTCTGAATATTTTTCAAACTCAAAAATACATTATTTTCCACAAAATTGACCCCCCTCCCCTCACACTTCCTGAAGTTTTATCACCTGAAGATTTGTCTGGTTCGGCCAGTTTTCTATAATCATATCACAGGCACGCGTACACACACAGTTTAACGTTTGTACTAAAGAATACTTCGTAAAATGCTCAATTAGCTGTAAATTTGCGATTTCTGAGTTTTTTGTGTGGACATGTATTTCGGTTAAAAAATAAGATATTGTTAATCGAATCTATTCTTCATTACCAATTTTGCAAGAAAAAGTAGTTTAAATAATTGATCCTTTGGGCTATTTTCTTAATAATTGAAAATTTTTTTTATCAATAAAGTTAAGAATTTTTTTTTATTAACATTAAAGAAAGTAATAACTTTTTTAGTTTAATTGTGAAACTATTTTTTTTCCTTTCAGGAGCAGATCACATTCAGAATAGTTTTATAATACCAAGTAAGTTTTCGTTCAATACAGTACAGTATAGTATAGTACAGCATAGATCAGTACAGTATAGTACAGTATTGTACAGAACAGAACATTATGTACAGTATAGCATTGTGCAGTAAAGTATTGTACTGTACTGTACCGTATTGTACAGTACAGTATTGTACAGTACAGTATTGTACAGTACAGTATTGTACAGTACAGTACAGTTCAGTAAGTACCTGAGCAAGATATACTATCAATATCCTCTACACTCCGTACATTCTCCAACATTGATGTTGCTGTAGCAACAGCGGATTCAAAACAATCATCAGTTTTTCTCCTTTAAACAACAACATCTTGGAATTTAAATAAATTAAGTAACCTATATTTATTCTGTTTGTGTACAGTGACACCTTTAAAACTGTAGAATTGAAAGACGACATTTAAGTGATTGTCGCTATCTCTCAAGTTGTTTTACCGGTAGCTTCATTAATTTGGTGAAATGTGTTCGTGTACATTACACAACTGCTGTGTTTCAAGTTTAGTGGAATACATAAAATCATAGCATCAGGCAAACAGAGTTGTCTTAAACTCGAACATATCTGGGTCCCTGATTTGGATTGATCAAGTTTAAAATTGAATGTAATTTAGTGAAGAATTGATTTTATGTTAAATATGGAGTAAAGGGTTGATGGGGGTTTAAAAATATAAATGAATATTGTCAAAAAATGTTTATTGTTCCTGTTTGTTTGAGACTCCTCTGTCAGAGTTAGAATTTGATTACTCGCATCACTAGATATCTTCTCCAGTTCATTAATACGAGCTGAAATAAAGGAATTTTTTGATAAATAAAATCCGAAATATAGGATTCAGTTGATAAATACGAGCTGAAATAAAGGAATGAATTGATAAATACGAACTGAAATATAGGGTTTAGTTCATAAATACGATCCGAAATACAGGATTCTGTTTAAAATATGAACTGAAATATAGGATTCAGTTCATAAATACGATCTGAAATACAGGATTCAGTTCATAAATACGATCTGAAATACAGGATTCAGCTCATAAATACGATCCGAAATACAGGATTCTGTTAAAAATATGAACTGAGATATAGAATTCAGTTCATAAATACGAGCTGAAATATAGGATTCAGTTTATAAATACGAGCTGAAATATAGGATTCAGTTTAATTATACGAGTTGAAAAATAAGATTCAGTTTATAAATACGAGCTAAAATATAGGATTCAATTTATAAATAGGAGCTAAAATATAGGATTCAGTTTATAAATACGAGCTAAAATATAGGATTCAATTCATAAATACGAGCTGAAATATAGGATTCAATTCATAAATAGGAGCTAAAATAAAGGATTCAGTTTACAAATACGAGCTGAAATATAGGATTCAGTTTATAAATACGAGGTGAAATATAGGATTCAGTTTATAAATACGAGCTGAAATATAGGATTCAGTTTATAAATACGAGCTGAAATAAAGGATTCAGTTTATAAATACGAGCTAAAATATAGGATTCAGTTTATAAATACGAGCTGAAATATAGGATTCAGTTTATAAATATGAGCTAAAATATAGGATTCAGTTTATAAATACGAGATGAAATATAGGATTTCGTTTATAAATACGAGATGAAATATAGGATTCAGTTTATAAATACAAGCTGAAATATAGGATTCAGTTTATAAATATGAGATGAAATATAGGATTCAGGTTTATTAACCCTAAACAGGCTGGGTGAGGGGCTGTTCGGACCCCCTCCACCCTCCCTAGTTGTTGCCTTACCACTCTAATTATCACCTTGACTTTTAAGAAAAAGTAATTGAATGGATTATTTGAATAAAAAATATTTATTACTAAGTGTAGGGTACAGAGTTCTTTTATCTTTTATCTCTTTCTCTACTGGAGTGAATCAGATGATAACTTGCCTGATAGTTCGGAGCTGGATATACCAACAGTTTTCAGTTTACTGCTTAAATCAAGGATTTCCTCTTCTGAAAAGGGGGAATACAATTTGATTATACAATCCATGTAAACACTTTCCTAAACGCAACCAATGCAGTGTAACATCTCATCTCATCTCATCTCATCTCATCTCATCTCATCTCATCTCATCTCATCTCATCTCATCTCATCTCATCTCATCTCATCTCATCTCATCTCATCTTATCTTATCTTATCTTATCTTATCTTATACATAGTATCCCTTTATGAGGAACTATCCTTGATTTATAAAAATATGCTTCACAACAGACAACAGACAAACTTGTCTCTCTATTCCACATGTTTATGGGTCCCACTGTACCTAGATTATGCTTGTTCTGCTCAGCATCCGAGAGTTTAACTCTTAGATCTGAAACCTCTACTTCCTTCTCCAACAGCTTCCTTTCATTCTCTCTCATCAATCCATCCCTGGAGCAAAGCAGGTATAACCATTGAGAACTGTTTTACGGAAATCCGCGAAAAAAAAACTAGTTATTATCATTTGAAATTTAGCCTTGATATACGATTCACCATCCAAATCAATTAAAAAATAAAATAAAAAAGTTCATTAAAATTGTGACGAAATCAAATCTTGAAAATAACAATTTTCAACTGTAAAAAAGTCCTTAATATCTTTTTATATGAAGATTTTAAAAAAAACTAATAAAGACTTAAATAAGGGTTTAATGTTTAATTAACACGCTTTAACACAAATTAGGAAGAGGTAATTACAAAATATCGGTTAATAAAGTAATTATCACTTAACTTAGTTTATCATTTACCTTTTTATATTCTCCTCCTCAGTGCTGACCAGCTTACTCTGTAAGCTAGCTATGCTGGCCTGCATGTTATGTATCTATACAAGGGGGAACATTTGAGGAGCTTGCCTCAAACAAATAAACTTTATCAATCAATCAGTCAATCAATCAATCAATCAATCAATCAATCAATCAATCAATCAATCAATCAATCAATGTACATTGTACAAGGGCCAGGGGGGACAAAAAATGTCCCTGCACATTAATATTACCAAATTAAACATTAAACTGATGAAGAAATCCCTTGTAAACGTATTTAAACGTATTTAAACACAACCCTCTCCATTTTGTCCCCCTGCCTGAATGTCCTGCTCCTGTTTACTATCTGATAGCTCGGATTTTGCTGCACTCATCTAAATAACAACAACCAATAAAATACTAGGATTTTCGCACCAACTTTCCTATAAATATGAAAGTCGGCCATTTTAAATCATTTCCAAATTTAAGCGGATTTTCCTTTCGAATTGGCGTATTTTCAAAAAAAAATTCAATCTAATTTCCAAATTTTATGTTCAATTTAAACCTTCCCTGGGGTCATGTGAGGTCCACACAAAATTTGGGCCCAATCGGTTTAGCCGTTTTGACGTTTATCGGTTACAAAAAGCAAAGTGTAAATATAAAAATATAACGAATACACGTCGCGTTTTCGATAAATCGATAGATAAATATTAAACAAAAATCTGTTTGTTGGTATCGAATAGATACCCAATTTTTTGGTAAATAAAATAACCCCAGGGAAGATTTATGGCTTGAATAATATATTATCCCTCGTAAATCGTTATTTTTACTGAACAAAACTTAATTGTATACAAGTCTAAATATAATTTTCTACCTTTTCTAACACTTCCTGAAGAGTTTTCTCCATTTTAACTCGAGCTGCCGTTGCATCCTCCCTTCAAAAAGTAAAAAATGATTTTTCATGAACAATTTTTTTTAAATTCTATCATTACAGGAGAAAACTCTCGAGAGCCAAAAATTTTTAAATGAGATGTGTTTTAAACGCAACATTTAACTCCTTAACTTACAAAAGCTTTACCTGGAGATATTGCTGCTTGCAAGCTGCTTTTCTACTTCAGCTTTCTTTCTGAGCAGAGATATATGCTCTTCGCGAAGCTTCTGATACACTTCCTAGACAGCAGGATGTAATAATACAAAGAGAGCCCGATAAGTAAAAACAAATCAACTTCGACAATGTCGTAGATATAATAAAAATTTAATAGTTTGATGAAACGGAATATATTTACAAAGCCAATAATGGGTTCATTTAATTTTTCATGTTACAAGAATAGAACTCTTCTGTTACCTTCAGTTTATTAAATTTCTCCTCCAAGCCTCTACAAAATATAACCATTTAAGCGTAAAAAAAAGGGAAAAGGCTAAATTTTTTTCTGATCAGCAACTTTTAAAGTCAACAATTGCAAAGAGTGGGAATCATAAAATCAAGCAATAGGAAATAGAGAATACATTCAGCATTTTTTATATATCATCATTGTAAATTTTTAAAACAGCAATTATTTGTCATCTTCCAGTTTCTCTAAAATTTTTGAAGATATCTCAAATTGACTTAAATAAAAAAACTTTTATTTTACCCTCATCATCAACATGAACTGATAAGCTCCAGGGTTTATAATGAATCTAAATGTTAAGGATGGTTTAATTTCCTGTTTTTATCCTGTTCTTGCATTTGTTGCTGTTCTCGAACCATAGCAGTTAGAGCAGCTAGTTCAGCCTGTGCTGCTCCTACTTCAGCAGCTAACCTAGCTCCTAGATACAGTTTATGAAGGAATGGAGTAATCAGCAGCGGAGAGAAAAACATTTATTTCACTAATAATTCAACACAAAAAAAAAATAAAATACTTATAGAGTTACTAAGGGAAAAAGAGGGGGAAATGCACCACTGCTCAAAAAAAACGTAAGAATGAAAAACTGAATGATGAATGAAGAAAGGAAAACAAGTGAATAAATGAATTCAGTAAAGAATTAACACCAAATGAAAAAGAATTAATAAAGAATGAATTAAAAATGAATAAAAGAATTAAAATTGTCATTGGGGGGAAGGGGGGGGGGAAGGCACTACCTCCTTTAGTTGTATTTTGCATAAGGACTCATATTTAGTGATTTGATTTGGAATATTGGATCAAAGTATGAATGTATGAACAGTTGAAGAAAAGAATAAAAATGAATGAATGAATGAAATGATAAAAGGATGAATGAAAGGATGAAAGAAAAGATGAATTAATTAATATATGAATACCATTTGATTGTTCATAAGATATTCGATCCTGGGCTTCAGAAAGACTTCCCTCAACCCTTCTCTTCTCATCCTAAACATTAACAATTAATAAAAACTATTTTACACATTTTTTTACCAATATACCTTTTTTATCAAAAAAAAATGAAACAGGGTAGCAGAAGGGTATATAGTTTAAAGAAGACTCTGATTGGTTGAATTTTAAACACTTTTCAGGATACAAGTACAAGATTAGGTTAGTCTCGATATTAAGAAAAAGAGAGGATCAAGCATTAATCTCGCGTATCTACCATTCTAAAGTTTTCAGCTCTGAAAATATTTTATCCTCGAATATTACCTGATCGCTTCCTTAACACTATTAGGATGCCCTTCTCTGAGAACTTTATGAAGCATACTGCTAAACTTCCAGCAAACTATAGGGTTACCATGCAGAGGGGCTCTATAAATATATATAAGGTATGAATATATTATGTATAAAGTAGTAATCGCTGTAAGTATGTTTGTTAGTTAGCTTTTTAGTATTTCCAATTCTAACTCATGAACCTTAGTTTAAACTTAAATATAATGTACAAGGTGGCCAAAGGATGTACTGGATTTTTCAGATCCCTTTTCCCCCTATTTTATCATATTTTCCCACTTTGATAATATTTTCAGATTTTCTGGATTCATGGATTCATTTTTCTAAGAATCTGAATGATATTTTGCATATGGGCATCATTTGTGTTTGTTTAAGTAAACAAAAATAAAAAAGTGGAAAAAATTTTTTTTCCCCTTTTTCCACATTTGTCCATATTTCAGATTTTCTCGATTCATAAATTAATTTTTCAACAAAAATCCAATATTTTTGCACACCTGCCAATCAATCAATCAATCATTTATTGAATCGCTCAATCAGTCAATCAAGCTATATTTAATACTTCTCTTTACTTTCCACCATTTACCTGGACCTCTCCCCCACCAATACTGTAATAAAGGTAAGTAACTACTTTAATAAACAATGATGTAATTAATTGAAGAAATTCATTTAAAAACATATTTTATCATATTTTCCCAGTTTGTTAATAGTTTTCACATTTTCTAGATTCATGGATTCAGTTTTCATCGGCAAATAAAGAGCTTTTTAAACACCTGCCTTAATTATTATTAAATATAGCTTGATTTAATTTATGAATCGAGAAAATCTGAAATATGGAAAAATGTGGAAAAAGGGGAAAAAATAGGGGGAAAAGTGATCTGAAAAACCTTAAACTTTTTTTTGGTGTTCGTAATGAGATTCTTGACTAACAAGCAGGTTTTTAAAGCACCTAGCTGGTATTTGACTCAGACTTTTTGGTGAAAAAGCTTTAAAAAACATGGAAAAATGTGGAAAAAGGGAAAAAAATATTTTTTTCCACTTTTTTATTTTTTTCTATTTAAAACAAACACAATTGTTGCTCATATGCAAAATATCATTCAGATTCTTAGAAAAATGAATCCATGGATCCAGAAAATCTGAAAATATTATCAAAGTGGGAAAATATGACAAATTAGGGGGGAAATAGGGGGAAAAAGGATCTGAAAAACCTTAAACTTCGTTCTGATGTTCGTAATGAGATTCTTGACTAACAAGCAGGTGTTTAAAGCACCTAGCTGGTATTTTACTCAGACTTCTTGGTGAAAAAGGTTTAACAAACATGAAAAAATGAGGAAAAAGAGGGAAAAAATATTTTTTTCCCGTTTTTTTTCATTTTACTTAAAACAAACACAAATTATGCCCATATGCAAAATTTCATTCAGATTCCTCAAAAAATTAAGACAGGAGTCCAAAATGTATTCAAATGAGAAATCTGTACCCTCTCCTTTTATGTGGGACCGAACATTTTGTGGAATTTGAAGAATTCTAATAAACTTTCAATGTTCAGGATTTCTGAAAAACCTGGAGAATCCCTGTGATGAACGTGAAGAAGTTGGAGCGGAGAAAGTTGAAACTGAAACTACACATGAAAATTCGAAATTTCTCCTACGTTTCTAAAATTCTTGATTATTTATCCTTATACTAAAGAATCAATGTCCCGAATTATATAACCCTATATAATCTTTTAATCTTATCAAGCCATGAGAAATGTTAATCATGAGCTTTTTTATACAGAATTCTTTATCTTATTGAGATTACACAAGAAAGAAAACTTTTAATTTGAGAGTAAAGATTTTATTTTATATAACAAAGATTCTAATTTTGAAATAATAATTTTACCTTGAAAACTATATATCGTCTTTTTCAGGCGAAGAATGGGTTGATTATATTTATAACCCTATCAAGTCTCCAGGTCTCAGCTTTTACGAAGTTTATAAAACATCTTTTAAAGAATTGTTTTCGATAATAAAAAAGGTCTTGAGCTAAAAAACTTTAATATATGTAATGATGTTATATAATAGTGATACAGATCTTAGATTAAGCGTGTTCTCCATAACTTCAACCATCCTACAAATCTACCACCTACAACATCATCCTACAATCTTCATTCGTCGAGTAAATGAAACTCAGGTGAACCATGCGAAATCATAAGTAGACTTTGAACCTTGATCCTTGGAATGTTCATCGGTAATATTATGCACATGCAGATGCCTTAAATATATGTATTCAGGACCGTCTCTACCCTGATGTTCATATACTCCTCCGTCTGACAGATCTGATGGAGTAAATACTCTCAACCTGGAGAAGTCTTCTGATGTCGTCTTCTATCTTCAGAACTACTCTAGACTCCGTTGGCCGTCTTCCACCATCGTGATTCTTCCTGACCATCTTCCTGAGCATGTAAATGTGAGCTCACCTCCTCTTATCCAAGTCTCGGAGTGCTGATTGATCTGACCGAGCTGCCTCCGACTGGACAACACAGATTTCGAGGACTTATGTTGGAACGTCATATGCTTTAGACGTGTCCTGTTAAGGTGAGACTCATCACACGAGAAATATTTATAACGATCTTGATGAACAGGATTTTAAACCCCGTCTTGTTTAGATTCCTCAAGATCAGAGAACAATATCAAGGACGTCGTCTTCCCCTTGGTTCTCCGATACTCTCCTTCACTGCTTTAAGGATTGCACCTAAAGGTACACTGCAATTTCTGTGCTAATATTTTGATAAGTGATCTATAAGCTTATCTTTTGTCGATCAAACCTCACCGAGAATTCTCTTTTAGACTCAAAAGGACTCTGAATGAAGCATAAGATAACCTCTCTCTGAACTGTAGCTCATATCAAGACCCCAGCCCGAGCAACTTTGTAAGTGTGTTTTTAAATACTGAACTCTTTGCCAATATGATTTTTAATGATTCAAAAAACTAAATTTCTTTATTGAGACCTGGAGCAAATTTTTGTAAACATATACGTATAAATTCTGTTATATTATAATAATTTAATTTCAGTTCACAGTGTGAGAGCTGAAGTTGAGGATAAACTACTTCAATAAAGCTTATATAAACATAACACTCGTGTATTAATGTGGTGCGCTGGTTATAAGGGAATACTCGCCCTAGATATGAGTGAGCTTTTATGTTTTTAAAGTCTCAAAAACAACGTTACGAGTACACATTTGCCTTGAAAAATATTTGTAAAATCTAAATCAAAATTATTTTTTAAAAATAAAGGGGAATGTTGGCGATTCTGAGAAACAAATAAGAGCGCTAAACTTTTTAAAAACCGAGTTTTAATAAATGTTACATATGTTTCACTAAAGATAAAGGTATTGTTCTCAATTAGACACGCCCTATTACAAATGGAGGGTCACTTAAAATTACGCCTATCAGTCCCTTTAATTGAATTTTTGCTAAATTTAAAAAAAAAATTTATTTAGAACAGCTAAAGAAAAATATGACAAAATAACAAAATATTAGTTTTATATTTTTGTTAGAGGGGATTTTAGATGCTCTAGTGAATAGACAAATATTTCAACACAAAAGGTAAATTTTATCACCCTTATAATCCCCAAAACTAATAAGATAGACACCCTCTGGATAAGAAAAAAATATTTAAATGGGAGAGGGGGGAGGGAGATTTTTCAAGAAAATATAAACTACTGTACCTGCTGGAGACCAGATTCCAAAGGAATGTGGAGCTTCTCTGTTTAAAGGTTCCGATAATAATAGTTCTCACATGTTTCTCTTTCATGGGATACTCAAGGATACTAAACAAACAAAAACATTATTCGTTGATTCTTTATGCCATTGCTTCATGCAGAGCTGTTTCCTGTAAACAATTATTTCTTAGACGATATTTCTAAACCAACGTTTTTGGTTCGTTTTAATTTTTTTCTATATAACTGCTCTTCAGAAAATATGTTTAAATTAAAGGAAAGCAAACTTTTTAAAAATACAGTTTTAAAATTTAAGAACCAAGGATCAGGGGCATCAACCAGAGATATTGAACAGTCAGGGTCAAACAGTCTGCTATATTTTATGTACTGTCTACTCTACCTTATGTCCCGTCCTTTCAATATGAATGGGTTTCTATTTTTCAATGTTTATAGAAATCCAACCTGAGAGCTTTTGTGATCGCGTTTAATTGTTCTCGTTCAAACTGCTCCTTTTCAAGATCTGATATATAATAGATTAAATTAGATAGTTACAACTACTTTACAATTCAAATCATATCAGTTAAAGGTATTTTACTTTAATGTTGATATGAAAATACGTGAAAACTTCTTCGCGGGATGTCATATAACTAAACATCCCGCTGGTGGGGATTTATGGGTCGGAAATGTTGGTCAAAAGGCGACAAAACTTTAAACATAATCACCCCTGCTTTATCTAATTAAAAATGTGATTTCAAAAAGCGACTCAAATCAAATTTATTCTAACAGTGAAAATATATTCCAAAATAACAAAATTACATCCACAATATACAATGAGAAAAGGGGGGGGCATATCCCTCCCTCACCCTTTCTCCCCTAAATTAATTAACTAACAACTTTAGGTGAAATTCATAAGCTCAAATTACACATACATCAGAGAAAAAACTAATTTTAGAATTTCAATGAATTTACTGAATAAACATTGGCACGCTCAAATACACATTTAAATACAATTAAAGATCAGAATGTATGTTAAATTTAAAAATAAGTATCAACTCTTAGAACCCGGGCGAACTTAAAAGAATTTGAGCCGCGTCTCAAATATGGTTGGTTCCACCTAAATTTGTATTTAATTTTTTAAGATTTACTCCGGCGCTCGATTGAAACCGGTTTTTGGCGGATTTGAGACGCGACTCAAAGTCATTAAATTCGGACTCAAGATCAACAACATTTTATTTTTATTTACATGGATCCTTATTCAAGGAGTGATGGTGCACAGCTTGGTTGGTTTTAAAAATTTTTAAGACTATTTTTGACTTTAAAGGTTCCAAAAAAAAAGTTTAAAAATTTTAAAAAGTTTTATTCCTTTAAACATTTATTTCTTAGACGATATTCATAAAACGACCTTTTCGATTCGTTTTAACTGTTTTCTGTATAACTAATATAACTAAAATATGTTTAAATTGAACAAAAGCAAACTTTTTAAAAATACAATTTTTAAATTTCGGAAGTTAAAAGTATTTAGCCTTTTTAATGTAAATAAAAGAAACTGAAAAACGAACCTAGCTTTGTCTTATCACTAACATTAACTTATCACTAGATCCAAGGGGATGAACATTAACTTTTCACTAGATCCAAGGGGATTAACATTAACTTATCACTAGATCCAAGGGGATGAACATTAACTTATCACTAGATCCAAGGGGATTAACATTAACTTATCACTAGATCCAAGGGGATTAACATTAACTTATCACTAGATCCAAGGGGATTAACATTAACTTATCACTAGATCCAAGGGGATTAACATTAACTTATCACTAGATCCAAGGGGATTAACATTAACCAAAATATTTTTAAAGATTATTGCTTCCTTTACACAAATCTCAAGTTCACCTAAAGAAGATTCATGAAATGTAATCTTACATTGGAAAATCAAATTTTAAACAAATTTTAGGCCCAACCAATCAAAACTAACAATAGCTAGGCGTCCAATACTAATAAAGCCCTCCACTCATATATTTATAATTTTATATATGTTATCAATAGCTAGCCAAACAGCTGAACCAAATTGGCTTAACATTTTTTAGGTAACGAACTTAAAAATTGATTTTTTAACTCGAATTTTGTTTCAAAAATGAATTTAATTCGGGCAAGTTACTGACCTAATGCATTGGCTTGAGAGAAGCTTGTTCTCAAAACCTTTGGTATACTTTGTTTGGCCTGGTCTCTCAAACTCATGTTTAGTATTTGGCTTGAATTCTGAAATCAAAAGAAATCCTTATATTGAGCGCATGCGCATTAAACTAACGTGCAGTTTAGCCACGATTAATGCATATTTTTCATGATAATTAAAGCTGAGCTGGTGAATCAAATGAAGAGAAATTAGAGGAAAATTGGATACGATTTTCGGCATTTAATCAAATAAATCTTAAAACACCTATTTCCAAAAATTGATGAAAAGCGTTTTGCCGTTTTTTTTCAGATTTAATCGGTAAAAGACAAAGTTTTGCAACTCATAAAAGAAAATATCCTGGTAGATATACTGCTAAGCTAATAAAACAAACAAAAAAAAAAACAATTTAAAATTTGATAAAACAAAAAATTTCTAAAGACTTAATTTTTGTTGCGGCATTTTTTCCCTAGAGAACCTAAAGAATGTTGAGATAAAAACACACTGTTAAAGAGACTCCTACGCAATGCGTCAAAACTTCAAGTTTGAAATAAAAAAGTTCATTAAGCAAATACAATTATTCCATTAACCCACAAGTTTATAAATCTTGATGCTTCGTGACACTTTGACGTTCCTTAGTATTGTAGAAGAGAAAGTTTATATTGATCTATGATGAAAACCAAGATGAAGGATTAGCTACTGAATAGATGAACAAGCTGTGCGGGATTCTCGAGTCTCTGTTAAACTTGGTAAGAATCTTTAGTATTTCTATTCAATAAATTAATTACATTTGGATTTTTTAATAGCAATGTGTTACAAACATTTAATCGACAGGATTTTTTTTTATCGCTGTCGCCTTAAGACCTAATGCTATGAATTCACTCGTCCATGCTCTTTTATCAAGGAAACACAAATAGAATTACAGTGAATTTTTTATAACAAAATCTTGATTGGGATAAAAAACAATCCTTTAGATCACCATCTGTCGTCTTTATAATCTCCACGCCCACTACTGGAACTACCACGCCCTCCTCTGTAGTCTCCATTCCTGTAATCATCTCGATCATTTCTGCCATAACGATCATCTTTACGATATTCGTCCCGACTCCGAGAACTCTGACTCCTCTCCCTGTCGTCCCTGTCTCTACTACCTCTATAGTCGTCTCTGCTACGAGAACTGCTATGCCTCTCATCCCTGTCCCTGCTGCTACCTTTGTAATCATCTTTATCCCGGTGATCCCTTGAACGATCTCTGTAATTCTCCCTTCCACCGCCACGTCGATCATCATGTCGTCCTCGGTCATCTCTTCCACCACGGTCGTCCCTGCCTCCTCTATAATCTCTTCCACCCCGGTCGTCCCTCCCACCCCTTTCATCTCGTCCGCCCCTGGTTCCGGCCTGATAATCCCTTCCTCCGCCCCTACCGCCCATAGCAGGAGCTCCTCCCCGACCCCCTCTTCCTCCCTCCAAGGCATATTTCTTGTCATCTCTCGCTTTCGCCATCTCTACCCTGGCTCGTCGTCCACAGATCTCAGTTCCATCCAGCTTCTTCAGAGCATCTTCAGCATCCCTACAAACACGTTCTCCTTTATGTATTCAACACATTTTGGTCAGTGGTCACTTATAAATGTTACATTTATGGAGGGGAAGGGTGGGGGTCTCAAAAATTATTTTTCTGATGAAATGTTTCTAATCTATAAATTCATAAACAAATATTATACAAATATAAGGATTATTAGTTTGTTTGATTCCAGTCGTCTTTTTTTGATTGCAGCAGTACCTATTGGAAAATTTTATACTTGTCAGAACCGGGCTGTTTTTGTTGTTATTGATCTCAAAAACCATATACGTAGAGTAAATTGCGATAAGCAATTTCTGATATATATAAATTCTAACCTTAGAGTTTTTCAATATATATATTTGTTTGTTTTAAGAATTATTCATTTAACTGTATCTTTATCTTTTTCGTTAATAAAAGTTTGAAGAAGAAGAAGTATGTTTGATTTCAATCAACGACAAAATGGAGGCATACTCAGGACTCACGTGACCATAGGAATGTTTTATTACAGGCCAAAAGGAGGCGTTGCATCAATGACATTTTTCAATATCTCAGTAAATAATGGTGCTAGCCGGTTCTACTTTTGCATGTATACTCATCTGATGCTCTAGGAACAGGATATGAGATCAAATCTTCAATGTCTCCGTTCGGAGACCCGAGATATGGTATAAGGTACCTCCGTCGGCTCCGATTTTTTATCTCCGGCCCTAATGAACTTACAGAGCCCAAATTCAACACACATACACCTAAGGACCTATATAATTTAATAAAAAAATTCTTTTAAAAAAATTTCGATTTTTTCTTGCAAAGACAGGGTGTCAAAAAATGGCATTTTTTCATTTTTTTTTAAATGTCTTTTTTGGGGGTAAAAAAAAATCAATCCGTACAATCCGTACATTTTGGCCACCCTGTAGATTATTAAATATTTAGAGATCAGGAGAGAAAATTAGAGCAAAAATATATTTATCTTATAAAAACTGAAGATAATAAGAAACACACAAAAAACAGTGCTTAGGATCCGGATCCGTAGGATTCGCTATATTTAAATGACGTCCTGGATCCGAATCCACGAATCCGGTTCCGAGGGCAAAATATAAATAAAAACTGCAAAAAAAAATCTTGTGCTCTCAAAACTCAAATTTGAATTGTTGAAAAAAGAAAGATTATCTTAAATTTCTTATCTTTTGAATGTTTCATCAAGTTCTAGCATAAAAATAAGTAAAAAAAGAAAAAAATTATATGATAATTCTTTATCTGTTCAAAAATCAGGAAATCTTTTTACCATCCATTAAAATTAAATGGATCCTAAGCACTGCAATTTTTTTTTAACTTGTACCTAACAACTTGCAGTAGAAGCTGATTAGTCTCCCGTATCCTTCCTTCAAATGTCCCCAGAGCTTTCCTAGATCTTCAAGCAGTCCAATATGCCTGAAAATAAAAATTAAGTAATTAACATTTAAAAAAACAAACAATTTGATCATTATGAAAATAAATTGGAAATGGAATCTATAAGAGACCCCAATGTGGACCCCTAGACCGCCTTCAGATATAGGAAGCACCGTCCCAATACCTGATCCACTGCCGGACCTATCCCGCCTAGCTTTCCCCAGCTGGGGGGATCAAGGAGATACTATTCGCCTGATTGAGAAAGAAAAAATGATAATTTTAATAATATCCTTAAAGACGGGATCACGTCGTGATTTTAGCTCTTAATATTATAAAAAAAATATAAATTTGACGAAAGCCTTTTACTAAGTTAAAAACTTCATAAAAACTTCAAGAAAAGAAAAAATCTATAAATTTGTCCATCATGAATGGAAATTTTTCCCTCTCCCTTTTGAATATACCTACAAACAGATAAAAACTGTTCAATATATTTATACTATATCTTAATACATTTTGAAGATGGGGGGGAGGGAGATAAATGACAAGTTTTCCCCACCCATTTTGATAAATTTTATCCAAACCCCTAATTGATAGAGAAAAACACATTTGCTGCTTACTAGGGGAATTTTTTTTTATGAGGCAGAGGAAATTATTTTTACAGAAAATAAATCCCCTCGCTATTGATCCAACCTGTCACGTTCGTCCACAGCTGAGAATGTGCTGGATTGTTCCATCTCCTGCTCCTCCGTCTGCTCTGGCACCACCGCCACCGGAGTCACGTGATCTCGGAGGTTGGCGGCAACAAGGAAGTTCGGGGGTTCGTCAGGTAACCCAGGTACCTTGGCAATAAATAAACTAATTAATTAACCAATCAAATAATCAATCAATCAACAAGCAATCAACAAGCAATCAATCAATCAATCATTCAATTAATTAATCAATTTATCAATCTATCAATTAGTCTATCAATTGAAATTATTCAATTAATCAATAAAATTATCTGTCGTTAAGTGTAAAAGTCAATTAAGCCAACAAATAATTGACTATTTATAACTGCTTTTTTCTAGTAATAAGATATCTTTTAAACAAATGTAACTAAAAAAGTCGTGTTTTTGGAAAAATTTAAATTAAGCGAAATTGAGCGTTTTTAAGCAAACAATCATTACCTGAACTAAGTTTTTAAAATATTGAAGATTACTGCAGTTGTAGTAAAACTTCCTCAGTCGAATAAAAAGGTTGAGAAACCTAAAACAGTAAAAACAAGTTTTTGCAAAGGTGACTTTGTGTCATTTCCGCTATATTTTGGTATGCCAACAGTCTCTATGGTTTGATTAAATTAAAAATTAGACGCATGATTTTAGAATTGGCAGTGTTTCGTCTTTTTTTTTTCATTAGAACTCGATCTTATACACAAATTTACAAAAAATCTTGAACACTTATCTGCTCCGAATGCACCGGGAAGTATCCACTAGTTCTCCTGGAAGTGCAACTAGTCAATGTTTTACCTGGATTACCTGGAAGTTTGACCGGCCTATGTACCAGCTGGTTTACCTGGAAGATTGACCGGCCTATGTACCACCTGGATTACCTGGAAATATGCCCGGCCTTTGTACCAGTTGGTTTAAATGGAAGTTTGACCGGCCTATGTACCACCTGGTTTACCTGGAAGTATGCCCGGCCTATGTACCAGCTGATTTACCTGGAAGTTTGACCGGCCTATGTACCACCTGGATTACCTGGAAGTATGCCCGGCCTAAGTACCAGCTGGTTTACCTGGAAGTTTGACCGGCCTATGTACCAGCTGGTTTACCTGGAAGTATGCCCGGCCTAGGTACCAGCTGGTTTACCTGGAAGTATGACCGGCCAATGTATCTGGTGGTAAATGCTGATGAAGAAGGAAAATTATCTTGACAGAATAATCGTACAAGTGTACACTGTCCTATATATAATACCTTAGTATTAAATCAAATTTAAAAAATAATTCCTAAGATTTAAGGAAAAGGAAAAAATTAAATCTTTAACAAGCCATTTATTTATTTTACCTCAAAATATTAGATTTTTCTTACCTTGGTATTGTTAGACACAAAAGGGGGAAATACAAAGTACTAAGAGTGAAACATTATTAAACTTATAAGTTTCGAGTCCTTGCGGAACATTGCTAAGGAAAGGGTTAAATTTTCGTGCCACAATGCGCAGCTCACGGTTTTGATAAATCAGATTAAATTAAATCACTGACCCAATGCCAGTTCAACATTAAGTCAGAAAAATAAAAGGTGACAGAAATAAAACGACTCATTTTTTGGGGCAGTTTACATCAAAAGCTTTCGAAATAGTGGTAATTTGAAATTTTGTCTAGAGTCCCTATAAACAAGCGAATTACTGCCTCCTTCGTGCACAACTGTTAACTAGGGTAACAAACTACAACAATGGGAAATATTTAAAATTCAGTTTGGATTAAGGTTTATCCCTGAATACAAGCTATAAGAGGTCCCAATCTACATTGGCCAGAACTAGTCATACTGTTAGCTTTAGACATATCTAAATACAGATAATTATTTAATTTTTTTTTACATAACTGAATACATCTAGATAATTCAATAATTTTAGACATATCTGAATACAGATATATAATTTTAATAATTTTAGACATATCTGAATACAGATATATAATTTTAATAATTTTAGACATATCTGAATAGATATATATAATCTTAATAATTTTAGACATATTTAAATATATTTAGATTATTCCATTCTTACTCCTTTCAGTCCTTTCCTGTTCCATTTAACCCTTTCCTGTTCCATTTATCCCATTCCTGTTCCATTTAACCCTTTCCTGTTCCATTTAACCCTTTCCTTTTTCATTTAACCCTTTCCTGTTCCATTTAACCCATTACTGTTCCATTTAACCCCTTCCTGTTTCATTTAACCCTTTCTTGTTCCATTTAACCCTTTCCTGTTCCATTTAACCCTTTCCTGTTCCATTTAACCCTTTCATGTTCTTACCTAAACTATCAAAAACAGCTTTTTCCAAGTTTAAAATGTCCTCTAAGTAATCTGATTCAAAAATTAATTCATTATCAGGTGCAAACAATATTAATTTTTCTATAAAATACAGTGATACCCATAAAACTATGGAATAGGAAGACGAAGCAGCTGTCAGGCTAAAGTTTCCATTTTTAATTGTCCAATGAACATGAAACAGTAATTGTGCAGTGAACACAGACCAATTTCACTCAATAGGTCGATTTTTTACCTACTAGTAAAACTTTTTTCTTTTTTTAACAGCATCAAACACAAAAGATTGCTTACGTCCTAGTCTTCCTCAGTTTAATGGGTCTCATTGCATAAAACTGATCTTTTTATTTAGTAAATGTGATTTAATATTCCTAAAAATTCTATACACATCTCGTAGAAGCTTCCAGCATCATTATTTCCAGCCTTCTCATCGTTATAAATCAATTAATCATATTTTTCATAGATATCAATCAATTAATCATATTTCTCATAGATATCAATCAATTAATCATATTTCTCATAGATATTTTATCAATTAATCATATTTCTCATCTTTATCAATTAATCGTATTTCTCATCTTTATCAATCAATTAATCATATTTATCCGTCGTCATATCAGAAAGGTTAAAACGAACACTTTGTGCGGAAACATTTTCTCAACATTTTGAACATATATTGATTGATTGATTGATTGAGTGATTGATCAATAGCCTGCCTTGAGAAGCTGTTCCTTCTCTACTGCTAAGCTGCCGGGGAAAAGCTGATACTTGCTGTGAAACTTTAACTTCGTCACTTAACAATAACATTGATTCGTGAATATATAAGTATAAAGATAGGTCAGATAAAAAGTAGATCAACGGATAGATATTCTAATTATCAAGATAGATTCAGGGTGGCCAAAACTTTTTTGAACCCATCCGTACAAAAATCCGTACATTTTCAGAAGAAATCCGTACAATCCGTACAATTTTCGAAAAACAATCCGTACAATCCGTACAATTTTTTTTTTAAATCCGTACAATCCGTACATTTTTTTAAACCAATCCGTACATTTTTTTAAAGATCCGTACATTTTTTTTAAAAATCTGTACAATCAGCACAATTTTCGAAAAAAATCCCATTTTTGAAAAAAAAAACATTAAAATTCAATTTTTCATTCATTGTCTTTTGTGTTCAGTTCATGTAAGAGGGTTTAAACTTCTTCAGCAAGAATCAATCTGTAAAAAATTNCTTTTGAATGTTTCATCAAGTTCTAGCATAAAAATAAGTAAAAAAAGAAAAAAATTATATGATAATTCTTTATCTGTTCAAAAATCAGGAAATCTTTTTACCATCCATTAAAATTAAATGGATCCTAAGCACTGCAATTTTTTTTTAACTTGTACCTAACAACTTGCAGTAGAAGCTGATTAGTCTCCCGTATCCTTCCTTCAAATGTCCCCAGAGCTTTCCTAGATCTTCAAGCAGTCCAATATGCCTGAAAATAAAAATTAAGTAATTAACATTTAAAAAAACAAACAATTTGATCATTATGAAAATAAATTGGAAATGGAATCTATAAGAGACCCCAATGTGGACCCCTAGACCGCCTTCAGATATAGGAAGCACCGTCCCAATACCTGATCCACTGCCGGACCTATCCCGCCTAGCTTTCCCCAGCTGGGGGGATCAAGGAGATACTATTCGCCTGATTGAGAAAGAAAAAATGATAATTTTAATAATATCCTTAAAGACGGGATCACGTCGTGATTTTAGCTCTTAATATTATAAAAAAAATATAAATTTGACGAAAGCCTTTTACTAAGTTAAAAACTTCATAAAAACTTCAAGAAAAGAAAAAATCTATAAATTTGTCCATCATGAATGGAAATTTTTCCCTCTCCCTTTTGAAAATAATTCCCCCCCCCCCCTGATATTAGGCTGAATTGGAGAAAATAAATTAAACTTTGGACGAAGTGTCAAAAAGGGCGGAAAAATATTTTTAAAAATTTTAATATTTCCCCAAAAACCGTTTTTTTTTAATTTAGAAAGTCCCTTCCTCCCGTTTCTGTATATAATCTTAAATGGCGCGCAAAATTTTAAATTCATAGGCTTCATATGAGACTCTGATTGGTTGAATTTTAAACACTTTTCAGGATACAAGTACAAGATTAGGTTAGTCTCGATATTAAGAAAAAGAGAGGATCAAGCATTAAT